GCTCTAGACCTTTTGAGTTAATGTGAACAAAAAATGTCAAGTATAGATGGTCTCAAAAGCGTCTTTTTTCGAAAAAGAAAATAAGGTACGCCTAGGCGCGCATTGCACGGTCGAAATGTCTGCAATTTTTTTTCCTGTTTAGCACGTATAGAAGAGCTTGTTTTTAAAAAATTTTAGTCATTCTTGTCAATGTCCAGAAGCGTCTTATTTATATCCACCATCCATCCTAATGAGGTTAATTAGTCGACAGAGAGAGATCCTTTTTATGAACTATTAGAAGTAGGAATCATGAACCAAGAAAGACCACCTAAAGTCTATTTTTTGTAGATTGAACTACCAGAGTCTTCTAGGAGTCAGGGAAGAGAAAATATCTCAGAAAATTTTGAAAGTTATGTTTAGTAGGAGAAAGTGAGGATTAATTAATAACAAAAATTCTGTAGTGGAGATGACCCATCATTTGATGCGCCTAGACGCGTTTCAGCGTACAACTTATTCTTTCACTTCAAAGTTTTCCTCTTCAGACACGTTTTTCGCTGATCGAGATGAAAAAATTTATCTAAACATATAGCCGCCTTTTGTATGTTGAACGGACCATTTCGAACCAAAAACGCGTTCGGGCGCCTATTTTCGAAAAATGAAGGAGAAACAGGTCTGACCGTTCGTCTTTATGAGAAATTGTCTAGTGGAAAAGTTCAATTTGATGGTCATTAATTCGTGATGTGCATAAGTAATCCATGAATAGTAATTTCACGTTCAATGTGACGCCATCTGTATCTAATACAAGCGTTGTAAATTTATTTTCCGTCTGTTTCAAACCTTTTTGTACGACTTTCTTAAGTATGATATCCAACTTTGCCATTTTCGTTACTGGTTACAACATTTTCGCTAAACTTATAATTCAAATCTATTGAAAGCATGATGTTATGATGGAAGAGGCTAGAGAGAATTTCAATCGATTCGTGCAAAAAAAAGTAGAGTGGTTAGTTCAATTAAGACTTTCAGACAGTTGACTAGCAACAGGTTTATAGTAGATGACGAGAATCTCTTTCCAGGTATCGTCTGAGATGGTCGTCATCGCTGATTCATCTTCGCTCTTCTCAAATGCTTTTATTTAGTAGTAGAAAAGTGTTTTCATAATATCCTGAAAAATTCTGAGTATTTACATTCGCTTAGGTTCGATTGACTCATTGTCAATAAGTGATTCATCAATGAATTCCTGTGATGAGTAAAAGGCACTTTTTTCGCGTTTCTTCATACCATCGGAACAAAAAAATAAAGTTGATTTTGAGTTGCTAAAAAGTGCTTTTTCATATCCAGCACACTCGATAACCCAGAAGAATTTCTAGTTTTGGCGAGGAGTACTTCCAAACGTTTAGAAAAAAGTTTGAAACAAAATGTTGCAAAAAAGTTTCCATGGGAAAAAATATTAGTCTGAAATTTTTTCCTAAACTTTTGGAAGTATCCCTCGTCAAAAATAGAAAATCTTCTGGGCTATCGAATGTGCTAAATATTCAAAACTAACTTTATTTTTTTTTCCGGTGATATGATATCAAAAACTTTAACCAACTATCCTCAAACTTTCATAACAAAGACAATTCATAATTTTCTGCATACTCCTGAGGTTCTTCATCAGAGGAGCTCAACAGTCAATTCTCTAGAATTCTGCCGATCAAACATTCAATACAACCGCTCAACAGAAGAATAGTATGGAGTGTAGCAGAAAACTATACATGAAAAAGTCTTCGAATCAATAATCTTATATCCATTCCTTTGAACTTTATATGAGTAATTAATCCCTTGGCTTCTAGAAAAATGTATGAAGTAACATTTGCGCATAGTTATTGTTGGTATGCCGATAAGTTGGTTATTTGTCTCTCTGGAGCAACTCCTTCATATCTAGGTATTAAACGTTTGATCCCTAAGGACCAAGAAATTTAATGTTGAATTGCATTTTTTCTAAAGGTAAATGTTGTACTGATTGGAAGTTTTCTGAGAATTAAAGCTCATTTATCCTTAACATGCACATTTTTTCATTAAATTTTCGTAAAGTTACTATATTTAAATAATTATTTTATGTTGCGGTCAAACAATTATGAATATTATAAAGAATTAAAATTAATCAAAGAATATAATTATCCGTAGTCAAGATTATGATTAATTCGTATTACCGAGTAGTTCAAATTGACTTTTTGGATTAATTTTAGATCAAAAAATTTTTTGATAAAAATCAATAGAAAGAGTTTCTTTTACAATACTATTGACGATCAATTTTTTTCAACAAAAGATGAGTAAGAAATAGTCATATAATAATGAGCTTCTTCAAAATATGATCGGTTTCACGTCACAGCATTCTGAAAATCATCTAAGTGTCTACATTTTCATTTAGCTTTAGAAAGCAGCGTTCTCATCGTCTAGTTGGAACAACCATTGAAAGCATTTTTATCCTTAATGTGAGTGTTTTTAGGTGTAAATCGTCAGTGTTTTTCTAATCTATATTCATCAATCAAGTTTTAAATATCAAATTTTGAATTAGACAAAAAGAGAGGAAATATATGCTAGTGGTTTAGAAACGTCGTTGGTCTGATCCTTATGGTCGTTTCCATTCCTCTATCTTTTTTTATATTTCAAGTACCACTTTTAGAAGACTCGCCTTTATGGGTTTTCAACATTTTTTGTCGCCTGTATGACTATATATTCTCATTGATTCATTCTTTCTTTCTCTCGCTCTTTCTCTCTCGTCATCATGGTGTATCATTCCGTCTAATTCGCTTTTGTCTACATGTTGTATATACATACATACGGACAGATATAGGTTTTCAGACTTTTAGCAAACATTTTCCTTCATGTCTATCTTTCGTGTTGCTGCATTCGATTGTAAAAAGGAAAAAGAATAAGAAACACAACAAACAGTCTTATGAGTTTTCAAAAAAAGAAAGAAAGAAAACTCATTCTCTAATATACGAACACGAATATAGTTCTGCTGTCATCAGCGTTTGTGTGTATATGCTCTCGTTCTTTCTTCTTCCTTTTTTCTCAAGAATAAAAAAGACAGAAGAGAAAAAAAACGTCCGTATTTGATCATGCGCTCTGTTTCCCCCATTCCCTTCTTGATGCTCTCTTTCCTTATATTCTCGCACCCCCTTTTGACTTCTCAACTACTTAGATATGTACAACTTTTTAAGTATGAAAGAGAAGATAATTCTATTCCTGCTTTTATATTGTTATTTTCTCACATAAACAAAAACGTCAATTTTTAAAAAATATATCTCCTACTATAAACGTATGCAATTATCACGAACGTGTCTCAATAGGTAAATTATTTGTCGTTTTTATTATCGTTCCAAATCTTCTCACAACCTATAACGTTCCTAACTGTTTATATACACACGCACGCGTATCATCACCATGTGAAATGCTAAAGTTTTTTGTGTTCTTTCTCTAGAAATAACTGCTGATTCTTTTTCATCATACGTATGCGGAGAATGTTTTGATAATATGTATGTAAAAGCGAGAGAAAGAGAGAAAAGAACAAAAAAAAGCGAAAAACATACAGGTAATCTCTTGTCTTATTTTATGTACAAACATCTAATAGAGAATCAATAATCAATCACTTAGTCAGAATGAAATGAATAATAACGAAAAGAGAGTTCCTTGTTTATCAATCTGATAGCAAAAAATAAAGTTCTTTGTCAAATCTGTCATGAACTATTAAGCATTAACTTCTAATATTTTTGTTTTTTCTAAACTAAAATAACTACAAAAAAGAGTATTTTGTCAGAGAAAAACATTACATCTACTGAATCAACCCTTAGTATGACTTAGTTAGATGTTGTTGAGGAAAAACTGTTCTCTTTAAAATTCCTGTCTCAAAAATAACAAAGAGTCAGAATATTTTTTGTTCGCTATGATCCATTCCAGCAGAGAAACTAATTAAATGAGGTTTCTTCTTTTTGTATGATAATCTGATGATAGACATCTTTTTTTGACTAATCATAGAAAAGAATCTGTCTTCTTTCACCTTTGATTATCTCTTTTGTTTTTAGTATAAAAAACTGAAAGCTGATGAACAAATGAAGAGATATTGAGTTTAACTTAGACACACTCTATACCAGAATGAGAGGGACGATATTAGTATTAAGTATATCTATGTGTAATGGCGGTAATTTGAACAATCTAAGTTGAAGATTGTCCTATAAACATCATCTCGTTGACTGAAGATATCCTTGAAAAATCAAGATGGTGACAAATTCTTTCATCCTATCTCATTAACTGCCAGAATTCTGTTGTGTTTTATTAAAAAAGTTTTATGACAAGACATTCGAAAGTACGAAATATGTCTTCCGATGTGTAACTAAGATCATATTACGTGTGAAACAATTGTGTGTGTTAATGCGATAGATAACAGAGAAGGCGACGTACATCATCTGTTGTGTCTAACTGAATTGTTTCAAGAATCGACAGACGCGAAAAACAGAAAATTAAAGATGCTAAAACATATGTACTATGAATCGAATATAGTACTTGATAGTTCAGATATGTCAGTCAGCTTTTCTTTTATGTTTTGCTTTGGGTATATATATATACATATATAAAATATATTCTCGTATCTTCACTTAATTGTAATTAGAAGATCGTGCAAATTTATCGTTTAATGTCAGCGAGTAATAATAGTGCCATTTTAATATATGGAAAGAGTACTTCTGAGAATTAAAGCAAGAAAACACAGACTAACCTAAGTTGTTATTGATGATAAACTCAAATGTATACTACAGTACTATAAAATTGCAGAAATTGTATTTTACTTGAGTTAGTAAATATAGTATTTCAAATTTTTTATTTATACAAAGTAGCTATACTGCTGTTCATCTGTCTCATTCTATCTTCTTCAATAACATTTATCAACGTATCATTTTACTCATACAGAAACAACACCATGTTATTTTAATCTTTTGAATTAACATAAATCTTACATTTTTGTCTTTTTAGACGATAAACTTTAGATGAATCTTCCGAAGCCAACCAAAGAGAAAGATTCAGCAACAGCAAGTTCATCAGGACAAGTTACATTTGTAAGTATTTCCAGCACCAGTCAGTTATTCATTCATTTTTTGTATATAATTTTTATCTTTAGGCCGGTATTAAATCAGCAAGCAAAAAAGAAGTGCGAGAACGACGAATCAGAGCAGAAGTGGTATGTGCTTTTACAAAAACTTTGATAAGGTATTCTGTTCTCACAGAATAAATGACGTGTAAATAAAGTGCAACTCGACATTCAAAGCATAGATTTTTTTGTATATTTTTTATGAAAAATATCTACTGGCGAAAAATAAGTTTTTCAAACAGGAGTGTTCATGTATATAACTAAAATAACTTGAATTAATTTAACTTAGTTCCATCATCCTTTTAAATCGGCCATTAGCGCCCCCCAATTGATATAGTACAAATGTACGCCATCTATCGTGTAGCCAATATTTAGTAGTCTACTACTTAGCTGAATATTAAAATAACAGCTACAATCGTAGTACATCTAAATGTGTTGTGTTCATTAATTAAGTTGTAATTGTATATACAGAGTAAAAAAACAGTCGAAAAACGTGTACATGAAGAAAAGCATATAATAATGTAATGTTTACTGAAAAGACATAACTATTAATAGAAAAGCGTGCATGGAAGAGATTGAAACTCAGTGTAAAAGATAATAAGAAAAAAAGTTGGAAAATAAAGCAGCTTTAAATTAGAACTATTATATTCTTATTCTGACTAAAGTCTTGTTTTTTAGTTGAAATTTATTTTAATCAAGTTTCATAGTTCATTATAGACGAGAAGGAAGTCTTTCAAGTTTGGATTCGACTCATATTCAACACTTTTTTGCTTATCACATCCACATTCTATGCTGAACAAGCAATCAAAATTGAAGCTTATGAAATTGTGCATCTCTTCTTCACACTTATTCTGATTACTTTTACATAGTCTATTTTTAGTGTTTTATCATATAAATCTAGGATTCACTGTTTTATTTCTCTAATCTGTACAAAGACATGATACTATGATAGAATTAGAGAAGGATACGGTAAATTTTAGTACTGGTGTTAATAGTTCATTATTTTTCATTATTATTTCAGTCCTAATTACTCAGACAGTCAATCAGGTGCATTTTTTTCTTTCAAGAAGATACTCCAATTGAAAGCGAATACTCCGTGCAGTAGTTTTAAGGTTCATATCACCGAAACAAAACAAAAATAAAGTTGGTTTTTGAGTTGCTAAAAAGTGCTTTTTCGTATCCAGCACACTTGATAACCCAGATTTTCTTCCCAAGATTTTCTATTTTTGACAAAGACTACTTCCAAAAGTTTAGGAAAAATTTTGAAACAAAATGGCGCAAAAAGTCTCTATGGAAAGATATTTATCCTAAACTTTTCTTTGTTCCTATGTTTCAAATTTTTCCCAAAGTTTTAGAAGTAGTCCTCAAAATAGAAATTCGTCTGGGTTATCGAGTGTGATGAATACGAAAAAGCACTTTTCAGCAATTCAAAACCAACTTTATTTTTTTTCCGGTGATGTGCTTTCGTGTTATTTTTTTCCTGCTGTTTTAGTAGAGAACATTTTTGAACAATATCAACCTGATTATGGATTTATTTATTTACTTCTCACTAGACTACTTTGAGAAATAAGCTGATCCAGTTTTGATCAGACTTTCAATACAATCTGAATTACTTAGTCAGATTTCTTAAACATTTTTTGGATGATTTATATATATTATATAGTATATCAAACTTTCTTCGTACTATTCAAAAAAGTGGCATTTATTTTGTGTCTGAGATAAGAAGGCAAAAAGTACCCTTGAGACTAGTAACCAAAACGTCTATTTTTGAGTGCAGATGGCTTAGATAAGGATCTGGATCCATATAATTCTTATGAAATTATTCGTTTAAAAACTTTTCATTTTTATATCGACAGACATTACGTGTTTTGCTGGAATTTTTTTTTTATTTTCTTCTTTCATCCGTTTTTATTTACAGTCAATAGTGTTGTTGTTAAATTTGTTTTTTAAAAACTTTATCTTAATTTCCAAAATATCTTATCAAAAGAAATTATTTCAAATAAAAGAAAAATCACTATTTTTTTTTCTTTGTGGATGACAAAACAATGGGGATTAATTAAGGAAGTAATTTATTCATAATTAATGTTTGAAAAGGACCGTTTAGTTGATAGACAAGTAAAATTAATTATTGATAAGTTGTATTAAACAAAGTTTTTTGCACGAATAGCTTAAAACTATTTTTAAGTATAAGAGAAAACTCAAAAGGAGAAAAAGCAAAACATCTCCTATTATTATTACTTCTGTGTGTGTGTTTGTGTATGTGTGCATTCAAAGAAAAATAAGTATCAAAAAACAAAGTGTCATTTTTCCAAAGTCACGTACACACAATACTTTTTTGAGCGCAAAACACACATATGTAACAGACTAAAAATAGAAGCGAAAAAAGTTCAATAATAAGATAACGCCATTCTTTATGGAAAAATAAAAAAATATTTTTATACCGACTGCGCGGGAAAAAAATAATATTTTTAGAGTTGAGCGTTATAAGCATAAGAAGAAAAAAATAATTTTTTGAGTCAAATTTTTTCTGTTACATATCTCATTTGTTCACTAAGTTTACAAAAGAAAAAGATTTTCTTCCTCTTTTTCTTGTATTGTGTTCTTGATAATGAACAAGAGACATCCAAAAAAAAAAAAAAAGAACGCACATATACATTCTATAAGTCAGTCAATCGTTTCTTTTGCTCGCTTTTTTTCTTGATTTAATCAAACGTAAAGTAGATGGATGTTTTGATCAATATACACATTACTGTACTACTAGACGATTAATCTGTATGTAAAATGAGATGAAAGAAGAAGAAAATATCGAGGATTAGTGGGATAGAGTAAAAAATAAGATTATCTCATCTATGGCACCAACAACATTCTTATTCTCTCTTTTCTCTCTTTTCTTGTTTTATGTACTATTTATTTTCAATCATATATATGTTTTTGTTCGTTTTCTTTTTCTTGATAGTTAGTTAATGAAAGATAGCCTATTTTCTGTCTGGTATAAAAGTTATTGGAATACAATTTTTCTCTTCATATATCATCTAATTGAAAAGCAACAACAACAGCAACAATACTAATAGCAACAACAAAAATAATAGCATAGGTCCAAAAAAAAGATTATTGTTTTGTTTTTTGTCTTTTCTCCATAAATGCACCATTTAATCGCGTCTATTATCCTCGTTTGACACATATCGACTAAAGTTTAAGCTGTTAATCGACAACGACGAAGACGATTATGTTACGTGACATTCATCCATTTAAAGCTCTAACATCAAGAATTGCAGCGAATGCAAAACAGACTGTAAGTATGAGAACTGTTTGCTCCCTCTTTAAAATACACTGATAGCCAAAAGTATCCCAATCTTTGAATTTCTCGAACTATGATAGTTAGTAAGTTCAAATTTTATGTAATGATAAATCTCGCTAAATGCATCTATAAAATTTGAACTTCTGTGACTGAATCGCTCAAAATTTCAGTTTTTTCTATACAATACCAATAACTCTTTACTCAGGGGAATGAAATACAGTTTTTTTACCACAACATAGCTCATTCACATTAATTCTCTTGCATTTATGACATTCAATGTATTGTGGATTGATAGATAGTGAAATACAGCTATTCTATAATGGCTGGTCACTTCTGAAATTCATTTATAAAAACCTGGAATAATTATTTTGACTTTAAAACTCTATCAAATATACTCTATAGGGATTATTCATTCAAAAGTTAGTAGTTAACTAGTATGTGGTTGCGAAAATCTGTTGAAGAACTGAGACTCACTCTTTTTACTATATTTTGTGCGTTTAGTGCCCTTTATTATCATGCTAATTAGGATAATCTATTGTAAAAAAAAGTGCGTGAAACGTTGACAATATGATTTAGTACATATGGTTTCTTTTGGACTATTTTATAATTTTAGTAACAAAAAGTGCTTGAATTAGGAGTTACTGATATTTTACTGGAAAAAAATATGAAATCTCGAATGATTCAGTCAGAGAGGCATAACGTCAGAGAGGCTAACATGATGGGAACATTTGATGTGGTCTATAGTTATAAAAAATTTTGAATACATTGACTACTATAGTTCGAGAATATTCATCGGTCATACTTTTGCTCACCACTATATGAACATTTTTTCTGTTTCTTGTTATACTCAGCAATACAGTTATCTTTCTTCCAGTGAAGTGAAATGTTTATCATTAATTTTTTCGCCTAACCATTAATCAACATACTATTCTCACATCTAACATCGATATAAACCTAAATCTTTTAAAATATTGTTATTATTCTTGGAGAAGAACTTCAAGTTTTGCTCAATTTTTACTTGATCCCGTATAATTGTTGTTGATTGTTCTATGATATAACTTATACTATAGTAGACATCGGTTATACCTTTTACATCGATCGTCACTATAGATAATGATGGTATACATTATATTATAATGGCTTGTTCTCTATAATTTTCGACATGGTTCTTATAATAAATAAACCGAATCCACATGATTAAATTTCTCGTTGAATGTGTCTGCGTGTATCATGTAATTATGTTAAAAGAAAATAATATGCGTGTTATCTATCATTATGTATGAAAGAAATTAACGGATCAAAATGAAATATAATAACAAAGTACATATATAAATATTTATACTCATTATTTAGAACTCTTGCTGAAATACAAAACTAAATAAAGTCTAATTTTAACTAGATATGATTAGAAAAATCGCATATAAGATAATAAACCTAATTTACACTCTAGAATGTCGATTAATGAAAACATTACGATAGAATTTTGTTAATATATATAAAAAAATTTTTGTTACGCAAAAAATTGGATTCTAAATACATATAGAATACCAAATTATATATCTGTTATTTTCTTTTAGGATATCAATCGCGAAATTCAAAATTGTCGAGATGAACAATCTGAACGATTTGACTTGAGTAAAAGTAGTGTAAGTATCTTTTAACTTTAATTTTTTAAATTTTTATCAAATATAAATATATTTAAACTCTATAAATTATATTTAATTCAATTATAGGTTACTGTCTTACCCAATACCATTAAAGATGTAAGAATATCATCATCATGTTCTGATAATATCTAAAATGATATTTTCTATCTTTGTTCTAGTTAACACATGTTCGTGAACTCTATTTGTACAGTAATCGAATTCAACAATTACCACCAGAGATTGGCAATCTTGTCAATTTAAAAGTATTGGCACTCAGTGAAAATTCATTAACTACTTTACCAGATTCGATGGATCGTTTAGTACAACTAAAAGTATTAGATCTAAGACATAATAAATTTGCTGACGTACGTTTATTTGATGTTATATTTTGTAATATATGTTCATTATCAATATTTTTTATTTTCTTTCTAGATTCCTGAAGTTATTTATCGTATAACAAGTATAACAACACTGTATCTTCGATTTAATAGAATTAAAGAAGTATCAGAACAAATTCGAAATCTTTCCGTATGTTTATTATATGTGATTTAACGTTTTTGTACAAAAATCGTAAATAACCGAAACGGATAGAAAGACTTTTGTTTACGTTGAAAAGTCTTTGAAAATTTGAAATTTTGAAAAGTATTTTAAGAAAAAATAAATGAATTTTATATTAAAAAGAAAATCTTTTATCCTTTCTATCTCCTACGCAAAATTTGCGTCTTTATCTCTTATTCTATATTGACTTTTTTCTTAATTAGAATCTTCAAATGTTGAGCCTACGTGAAAATAAAATCCGTTGTCTTCCACCCACTGTCGGATTACTTGTACAATTATTAACGTTGGATGTAGCACATAATCATCTTGAACATTTACCAAATGAAATAGGAAATTGTTCAAATTTAACAACATTAGATTTAACTCACAATGAATTAATTGATTTACCAGAATTGATAGGAAATTTAAAAAATCTTAGTCGATTATTGATAAGGTAAAATAAACAAAAAAAAATGAAATATATCTAATCCTTTTTTTAATAATTGAATTGAACATTTTCTTATCATAGATATAATCGTCTATCGGCCATTCCACAATCATTAGCAAATTGTTCGAAATTAGATGAGTTTAATATTGAAGGAAATAATGTATCTCAATTGCCCGTACGTATTTCTCTTTTCTTCTTGTTTCAATATTTTTTATTTCAAAAAAAAATGAATTTTATAATTCTAGGAGGGTCTTTTGTCCAGTCTTGTTCATTTAAATACAATATCCTTAGCTCGAAATAATTTTAATTCATTTCCATTGGGTGGACCAACACAATTTACATCGGTTCATGTAAGAAATTTCATTCAAAAATACATTTAAATTATTTTATTTTCATATATATATATATATATTTTTGTTTTCTTTTAGTCTATTAATATGGAATGTAACTCAATCGATAAAATTCCATTTTCTATATTTTCACTAGCAAAATATTTATCAAAGTTAAATATGCGTGAAAATGCGTTAACATCATTGCCATTAGGTAATTAAAACTTCTTTACTGTGTATGATTAATCTCTCTCTTTCTCTCTCTCTCTCATTTAGATATTGGGAGTTGGACAGCTATGGTTGAATTGAATTTAGCCACAAATCAATTGACTGTTATACCTGAAGATGTTAAAAATTTACAAAATCTTGAAGTTTTAATTATGAGCAATAATCATTTAAAAGTATGATCATTATTATATAAAACAAAAATTTTATTATCTAAAATCATTATTTATGTTATTTATTTCTCTGTTTTTTCTAGAGAATTCCACCATCGTTAGGTCAATTAAGAAAATTGAGACATTTAGATTTAGAAGAAAATAAATTGGATTCTTTACCTCAGGAAATTGGTATGCCAAAATAAAAAAATAAATATATAAATGATCCTACTCTTTTTTCTTCTGGTTTTTTGGGATAGAAAACAAAGATAAGTAGATTTTGTAATGGAAAACGGAAAATTTAGCAAAAATGAATATGATAAAACATAGATTTTTTATTAATTAACACTTTAAAGAAGAAAAAAATTGTTTTTTCAAGTTAGTGAAAAAAAAAGAGAAAATAAAATTTTAACATCCGGAGAGCAGTTTTAGAGATGAAAGTAAGCGAAACAGCAAATATTGATAGAGTGTCTTGCATTATAAACGGTTTAATAGTGCTTAAACAACAACAAAAAAAAAAAAAAAAATTATTTTACAAAATGTTGTTTCTTCTCGCTTATTCACACCTCTGAAAGTGTCCTCCGGATGTTACAATCTTATTCTCATATATATAGTTTTTTTCTGTTGACTAGAAAGTTTTTTTTTTCTTCTTCTTTTAAGTGTTAATTAGTAAAAATTTAGTTGTTTTTTTTTATCACATATATTCAGGCTTTTGTATCTTAATCTATACTAGAGATAGAAATTTTAATTATGAACTAGTAGAATTAAAAATAAGTACTATTTCATCTTTTCTCATTGCAATATTAATTATTTTTTAGGTTATCTGAGAGAATTGACAAGACTTATTGTCGCTTCGAATCAGTTAACACAATTACCACGATCAGTGGGGTATGTAAGAAGAAAAAAAGCAGTAACAATAAATTTTTGCGTCAGTTTTTTGAATATATATACTTTAGAATGGATGATCATATGTTGATAAAAAAAAATACAAAAAAGAAAAACAGAAAATATATATTTCAAACTGTCGCTGTTTTTGTTTTTTTTATCGAATCTAAAGTTTTATATTCATTTTTGTCTAATTATTTAGATCATTGACAAATCTAACACATTTGAATGTTGGTGAAAATAATTTAACTACATTACCAGAAGATATAGGTAAATATTTTTTGAAATAAATTTGATATATTTTAATCTAACACACTTGATCAATTTAATAGGTCAATTAGAAAAATTAGAACAATTGTATATAAATGATAACCAAAATTTAGATGTATTACCCTATGAATTAGCATTGTGTACAAATTTACAAATAATGAGTATTGAAAATTGTCCATTAAGAAGTCTCCCACAAGAAATTGTCGCTGGTGGACCATCTCTTGTTATACAGGTAATTCTATTGTTTATTTTTTTATATTAAATAAAAACTTTAAATTTTTTATTAAACTCTTTTATTCTATTTTAGTTTCTCAAAGTTCAAGGACCATTCAATTTAAATTAAAATGATATTTTATTTATCAACAGTATATTTCCGTTGTATTTACATATATAAATATGTATTTTTCTTTCTCATGGAAACCGTAACGGATTTTATATGTGCATTGTGCACGACAAAATCCGTATCATAGTCATAAACAAAGCTCTCGAATGTGTGAATATGATATATATGTGTCAGTTGGTGTTTCTTCTTTATAAAATACATGGTGTGTTTTTGACCGGTTTACTACAATTTTTTTTTTCGTTCATTTGTTTTTATATTTGTTTGTCATACTTATACAGATTTTTCGTTTCATTTTTAGCAAAATGTTTTTTCTAAAAAATTTTCTTGTTCAACTGATCAAACAACGTCGGTATATATATATATATATAGTTTTTTTGGATAAACATCTGTTTTCACTGGAGAATATGAAAATGATTCTAAACGGTAAACTATTCTATTATAGTTTTCTGTGCAAAGAATTTATTTTCTCAAAAAAGGATTATCATCCTGTTTAGTAGTAAAAAGGATGCTTGTGACGAATAGATCTAGTAATTTTGAGTGCAAAAATATTAGTTTAACAAAAGAACAAACTAGATTTTATCCATTCACCGTCCGTTAACGTTGAAGAGGAATGAATAAAGGAGGTGCTGTCAGTAGACCTCTAACACTATCTTCCTTTATTTTGTATATTTTCAAGATAAATAAAATATATTTTATGCTACTAAATTAATAAATAGAAGCAAGTGTCTATGTATACATCACATCGTCTGTTATACGATATCAACAAAATAGACAGTGGTCGGTCTATGCTTATGGTCTCATTAAGGTTCCCGTTTCTGTCTAAAAAGTCAATTTTCATCAAAAATATCAATTTTAGAATTTATACATAGTTGGATACTCAGAAATGTTTACTTTCAGAATTTACAGTACTTTCTGACTTAGAGATAAATTTTCATGGCATCAGAAGAAATTTTTGGAAAACCCCAAAAAATATAATATTCGATTTCTAGTTTTTGTCATGATACTTCTGAAATTTAGCTATTTTCTGAACACGTTGATTTGTAGAGCAACCTTTTCCAGTCAAAATGAGACATAGCGCAACTCTGTGTTACTTTCTGATAAAAAGCTACACTCCCTTTTGTTTGGAAAAACTAAACAAAAAAAACTTAAAAAACTCCATTCTGTTAAGTTGATGCGTCAAATTTTAACTCAATTTTGATACCACCGCGAGTGTCTTAACACTTAAAATAGCGGAGAAATCTTTGTTGCACAAACATCTACTTTTTGAAAATTTTATTAAGATCGCATGTTTTGGGACGAAAATAGTTTTGGGGCAGAGGTGCAGTGTGTATCCAAGCGGAGATTTGGCAAAAACATTGAGAGGCTCTTTTTTCCGCTCTTAACATAGAAAACTATACTTCGAACTATGGGCCATATATTCCCAAAAGAATTTTTGTTCTAACTGCTACGAATCATGAGAAAATACTTAGGCAAACATTAGCCTGAAAACACATTGGGATGCAGTAGAATAAATTTTTCATAAAAGCCAACCAAGTCTAAAACAGAACGACATAGATTATGAGTCTAGATTCTTTTCTAGCTAAATTAACGAGACAAGGTCTCAGTTTGGACTTATAGTCTCGGAGAAACAAACTTATGTTCCAGACTAACTAAGTTTTCATAGACGACCGACCAGTGTAAGAAATTTTCGGAGCTCCAGACTTCACCAAACTTTGCAAAAGTCTTCGTCTATATACAGCACATTCATAGTGCATATAACTTAATGCTTTCTTAGCTCTCACTGTAGGATTCCAAAAATTCTGCTCTTTCAAGTAAAAGCTATTCACTTTTAAGAAAAAATAAAGTCATATTCGGAATCAGCGCATCGAGTTGCATCGAACCACGTATAACACAATAAGTTTAACTATCCATCGAAAGTTTTTCCCAGGACCCTACAAAAACAATTTTTCGAAAAAAGTGACTTTTTTTTGAAAACGTTAATTTCTTTATTGAAAAGCATCAGAGATAACTAAATAATGATAATTCTTCATAAAAGGATGGTATACGAGCAAAAAATTCGGTCTACTAGTAAAAAAATGCTCACTGTGGGTGGAGTTCTTAGCCAACATAACTGTTTCTCAACTATAGTGGTCAATTTCAACTTCAGAAAATTAGCTGAATCTCGAGAAAAGAAATACACTACATTACAGATGCATACTTTTGAAAAAAAAGATCAGATAATTGATGTTTCTTATGTGTGAGCATTCGATTTAGAGAAGTATTGCAATGTTCTGAGATCATAAATACATCAACAGGAGTTACTGCTGAATTCTATTGAGCAGATTTTAACATCATCTAAGATGTTAAATATTCCACAGATTATCACATGATCCACTGTTATTTCTATTTTGTTCGATAATATTATAAAAAAAAATCGATTAATTGTGTTTATTCATGCTATAAAAATAATTATCAACAATAAACTATTTAGAAAAAGGTCAAATTTTCAACAAATCATTTCATACTATGATATGACCTTGATTATTTTATTTTTTGTATTGGCAGAACCCATCTAGACACTAATATTTTAGATATAAATGTTAAATATCTCTGCGTCTATAGGATGATCAAACATCAAATACTGATGTCATTTACCTATTTAGTGATAATTTTTTATAGAAGAGAAAAAAATAAAAGAAAACAAAAAAAAGAGACTCGTTATTATTGGAATAAATTCATATCATTCAACTTAAATTTCTTGTTGAAAACAGGGATAGGAAAATCAGAAAACTAAAATTCATATTTGCCCATTAATGTGGTATGTATGAGCAGCTATTAATATGTCGACAAATGTCCGAACGTTATTAAACAAATTTCAACCAACACAACAACAAAATGACACAACTGGTTATCATGGTAGTCCAGTGACAATACAAAATGATTCTAAACGATTTCATGATAATCAAAAGTCAAAGTATTATTCATTGAATGATGATCGAGAAAAATTATTAAAGTATGAAAATGAAAGAAAAACTGCAACACCGACAATAACAAGACTAATTGATGAAAATTATAGTCAGCCTTATGGAGTTTATGTGTGTATTCATTGTGGCAAAGATCAAATGGTCACAATTGTTGCTATTAATCCAACAAGTAAGTTTGCTAAAAAATGTCTTTTTAGCATTTATGAAATCGTTACAATGAAAACAAAGAATTTTTAAACGTTCTACAAAAAAAGGCATCTTGATTTAATAATGCCTCTGTTTGGAGAATTTTATGCATACTTTTATGACAAAGTTAGTAAGCCAAGTTTTATAACGATTATTTTATTATCTCTGTTCTCGAATTTAAACTGAAGTCTATTTTAGCATCAAACCTAGTACAATTACACAAAACTACTTCAGAATCGGATTTTTTATCTCACAAAAATGAAAAAGTGTTGCTTTCCAGTAATGTTCAGGAACAAAGTTGGAGCACAAGTATAAATCAACAACAAAAACAACAACTACAACAGCAGCAACTACAACAACAACACCAACCACAACAACACCAACCACAACTACAACAACAGCAACTACAACAACAACAACAATCACAACAACAAAAACAACAACAATTACAACAACAACAATCACAACAACAAAAACAACAGCAATTACAACAACAACAAAAACAACAACTACAACAACAACAACTACAACAACAAAAACAATCACTACAACAACAACATGATGTAAGAGAGACTATAATAAATGATATGAACCAACGACGATATTCTCAAAATTACGATCGTCATCGTTCGTCCCTTTATGGTGAAATTATCGAGGATGCGAACGAAAATGAAGGCGAAATTCATACATATTCTTCAAAACTAAGTATGCCTGAAAAACATTCAAATGATGTCCCATCACTGAATTATCAACATAAAAATTCTGAACGTGATAATAGTTTTGTTAATATTGAAAAGTCAACAGATCAGGAACAATTAGAGCGGAACATTGATGGTCTAGTTGAAAATTGGCTTCGTCATAGTGTAGAACATGTGTCACAGGACAATATAAAAAGTATGTAGAAAATATTTTATTCGAAAAACTACAAGTGAAATAATTTGAAATTTTAAACTCGACTTGTCTGAACTAACTAAATTTTGTTTTATAACCGTTTTTTCCTTACAGAAAACCAGTTGTAAAGTAAAATTTATTTAACAAGTGAAATAGCTTGGATATGCTATATCTCTGTTTTTAGACGAAAGACGAGTCCAATCTCAAAACGATAATACAAGAAGTGGAGATCAACATCAACGAGAACAAATGATGGGAATAAGAGGTGATAAAACTGAACAATCCCAATCAATAAATGCTAAAAATATGGAGTTACAGTTTGATCCAATACTAGGAAATGTGTTGCTAAAGCAGTCGACTGTTGAGCTCAGAAGAGAATCTAATTACCATGGGAAAAGAGACAGTATTCAAACCATGACACGGGAGACATATCGAGATACCGATCCGGGTGACGATGATCAAATGTATTATGCATCAAAATTGGATCGTGACACTGTTTTGCGAAATGAAAGCGAAAAACCAATTTGGGCACGCCGACGTTTATCTCATTCAACCGTAAAACCATCCGATTTGATACAGGAACCAGATAAACAAGAAAAATTAGAACCAAAAGCACTAAGAAGATTGTCGAGAGCTGGTATATCATCTTAAATAAATTTTTTCATTAACTTCTACCTCACTTGATTTAGATCTTGCCACTGATTTTCTCCGAATATCATCAAAAAGGTAGGATTTTGTACATAGCCTATTTTCCTTCTACATAAACTAATTGATTTTATAGTGCTGACAATGTGAGTAGAAATCCAGCAGTTATCAAAGACACCATATTACATTGGTGTCAAGATGTTACACAATATTACAAAGTATAAAACAAATAATTTATTATATTTTTCACAATGTCATTTCGCTTTAGAATGTTAATATCAAGAATTTTTCATCAAGTTGGGCGAATGGCATGGCCTTCTGTGCTATAATTCATCGGTATTTTCCTGAAGAATTTAGTTATGATATACTTGATCCAAATGAGCGTCGAAAAAATTTTGATTTAGCTTTTACTATTGCTCAGTAAGTCCGTTTCAGAAGACTCATTTATGAACTTTAAACAACTTTATGTAATTGTAGAGAACGTGCGGGAATAGATCCACTGATTGACACAGACGATATGTTAATGATGAAAGACAAACCCGATTGGAAAGTAGTATTTACCTATGTACAAAGCCTTTATCGGCACCTCTCGCGAATACAACCACCATCTGTTTTACGCGAACGATTTTAAAGAAACTATTGACTCAGACAAGCCGGTATAAAAGCTATTTTTTAATGCTTTTATAGTTTATAAACATATTTTTTTCTAGAATTATTCTCTATGCTTTATTTCTGTAGCGATATTTTTGAATCTACAATTTACTTTTAAGAAGCTGACCTCATTCATACGTCTATTTATGCAAAAAAAAACTACTCATATCAAATAATATGAACAGGAAAGTTGCAGAACGAAGGATTTTATCACGAAGTTTCTATTATAATTCTGAAAAAAATTTTCGTTATGGTGAGAAACAAGGGTCACCAAGTATAGGATCAAACAGCACTTCGGGACATTTTTTGAAAATAGAACGATCATTTCAAAAAGAGAAGTCCAACATAATGTGAACTATTGAATACTGTACTAGACGGAAAGGTTAAAAAAATAGTTTTGTTTGAAAATTTCATTTTTATTTATTCATAGTTTACTTAATTTCATTTCAAAGATAAAAGAATAAACAACTAACGAAACACGTCCACATATATATCTCACATAAAAATACAAAAAAAGAAAAACTTTCCTTTATATAAATACTGTGAAAAGACAAAGAAAGAGAATATGACTTAGAAAATGCTACTTTTTACAGATATTTACATAATATAATAGCAGACAAACACAGTTTTGAAACAAGTATACGAAATAAAAAACGAATATCTGATGTATTTATCAGTTCATTCAAAAGTACAAAAAAAAACCATTAGAGATGGTCAGAAAAAAAGAGTATGTATTTTTTACTCTAAGTATCCATGGCTTCCATTCTCGAACTAATATTACTACCTCCTGCTATCAGAGTAGAAGTTGTCTTGGATGAATGAAAATGATCTGTGGAACCGTTCGTAGATGCTGAAATATGCATTAAACGATCTCTGATTGTGATAAAACGTCGCTTGAATTCAATTCCATCTCCCTTAAATTAGAAATAACGCGTAAAAAGTGAAAAAACTCTAGTAGCACTTTAACTATACTTTTGATAGACGAAAATCGACCATAATCAAATCAGTAAGTTTAAATATGTTTGCTTTGAATATCAATTCATTTCGTCGTCTATCTTGTGAAAATACCGTTATCTAGAAGAACAAAAGTAATGATGTATTTATTCCTCGGCCATTATGTAACAATGCTGTGAGTTTACTTGATTAGCAGCCGTTGTTTTCCAATGGTAACCCAATTGATCAAATAGTTTCGTCAAATGAGCGATTGTTCCATTGAATGATGATGTTAAAACAATACGTGTCATACGATGTACGAGATGTTGAACTGGATTCTAACAAAACATAAAACAGAAACAATGATTATGTGTATTCTAAACTGCTAGAAATATAAGAACAATTCTTACTTCTCCCATATCAGATAACGGTATCATTTCAGTATTCAGAACAAGATCATCGAGTCTGACTGGTTGTGAAAAACTATTTATCCATGCAGAATCAGATTCTGTATGGATAACCGATGAACTTGTAGTTGGCTGTGTTAATGACACACATTGTTCATTATTTGTAGGTCTAAAAAAGATTTTATATCATGTTTTTAATCAAATATTATTTTTAACTAATTTTCTTCTGAAATAAATCACAAAAAAACACTTAATTACATACACAGCATGTTTCTTATAATCAATGCGTGGATCGCCTTAAACACGAGAAGAAAAAAGAATAATTTATGTACGTTTAATTTTTAATTTAGGTTTTACCTTGTGTAAATACTTTGATAAACCACGGATGGGCCTTGATTTCCCGAACAATTGCACGTTTTTGTGGTTCATGTTGTAATAGACGACGTAATAAAGCTGAGAATAAAGAACCATAAGCAATCTGATTTAAATATCATCTTTCAAAATTTACCGAGAACGAGATTGTCAATTTTTCTCCACGGATTACTAAAACAATCACCCGATGCCCAGCGTAAATATTCCGGATTTTGTGGTGACGGCTGATCCCATGGCAATTCTTAAAAGAAGAAAACGAAATATAATACAAGATTCTAACGAAGAGAGCAGCACTTACCTCCAGTTAACATCGCACTCAAAATAATTCCACATGACCAAACATCAACTGGTTCACCACGATAAGGAATTTTAGCCCAAACCTTTCAGAAAAAACAATTATCTTTTTCTTTTCTATTAAACGAGAGCATGAAACATCTCAGCATACTTCTGGACTCGAATACGGTGCCGTACCACAATATGTTGTTAGATTTCGTTCGATATTATTGTGTCGAAATAACGTTGCTAATCCAAAATCACAAATTTTCAAAATATCTAAAACAAAACCCAGTAAGAAAATGTTCATAAATGAAAAATAGCATACGTTATTACCATCATTGGTGACTAATAAATTTTCCGGCTTCAAATCACGATGTGCAACACCATGTGAATGAAGATATTGCTAGAAAAACGCAAAACATGAATTCTTTTATCGTATGTACCAAAATAAGACTTACCATTCCCTCAATAATTTGTTTGAAATAATGTTGGGCATGATCTTCAGACATACCAACATCAGGTTCTAAAAAATACAAATTTGATAATATTATTAATTAAAATGGTAGAGTAAAAGCGAACCAATTTTGTCGAACAATTCGCCACCGGCTGCATATTCCAAAAATAAATAATAATTTGATTGTTGTTGTTTATAACCGTAAAAACGAATGATATTCTCATGTCTCAATGAGCGATGTAAATCAATCTATTAAAGTAAAAACCACACGTTTTCGTAATAAGTATAAAACTCTTGCAAGACAAATAGAGACTTCAAAAAGCAAACTAAAAAAATTTTAATCACGCTCTTCATTTGCCTCTTTTTTAATAATAACATCATTTCCATGTAATCGATTCAAATCAATAACTTTCACTGCTGCAAATTCATTTGTGTGAATATTTTTGGCTAATACAACTCTGAAATAAGAGAATAAAAACTACAGAGAAATACAGACAGTTTGAAATAGAAAAAACACGTACTCGCCGTAAGCGCCTTCGCCCAATGTTTCGGTAAACTGCCACATGATAAATACAAAAACTATCTAAAAATAAAAGTACAAACAAGAGTATTCGTTGTTCTGGAAGAACTTATGCATCCAGTACAATATATTCGACATTTAACCTTTTTTCTTCTGCAAATAAATATTCTCCTAAATTCGATAGAAAAAGTAATTCCAACTCAATCTATTGTTCTCGTTTGGAGGAAGTAATACTACTAATCACGAGATTGTCCGTATTTTAGTTATTACTTGACATCATCGACAGCCTTTACTTCACTTATTTTTTTAAAAATTCCCTTCTTTTTGCATACGCGCTGAAAACGTTGGTAGGTTGAGTATAAACCAATCCTTAACGTGAAAGGATAGACTACCTATTACAACTAGTTATCTACATTAAGTTGTCTATCTAACGTAAATAAACCATGAGAATCTCACTGATGGATGATTTTCATAAATTGTCGGTCAGGATACACGTTCGATAATTTTTCGTCCAGTAATTGTGACTGTCAACGGTCAAGTTACGCTGGGACTGAAATCTAGGCCTAATTCGCTAGTATCATCGTGAGTTTACGTTGATTGTGGCAGCTTAGGACTAACATTCAGTCCTAACGTATCTTGACGGCTGTCAACTTATTTTCATTTCCGAGTGAATTTACTTGATTCAAGTACTTAACTGCTTGGTAAGTACTGGCAAGTATTTTCACAACTATTTGCCATAAAGTTTTACAAGTTCTTCTCCAACCCAGGTTAAACACAACTGACATTTAATAGGACATAAATGACTTATTAACGAAATGGCTACAACAACAGGGTTTCAACAGGCTTTTTATTGTGAAAAAAATGATCAGTTAACAGGCAGACCATTCATTGTTCTTCTTCTGACCTTTAATGATGGCCTAAAAACAAGCAATTAATTGTGTTAGTAAGGCTCAGATTTAGACACCCATTAAGTGGTATTTTACTGCCCGTTTTATGACCGTTACATAAACAGACAAAAAACGAACATTCAACGGTTGCCGTTTAATTCACCCTTTTTGTTTCGCTGACCTCACCACTATATAAATCACGTTGTTTTCTCATAGAAACGTAGAGTTTTGTTTTCCGCGACTATATAAGTCATCGAAACTTGTTGAGGCAGTAGCTACTGGTTCTAGGGATGGCACCGATCATACCTAGCCCTAGTGAAAGTACTCATACTATGAGTACGATTTTGCTCATAATTTGTCCATGAGTACTCATATGAGTTCTACTAACAACTTTTGAGTAGTTTTACTCAGTGAGTACTCAGTTACTCATGTGAGTACTCAGTTACTCATGTGAGTACTCAGAAAATATTCATTCACCATTGTATTTTGCAAAAAGGGAACTGTACAAAGAACGTAGAATTTAGTAAAGAAACATAGAATATTTATATTATTTTTTTTCTCGCTGGCCTCTCAGAGATGGACTTGTCTGTAAATACATTCACTAGGAAGGGAACCAAAAATATTCGAAAATTTGGAAAGTCATTTATTTCATGGTAGTGGTCAGGAAGAAATTAGTCATGATCAACAGTTGGATCATTGGCCATAAATAGCCAATAATTACGCAAAAATGACCATTAAACGATCGTTATTAAATGCTTGTTTTCAGACTGTTTCTTGACTGTTAAAAAAATGCCACTTTTAGGCATTAACACGTTTCCAGTTATAATGCCGCGAAGTGGTTAAAAAATGGCGTTAACTAGCTAAAAAATGTTATTTAAGACACATATTGTGGGCTGCTAACAGGCATTTAATAGACAATAAATTACACCGTTTTCAACGTCCTGGGAAGATTGCAATAATTGGTTGTACTACTACGAAGTGCTTTGTGAAGGTACTTGCGATGCTTTCACAGTTACTTTTACTTGGCAAGTGCCTGTGAAGTGAAGTAAAAATGCTTACAAGTAAATTTACCTGTGAAAAGAAGACAAGTAGTGGATTCATTAGGTAAGCGAAGTACTTATCCAAAGTGATGGAATCCAAGTACATTCACTAGAACTGACAGTCACAATTGCTGGAAGAAAAATTATTGAACATTAAACTAACTTGATTTAGAGAGTCTACGTTACAACGTGCAAAATTTGTGATGTTTTTTTCGCTCTGCAGCGAGTTTGATCCTTCCATTGTTTGTTTCTTGTAATTTATTTATAAAAATTTAACCTACAAAGATACCAAGAAACAACGTTAAAGAAATAGTTTTGTGGAAAGATATCTCATCTACAATTTAGTATGATTTGTTCACACTTCTGAGTGGGTCTAACGGAAAATTCGACCGCTTTTTGAATAACGTAAAAATTTACACTAAAGAAAAACGATTTTTTCCTATCATTTGATGCCATAGTTGAAGTCATAGTATTATGTTAACTTATATTATAGTATAAATTCATGTATATGTTATTTTTTAAAAATTTAAATGTCTTATAAAAATATCTTTGACTTATTAAATTATTAAAATAAAATATTTTTTATTGTATATGAGTGTGTGGATATAAAAGTTACGATTGGAGATAAAGAAACTTTTCTGTATGACCTGAGAAAATGAAAAACAAAATTAGTTCATCAAATTAATTAAATGATAATGATAACTGAATCACCAAATTTTTCTGTCCGCTCAAAACTTGAAATCTTTTTTACAAATAAAATGGGTTTATAAGTAACCGACTACGATGCATTGAATGAACACATACTCGAGATCTCCAGAGACTCTCCACAGAGTTTTCAAAGAACTTTTCGGAAAATAACAGGATGGAATTGTGTGAGTAAAGCTGGTACGAAGGATTTTCTTAGGAAATCGACCACAGCGAATCCAACAGACACAAGCTCAAAATTCCTAGATAATTTCTAGAAGATCTTTTTGGAAATATTGGAGTTGAGGCTCGCACAAAGGACATTGATGGGAGTGATTAACTATGGCGCTTCCAATAAATATTGATAGGATGGAGTTTCCAGAGAATCCCTTAAGATGTTGGAATTTTGAAACCGAAACAAAATGTTTGTATAAGGAACCCACCGTGACGTATGAAGAACATATTTCTGACACCTTCAGAGTTTCTGAAGGATCTCCAGAAAAACCTTTTTTGGTTTTTTGAAACTTTCGAATCTTTCTATTTTTAGATTTTTTCTAGATATTAAAGAAGTTGCAAATATGGTGAAGAGAAACAAGAGAATGAGCCAGATCAATGATTTAACGTTAAAAAAGAAAACAATTCATACCTTTTATCAGAAAAACAGAGTTCATTTAAAAAACGTTGATTACATGAAACTAAAAATCGCAAAATATCAAAATAAAGTTCTGAAATTCTTTCAGAAATCATCTGGAAGCCTCAAAAATATAAATGCTTCACAGTTGACCATATAAGGAAACATTTTCTTCCACCTTCAAAGCTTACAGAATGTTCAAAAGGTTTCTGAAGATCTCGTCCATCTTATATTATATGCATCATGGTCGATTATCTATGAATTCACCTTGTTCGAAAACAATATTTCAGATTTTATGGCACGCTACAAAGCGTAATTTTAATAAGAAGGTCACTTAACTGCTCGAAATAAAAAAGAGGAGCAACTTTGTTTTAAGTTCTCATTGTACCTTTGAACTAACTATTAATATATTATAATAAGTTTTGAAAGAAATTTATGTTGTGAATCAAAACTTATAAGTAACCTACTGAGAAGTGTAAATTAGTCATGTATCAGCTTCAGGTCGCACTTTTCTTAAGAGATATAGAAGATTTTAAAACTTATAGTCAAATAAGGAATGGAATGGTGATATTTTGAGTCTATCAGAAAGTTAATAAAAAACAGATACCTACAGGCACAAGTTTTTCCTCTCATTTTAACATCGCTAAACGTATATACAAAATGCTAATTAATCAACTAATTAAATATTCGAATTGAAATATGATCTAATATTAATGTCAACAAATACGATCACTTAAACATATGGATTCCTTTAAAAGTAAAAGAGGAATAGAAGAAAAATTAAAAGAAAAACAAATTATAAGAATCGTGATAGAGTGTAAAACCTAACTCGCCTTTATATGTAACCCCCACCTCTTAAGTCCTTCGTCGGATTTTTCATACTGTCATTTTATGATTTTTCGCTCTCTCTTTTTTAACCAGATGAACCAACTTATCTTAGCAGAAGTGGACCCCTCCATATCTTTTTGATTTCTGATACTATTCAAGAATCCAATTATTCTGCCCCTAAATTCTGGCATACCCCTTTTTTAGACACAACTCAGCAACGGGCCAAGGGACCTAGTGTTTAAATGATCGAACGTGCCCTAAAAAGCATAGAAAAACCCTTGAATCTAGATAATATCCCCGATAAAATCGTAATCATTGGGAGTATTAGAGCAACTTAAAAGAGGCTGGACAGATGAGATCAACAAATTCACGACTATACAGATGAAAAGCATGATGATTTTCCATTTTCGAGCGTAGGATCCTGGGAAAATAGAATTGAGTTTTTTGTACCTAATTGAAGGAACCTTTACCACTCATAATATATGATTGGATTGACCTCCCAGGTTAAAATAGGGAAATTTCCAGATCATATCTCTAGCCTTTCTCTCCTTAACTGTCAAATCATCCCCAAGGAATTAAAATTTTGTAATCCTTTCTCAGGCACTAGTTAAAGTAAACTAAGTTTCCTACTTCAGTATAAATGAGTAAAAGACCCCCGAGTTGGAACCATACAATAGGTGGGGGAGTGAGAGGGAGAATTCCAGAGAGCTAGAAGACATTTGAGTAGGTAACTTTCTTACTTATTTTGGTTTTGACGTTCGTCTTTAAGGATCTCTTCCTTTAAATGACGGCGGACACGACTAATCTGATCCTTAATATCATTAGTTCACCTGTAGCCTGCACCCAAGAACCGATCTGCCATTAAACTGGCGGACCCATTTGGTTTTTAAGTATTTTGTACCCATTTTTCATTCCAAGATTTGCTGAGCTCAGATTTAAAAGGAGTGATTTTTGGTCTCGCGACGATAAAACTGGAAAAATAAAAATATAACTCTACAGTTATCTGCCAGCATCAGCTAGAGTTATCATATTTGTGATCAGCGTATTAGACTTTATTATATATCAGGAATGGAGTGAAGTGAAGACAAAAAAAATGAGAAGATGGGTAAGCATCCAAAGAGTGATCAGAGATAGTATAAAATTAGAAAAAAATTTGATTGCAGAGATGGCGAAGCTTTTTCGAAAGCGTTCCCTCTACAGGCGAAAAACAATAATTATTTAAAAGTGAAAGGATGCGCATCCTTCTGCTTCAATAGTTGTTTTTCTATATAGACAGTACAGGAATAGTGTTCTGTCTTCTAGAAGTATTCATATTTCAGACTATAAATCTTTAACATTTTTCTTTCACGTTATTACTTTGGCTCTATGAATTTACTGAGCTACATGTGCAATAGATAATAACAGTTCAACGAGTCGAGAGAGGGCTATTGAATAATACAGCTAGCAACGGATCTTCAGAAATGTCAGTCTAACCGAACGAAACAATCTTGGAGGAGGGTAAAAATAAATCTATACATCTTAATAACCATCAGAAAGAGTTGTGTATTTAGATAATGCGTTAAACCAACCACTTGTGAAGTAGGAAAAAACAACATCATTGAACAGTGTAATGTTAACGTAAATGCTTGCAGTATGATGCATAACGTTCAATTTCCTCCTATTCTATATTCTATAATTAAATTGATCAACAGCATGTTATATGTTTGTTTCCAGCATAAAAAAGCCTATATAAAAAAATAAATATTTTATTCGCGTTCTCAAGATTAATATGTACATGAGATATTTGTTTTTTTAATAGAGTATGATATGAAGATCTTGAAAATATAACGTGTGAGATAGAGAACAAAGAGGAGAAAAATGAAAACGAAGTAAACGTTCTATGTGAACAATTTTTGTATATATAAAGGCAAGAAAAAACTTTTTTTTATTATACTGAACTGTATTTTCCGTTTCTCTTTGACCTGAACAATTGTAAGAATTTTTTCTTTCTTACATAGAGAAAGTACTAAACGAAATGCTTAGTAGAAAAAAAAAGAAGAAAGAGAAGAATAGAACGAAGTGAACTTCCAACGAAGAAAAAGGATAAAGGAACGTCTCATATTATCATCATGTTTATTGTACACGATGAACTGACTACTACGATGATGTTGAAAGTAAAATGTCTACGATTTTGTTTATGATCAAAAACTGAGTTATTTGTGAGATATACAGATGAAAATATGTTTAGTGTTTAGTGCTCAATAATTAATAAATGAAAAAACAAACTTTATATTATGTTGTTTTTCTATCAGTTGTTTGTATCAATTTTTTATCGTCAATGGCAAATGGAGAAGGTTCGGGAAAGAACGGTAAGAAAGTTTGCATATAATCTGTGAGAAAATATAATTGACTTCGTAATTAGTTAAAGAAAGATTTAAATGTACAAATAAAATATCCCTATAAATATTTTCAAAAGTTGAAAACAGAGCATCTGTCTGTTTTTCTTATTTAAAATCTGAATAAATTACAGCTGGTCTTAGTATCTATAGGATTTGATAAAATGTAACTCGAGCTAGATGCATTCCGGAAAAATGAACTGAACAGTAACTAAAGCAGTACTATTCATATGAAAATGCAAGTTGTAGCATATTTTTTGAATGACAGAGACTAGTTTTTCAAAGATACTGTCCAAATTTCTACTTTCGAAAAGAATGTTAATATTTGTTTTGCTTTCGAGAAGATGTCCCCCTGTCTTTTCTATCGAACAACAAAAACTGCACGCCTCAATCTCTTTTCGTTAAAAAGCTACTCAAACACTCTCTAATTGCATTTTATTTTGACACGGAATTAAGTAGGAATTAATATAAGCAACTGCGCCATAACGTTCACTAGTCTGCATTACAGTCCAGTCAGAATGAATATTTCAATGGAAGGATAAAGCGTGTTTACGAGCTGAAGAATAATATAAAATTGACAACTTTACCTACATTTTGAGCCAGAGCGTGTACAATAACTTCATTTGCTTCATTTTGTTTATTATTTGTGTACAATTGAGCCCGGAATAAAGTATGTCTGTTGAATAAATAATAAATACACGTGATTCTATGCATTGCTCTCGTCTTTCATACTACTTTTGACAAGAAAAATATATTTTTATCAACGGACGAAGATAACCTCGAAGCTTCGTGCTTTTTACTTTGAAAAAAATATACTACTGTACAAACAGTTTCACTTTGAGTTGAACAGATTTTTTCCATAAGAATGTCAAAGAAAACATAGTTAGAAGTGCACGAGTGCACTAATAATAATTTATAAGTGTATATAGAAAGTCAGAATTTTTTAATTAAAGGAAATAAAAATTATTAATTTAAAAGAATAAAATTAACACTGTCAAAAGACTGAACATTTTTTTTGTTGATATTTGCTATTTCCTACAAATATGAGTAAAAACACAAGAACTTCTACGAAATATCCTGTAGGAATTATATATAACAGCGGATTTTAGAATTATAGGCTGTCCGGGCTCAATTGTACACAAATAATAAAGAAATTGAAGTTATAAACGGGCTTATTTGTGTTCGAAAGACAAGATAATTTATATGTTTTGACTTCCAAGCTCATTTCTATCTTTTTTCAACTAATTAATCATTTCGGGCTCTAATATGTACTTTGTTCAGGCTCAATTATTTTCACGTCTGTTTTCTATTCTCGAACAAAAACTTAAAAGAAATTTCATGCTTTTATATATTGTTTTGTCTAATATATTTGTTTTTCTCACACATACACTTATTGAGCGACGACTGTCATGTATGCATGATACTTGAATTTATACATGCGCTGCTGATGATAATAGTAACGATGGTCAACAATAGATCATATGTTTTTTTTGCATGTATAAGAAATATGTGTTTTTTTCATTTATCTTTCTCTTCCTTAAGGGAATATGTCTCGCATATAAAATTGTTACTTCTTAAGTGTATATGACCCTTTTCTTCCATTAAAGATGAATAGTTGAACGTTGATTCCATTATATTGACTTCGATTAATTGCATAGTGATTGCATAATAGAAGAAGAAAACACTCAACATTTATTATGTAACATTCTTATAATAGGAATTTATATATCATCTATTTATATTAAATATCTCACAGAGAGAAATCAATTATTTAGCTTTTATAATTGAGAAAATAGTTTTCAATTACTATTTTTTGTTCATATTATTTATTGAAGCACTTGTGCTGCTACCCATTAATAAAAATAGAGACATAAATATAGAAAAATCTATTTTCCGGTTTATTATTAGTATGATTAAAATGAAAACGTAAATAAAATATTGGGTAATTAAACGTTGACAAGTAAAAATAAATCAAATCAAATTAGATACCTTGATTGAATAAGTAATCATAAATAGAGACATTAGATTTATGATTAAGACAAAGAAGTATAAAATTTATTTTACTTTTTCTATCAATCTGCGGAAAGAGTTTTTCAGTTATACATTGTACCAAGAAGAGAGCAAACAATGATACGTGAATAATTTACACGAAATAGAATCGTATTGAGATAACATATTTCTAAAAAGAAAATAAAGAAAATTTTGATTTTAATTTCTGTATATATATATATATATATATATTGTAGGGATCCAATGTTTAGAAGATGAATTTCGATGTGACAATATTTTATGTTTACCACTTGCCTTCGTGTGCAATGGAGAGTTTAATTGTCGGGATAAGTCAGACGAGTTAAATTGTACAACTGCCATCATCAATAATGGTCTATGTAATTTGAATGTATCGATTAATTGTGAACAAGAAATTTCACATAGTATTAGATTAATTGAACACGATTTTGATCTAGAAAAATTTCTCGTTGGAAAGCCGATACAAATATGTATTCTACGGTAATATTTATCAACCATAGTAATATAAATAATTGTTTCAATTAGAATTTCTCCTTTGTTTTTTAAGTTCATCTGTCTGTGATGGTGTGGTGGATTGTAAAAATGCCATTGATGAACAATGTACAAACAGTATGTATTAATTGCATACTGTCTCATATAAAATTAGTATAGTTTTTGATACACTACTAGGAAATCCAATGATTCAATGTTCGAAAGAAGACGAATATCATTGTACAACAACAAACAGATGTATACCAAAAGCATGGCTGTGTAATGGAATCAACGATTGTAAAGATCAATATGCGTCAGATGAATCAAGTATATCATATTTTTCAATTCTATTCAAAATAACTTGAGTGTTTATTTTTACAGATTGTGAAATGAATGAGAAAAATCAATGTTTATCAAACGAAAATAAATGTATTAATAACTCTCAATGTGTTCAAAAGATATTTGAATGCGATGGATTGAAAGATTGTGTCGATGGAAGCGATGAAAGACCATCATTGTGCAGTATGTTAAAATAAATACTTCTCAATCTCGTATATTACAAATTACGTATATTACTTTGTTTTAGATCGACCACGTTTTTGTACACCGGATCAATTTTTATGTAAAAGTTCACAGTTATGCGTACCAAAATCATTGTTATGTGATACTGTAACACAATGTCATGATAACAGCGATGAATTGAGTTGTACTTGTCCATCAGATGATTATGTGACAACGAAATTATTTTATCGTTGTGATATCAATACATGCATAGAAAAAACATTAAAATGTGATGGTACAAATGAAGACTGCATATTGGGCAATGACGAGAGAGATTGTAAGTAGATCATAATCGAAGTAAAGTGAAATAGAAATATTGCATGGAAAAGTTTTGAGAGTCTTTTTTTTTTTATGATAAAAAAATGAATTTATCAAAATATGTGATTAATATAAATTGACCATTTAGGTCCAACGTATACATCGAAAATGTGTGTAAATAATACATGTTCAGCTCCCAATCAAAATTGTAAGGGTTATTTTTATCGTAAAAGATGTGTTTGTGAAGGTGGATATCGACTAAATTATACAACAGGATTATGTGAAGATGTTAATGAATGTAGCGAGAAAACAATATGTGATCATTATTGCATTAATCTCAAAGGATCATACAGATGTGGTTGTGCCGAGAATTATCAACTAAATATTGATAAACATACATGTTCATTGAGAAAAACGTCAGACACAATCGAATCGTACATGATTAGTCTTGGAGAAAATGGTTTATATAAAGCAAAGATGATTAATACTGAATTTGAACTTCATTCACTTAATAATGAATTTGATAAACAATTTTTTATGGATACTTCGTCAATATTAGTTAAACTGGCTAACGCATCCAATCCTTATCTAATTGATTACGACTGGTCTACACAAACTTTCTATTATGCTGAATGTACAACATTGATAAGACAAACAATAATGTCATGTGCGAAAACATTAAATATTTATTCTATTAAATTGAATGAAAGAATACAAGAGAAAAAATTAATTGTAAATGGTCGAGATTATACGTCTGTTCAATCAATGGCCGTGGATTGGCTAGGTAAAAATTTATATTTTGTTAATACAAGATTACAAACAATCGATGTTTGCAAATTAAATGGTAATTATTGTAGAATATTATTACATCAAATATACAGTGATTATATACCGCAGAAAATTTTATTATATCCAGAAAAAGGGTAAGATTAACTAAAGCTAAGTGCCAAAGATTTCTGAATAACTTTAGATAGTTCAGCGTATTAATTGAATTATATTAAATTTAATTATTTAGTATACCATTTTGTTTGGTATGTGACGAATAGGAAAATCTCTACAGATGAGCCTTCATTGACTTCGTGGTTAAAAGTCAGATTTTCAACAAATCTTACTCTAAAACTTATGAACTCTATTTTGAATAAGACTTATTCTTTGTGGAAATTTTTAATATTTTTGTAGAGCATCGTCTCCTCTATCTATTTGTATCAAAAGCAAATTTAGAGATTTTATAGTTACTGGAAACTGAATTTTTCCACTCAATATGCATTTTAGAGTGACGTTTGGTTATACTTTTCTTTCACTCTGACTTTTTAAGTAAGAAATCAGTTAAGATTCATCTGTGCAAAATTTCCTGTTCACAATATCTTAAATAAAATGAAATATTTTAAAGTTAAATATGATACAGCCTTTACGTCTTAAACTATGAAAGAGACGGAGTGTTAGGTAGATTAAGCAAGTTATACTGTTAATTTTATCAGTTGATCATTAATCAGTTTTTAATTCTCTCTCTTAATTTCTTCTAGATTGTTATTTTATACAGCTATTGTTAAAGGAAAATCTCAACACATTGTTCGCATGAGTATGGATGGCAAAAATTTGAAATTATTTTTTACAACAAAAACAAAATCGGATACAATGAATGCGGATTATTTACGTCCTTTATTGACCATTGATCGTAAATCAGCTTATCTATTCTATTTTAATGGTCATGATCAAATTTATACAATTGATATGAATGGACATGTTTTGTCACAACATTATACATTTAATGAAATGATAACAATAAAACCTTTTCATGCTTTTCAAATATTTGCTGATAAAATGTATCAATCTTACTACGATGTTAAAACAAAACGTCGTGAATTTCGTATATCGTTAAAATATGCATTAGCAACGATGCTCTCAGTAAATAATAGTAAAACGAGTGAACTCAGTCGAATGCTTCAACGTTTCTATCAATTTCAATTATCCACATTCTTGAAACCACGTTCTTATTTATACAAGTTATATGTCAGACATTATCCATTGTACATGATCGATTTTATTATTGTTCATTCTTCGCAACAAGCATTAATTCAAAACAATTCTTGTAGTATCAATAATGGTAATTGTGAACAATTATGTTTGTTGAATGCAATGGATCAAACAAAGGTGACGTGTGCATGTGCACAATACTATGATTTGGCACAAGATGGAAAATCATGTATACCCAATTGTCCCGTACATTTCTTCAACTGTCCATTATCTAAAAAATGTATACCATTTTATCAGCAATGTGATGGGATCAACGATTGTTTCCTGGGAGAAGATGAAACTAATAAAAATTGTCAGGAAAAACTTTGTAACACACAGAATGGAACGACAATCAGTTGTTTGAATAGTTCAAAGTGTATATCCTATACGGATTTATGTAATAATGTAACGTCATGTCCAAGTGGAGAAGATGAAAATGAATTGATATGTGGACATTATTGTGAGTGGCCCAGTCTAACAACATGCAATAAAAAATATGGTAGTGTTTGTTCAACGGAAGAATTTTTATGTGATGGTAAATGTGTTGATATAAGTCATCGATGTGACGAAACTCCGTATTGTTGTAAGTAAATAAGAATAAGTAGTCATAAAATGTACTATTATATCGTTCGTATTTAGATGATAGTTCCGATGAGCCGTTTGATTGTAAGAATGTAACATGTCCCAGCCATTATTTCAAATGTCCATCTGGTAAATGTATATCATTAACGAAAGTTTGTGATAACTTTAACGATTGTGACGGATCATCACAAAATGAAGACATTAACAAAATCGGAGCCGATGAAACAAAAGAAGCTTGTGATTCATTACTAAACACATCATCAATCTTTGTGTGTTATGATAATCAAACGCGTATACCACTTCATGAACTTTGTAATGGTCGTCCCGATTGTCCCGATTCTTCGGATGAAGATCATTGTGCAGTACAAACAGTATGTGCAGTGAACGAATATAAATGTGACGAGCGATGTTATCCACACACGATTATATGTAACGGTTTTATCGATTGTTTCGATGGTAGTGACGAACAAAACTGTTCCCAAATGGCAATTAATAGTAGTGCTATAGGATGCAATAGACCAAATATGTTTAAATGTAAAGCAAGTGCTTATTGTATTAATGAAACTTATGTATGCGATGGTGATCTGGATTGTGGAGGTCAGTTTATTAACTGTCAAAGAAGTCATGCAACTTTTTTTCTCTCTTTATCTAAAAAGATTCATCCGACGAAGAAAATTGTGGTGAGAAAAAAAGTGTATTGAAAGATGAAACTTGTCTATCCGGTTATCGATGTTTACAACAACAACAAATTGGTGATAGTACCAAATGCATACCTCTGACTGAACTATGCGATGGCCATGCTCAATGTCCATTCGCTGATGACGAACATAAATCAGCTTGTCGTAAATATAAACAATTTTCACTTGATATCATATACAGAGTTGGGTGACTCATCATTTTCTCGAGTTTGAGTCGCATCAAAAGCTATCTCGAGCGATTTTTTCAAAAGCTTAACATTTCCACTAGTTTGCTTTTGCAAGAACGCCATTCAGATTCTGTCTCTATTGTTTTTAAGTCTTCAATCTGACCAAATGATGAAAATTTCTCCTCAGAATACTCTCAAATCCCAATCTCTTTCTGTCTATCTGTATAGAACAAATACAGGAAACACACTCATATCAATGTAAAGTTTCATATGACTGACTTGAGTCAGTTTATGGTTTATAAAGTCTTTCGTTTCGAGTACGAGTTCAAATCTGGACCATATAACGATGCGACGCCCATCTCTGATTGCATATATACTCAGAGTTTTATATATATTTTTAAGCTAACTGTCCTGAATGTGATGCAAAGAGTTTTTGTGTTATGATCAATCGTATACCGGAATGCCAATGCAAAACTGGTTTTATTATGATAACAAATAATACTTGTGTGAAAGAAGAAAACGTTTGCAATTACGACACCTGTTCACATGTGAACAGTACGATCGATTTATGTTTAAAGAAAAAAATAGATGATTGCATCTGTGATGTGGGTTTCAGAAGAATAATATTGAATTCGACCGATGTGTCATGTGTTTTCAACAAAAGCTCATCCATCAAAGTGTTCCTTTATCCACATACATCCTTTACAATTCAACAACAGTCGTTTTTATTAAAGCCAATATCACCATCACACCGTGTTATCTACACTAGATTTATTCCAATAAATTCGGACTCATACTTTATCATTTATATAGAAGAACGCTATGGTCGAGGATATATTTACCAGCAAAAGTTTGAAATTAAATCAAGAGATCGTGGAAAACGGGATGTTACTCATTACGAAGTTATCCAGGTAGTTTTCTATTTCTCTTTATGATTGCTAATTATATTTGTGATTTATTTGCTAGTTGTGGTCATCACGAATTTACCAGTTTATTTCGCTTGAGATCGACTGGATACATCGTATTATTTATGCTTATTACAATGATCCATCATCACTCGAGAGTGGCATTGAAATACTATACTCTAATGAAAATTACACAAATTTAACCTATATTCAACGTTTAACGTTTTCTAATACAAAGACAATATCCGCAATGAAAGTAAACCCATTTCAAGGGTATGTGAACTATTAACTCCCGTTGTTAGCCTGACTAAATTTTTAATTTTTCTTTTAGATATTTGTACATTAGTAGTTATTTTGATTCACAACATTCATTAATTTATCGTTCTTGGTTAGATGGATCAAAGTTAGAAGTATTTATTCAGCATGTGTCGTCACCTATCCTGAGTATGGCGATCGATTATCGACATGCACAACTTTACGTACTTTTATCAAATGGATTAGATCATTCAGAAATTGTATCTTATTCATTGAATAATAAACAATCATGGAAAAAGACAATTTATGCATTTAAAGGTACTGATCTCAATCCTTTATTTGGATAATAGTAAAATTATTTTTATTTTTTATTTAGATGTGAAGTCATATGGTCTCGATATGCACGATGATACACTCATAATTATGAAACAAGAATCTCAAGATGATTACCATGAAGTGTGGCTGGATAAATTTAATCGATCAAACATAGAAAAATATCATCAATATCGATTTCCCTATAGAATAGAATATATCCATGAATACAAATATCCAACAATCGGTAATTCAAACAGTAAGTAGTTATAATCTATCCTTTTTTGTATCACTTCTACAGTACGGCATTCTTCTCGATAATTAAGCATTTGAATAAGAAAATGATGAAATTTACGAATGGCAGCGTAAAATATATTTAAGATTTATCAAAAAATTAATATTAGGAAAAAGTCAATCTTTAAACCATTCAATGGTGATTTTCAAGGCTAGAGTAAACCAGGGAAAACAAGAGCTTTTATAAAAGCTCAGTTCATTTGAAGAAGGGAGGATCAATTTGCATCAACTTCTGCCGTGAAAAACTGAACAAACCGGTGTATGAATTATAGTTAGATAACGAATCAACAAATTTGTTGTACTTACGAAGGAACATCATCAACTGCCCCTCGCTTTTTTAATGAAAGCCATATAATTATGAGCGGTCGGCTGTGCTATTTCAAATATGACCATGCAAGCGGCAGTTAGGTCTTCGGAGGCACGGTTTTTCAGAAAAACATTTTTCTATGGCGAAATTTGATATTAGGTGTTTGTAAGAGTTACTGCTACTAAATATTATTTATTTCACAAGTTTATTTCTCTTCTGTATGCGCACTTTTTGATTTTTTCTCCATCTAGGGTGAGCTCTTCCCACTGAGAAAGATAAACATGGCTTAAATGTCATAGCCAACGACTGTAAAAATCCTAGTATCGTAATATCTTTAGATGATTTACCAATGCAGAGAATTGAACTTATCATAGAATCACAAATATTAGTATATTATCTCTACAATCGATTTATAACGAGAAAAATGAGTGTTTTATAGACAACTCGATATGCTCTACAATCTGGACAGACCAAAAATCTTTTTTAGTAAAATGTTTTTCTGGGAAACCGTGTCTTTGAAGGCCTAACTGCCGCCCCCATGGCCATATTCGGAACCAACACCGTCGACTGTCTATAACTACATAGTTTTCATTAAAAAAGCGAGGGGACAGTTGGTGATGCTCCCCCGTTAGTCAGTTTCGTTTGTTTTGACCATATAGGACTGGGCTCTTTGGGGCTTGATCACCATTTGATGAAGCATGTTATAAAAGCTAAACGACATTTCATTTTGTTCAGAAATGTTTGTTCTACACCTATGAGCCATCGAAAAATTTTTTTTAGTATAGACTCTGAAATCTGGGCTTTTAGAGTTTATATTTTTCAGAAACTCATTTTTCGACCGTTTTAATAGAGCTTTTATTTTTACCTATTCCGTTGAAAAAGTCATTCAGCTACTCAAATTGCGCTAAAAGACTGGTTTTGGGCTCTCCGATTGAGGAAAAATATTAAAAGGGTATGCGTGTACTTATTATTTTTCTAATACTGTATATGAGTAAGATGTAGTAAACATGGAGATCTTCCGGTTTTATCATTGGAAAACTCTTTTTTAGTGATAAAAGAAGTGTGTACAAACGATATGTGTAAATCGAACGGAACGATCTGTATTACATCTCCCGAACAAAAACCAATGTGTGTTAATCCTACTGGTAATTATCGAAAAAAAAGATTTAACTCATGTCTTATCCTTGATGGTTCTATTTTTCTTTTTACAGAAATTTCAGTATGTGGTTATCCCTGTCACAGTCGAGGTATTTGTTCAAATGACCAATGTATTTGTTCAAATCTCACATATACTGGCGATGACTGTAAAATGTGCCGTATTGGCAACGAAGTAATTGGTTGTGTAGATGCCACATTACCGTGTGTTTGTTATTTAACGAAATCTTTAAAATATCATACTCCATATTCGTGTATGTCATTGATCAAAAGAGAAGAAGTTGGTAAGCAAAATATTATTCATACTCAAAAGTTTCTATAGATTATGTCTGTTTATCTATTTGTTTCTAGAAGTTCCATGTCGTCGTGTTATTCAAATCAGCGATCGGAAACAATGTACGAAAAGTTTATTTAATCCACCGTGTGTCGAAGAAAACACAATTTCATATGAAACAAATAGAAATCGTTGCAGTTGTATTGAACAATTATTTAACACAAGCTATTGTAACAATAATGGAGCTTATTCACTTGAGGATGATAAACCCATTTGCACGTAAGTCTAATCAATATAGATTTATTTTGTTCATCAGTACTCAAGTGTACATTTACTTTCTCTAGATGCACATTGCCGGTCACTGGGGATCGATGTCAATATAATACTTGCAAAAATAAATGTTTTAATAATGGAACATGTACGACTAATACAACACACGTCATCTGTCTGTATGTAAAAGTATATTGAGATATTTTATGGCTCTTTTTATTTATTTATTTATTTATTTTTATAGTTGTCATGTTAATTACAGTGGTGAACAATGTCAAACGTGTGATTTAAAGTGCAAAAATAAGAGTGAATGTGTTCTAAATGAAAAGAACATAACAGTATGTCGGTAAGAAAACTATATTTATTTAATGTACAATAATCTGTTTACTTTTTCTGAATAAATCAAACGTCAATATAATATTTCTTTTAGATGTTCACCCAAATTTTCAGGTGATCGATGTGAATTGACAGTATCATCTCAACGACATTTTCCATTTATTATATTATTTTTAATTACTTTTATTTTGGTGTCTATTTATTCACTCGTACACTTTGGCTCCAGATATTTAAAAAGAAAGATATTGTACTCTCATCGTCGTTTAAACGAACAATTAGGTTTAGAAATAAATAATCCCTCTTATACAACTGTTCCCACTACGGACAATACGAATCGAGACGAATTAATTTTTGATGATTTACTTACCAATGAAGATGTTAATCCTGTTGAAAATGATTCAAAACCATTCAAACTTGTCAAACGTGATACAATAATGAATACCGACGATATTGATGATCCATTTTATGTCGATGAAAAACAACCAATATTTAATGGAAGAACGATAATGCCGTTAAAAACATCGAATCAATCACTAAATCGTAATTCTAGCAATGATATGTTATAATAACACATTATTCATATGTCGTATGGGTATGCACATTAAAAATCCAATCTATTTTGTTATACCTGTGTATTTCGATATGGATACTATCGATTTGAAGTCGACACACTACCGAAAAAAGTTTTTTTTCTGATCTATACCGCCCAAGTTAGTCAAGAAGTTTTTTGTTCACATTGGCCACTGACATGTTTGAGGAATACTTCTGATACTTGTAGAATTAAAAATGTTCCCCATTGTTCAATATAAGCTGAAAGGGATGCGCTTTTAAAGATGTCAGGGTAGGAAAAATAGAAAGTAGTTTATATTATGAGAAGAAATAAAATTACTTTCTCAAGAACAGGAGAAAATGTGTGTTATGACAAACATTTTTAGAAAAAATGAGCACATTGTCGAAAATTTTTTTTATCGGCATCTACCTGTATTTGTATACCGGTGTTCTCTTGTTATGTATAATTTGATTATTTTAGACAAAAATTCTAGTCAGTATCAGGAAAATAATGTCTAGTTTGTTTCATCCAATTAGCATCTTGATTAGAATGATTCATTTCTTCTGTTTTTTTTACATTCTTATTTCCCTGAAAAATAAAATTTGAAATATTTTTGTGCAAAATAGATAATTCAATGTATAGTTTTGTTTGGTTTTTTTCATTTTAATTGATATAAATGGTAAAACTTGACAACTACTTCGACTATTAAAGTAAAGAGTAATGTACAAAAAAAAACAAACATCTTGATAAGAAATGAACGAAAAGTTTATTTGACACTAAGAAGTACTTGATACATCGTGACTTTTTGACAGTATTACTGGTATAAGATCAATAGAAAAGAAAGATAATAGAATTCCAGTAATTGTCAATAAAATACCACACACTAGTGTAATTACTTCTTGTTTATCAGCTACTGTTAAATATAAAAAAAATTCTGGCTCTTCAAAAGCACTCACTGCTATCGTTCGATTATCTATTGATTTAATATTTTCATACAAAATATCAAACATATCTACTAAATAGGATAGACATGTTGATGTTGTTGAAATAAACGATCGTTTAATAAAAACGGGTAATTCTTCACATATTTCTTTTGTTGTTTGCTGTTTATCTCCTAAAAAATTGACTAAAATATCATGAATAAAATTCATGATAAAAAATAATTTATTTTTGTATGCTTTCATTTCGGTGACTTCTTTACTTAGAACAGAAAATAATTGTAAAAATGAAATGTTTTTTTGCCACTCTGTTAATGGAACTTTAATGACATGAAATTGATCGATTATTGATGAGTTAAATGGACTTGTAACATTTGAGAGAAGTAATGTACAATTTTGTTTAAGAAAACATTCAAATAACGAATGAATACTTTCTTCAAGTAAATTAGATGTTGAATTAGTCATTAATTTATCACATGTGGTCAAATTCCAATAATCACAAATCGCTTTTGTTAAAGACAATATTTGATTAATGATCATCGAATAATCTATTGACTTAACATGTTCAAAATTATCAAGATAACTATTGTAATATTTATTCATTTTTAAATAATAATTTGTTAATAAAACAGTATTAACACTTAAATTTTTAAATGAACTCATTACTGTTAAATCAGATACTTTTTGAGATAAAATTCCTTTTATTTTTGCAATGAATGGATGTTCTAATGGATCTTCATATAATGCATAAGTAGTAGAATTAAGTCCAATTTGATCGAGATTAATAATCAAATCAATATGTTTAAGTTCTATAGGAGCAAATTGATCTTTATTTAATTTAGAATTAAATTTATATGGAAATATATTTTTTTCTAGACGTTCGGCTAATTTTGATGAACCATATAAATTCCATGATTCTCCACGTAGAAATACTAGAGCAATATCACGTTGAATGTCCTTTAATAATTGATTCATTTTCATTGCACGTAATTGCCATGCTAGTCCTAATAAAACAATAACGCTGGATATCGTTGTTTGAGCGCCTATACCATTAGACGTTTGAAATGCGGAATAAAAATCAGTTTTTGTTATAAACATCAACACAGAACGTGACAAACGTTCAGAAGGTTTGTTTGCTTTTACGGGTAATAATGTTGCCCAAAGAATTGTATCATCATACGTACGACATTTGATTAAATATGGTTTATATAACATTTCACCTTAAAATAGACAAAAAAATTTTTTAATAGTTTTTTCATTTTCAAAGAAAGACAAATAAATATATCACCTAAAACTGAGAATGACGATCTTGCAAGACAAACTTTAGCATTCTTAGCACCATACATAGTCGATTTCATATGAGCTTTAACTCGAGGATCAACTTTTGTTTTATTAAAATCATTATACTGTTTTATACTTTGACGAATTGTTTCAAGTGCTGTATGATTTGTCAACCAGAATAGTGGTCGATTAATAGCAATTCCTCGAAAATCAAAGCCAAACTCATTTCGACGAATTACACAATCTTTAACTGAATTTTTACGATGAGCATCGGCAGTTTGTGGACAAGTAGAATCTTCAGTGAAATGTTTGTCGCTAGAAACATTAAATGTACCATCAATCAAAATTCCATTAACAATAGATGATGTAACATTGAATACAAAATATTCTAATAGTTGTTTTTCGGGTGGGATAAGAACGATATAGGGTTGATACTTTTTATTTGAAATCAAATATTCACCATCACTTTTTATCAACACTTCAATCAATGTTCCACGATTACCATTCGGATCTGAATAACAACCCATTGTTCTTTCTGTATCCAAATATTTTATACAAAATTTGAATGTAGTCGTCATATACATATTTAACTGTATTGATTTGACTTTTTTCGATAGTATAATGGAAATACATATCAGAAAGAAAAAATGTAAGATGAAATATAATGTTCTATAAATATTTAACATCTAGAGAAATTATGGAGTTTGATGAAAACTAAATTCCGATTCTTGATCCTTTGGTGCTCAATAGACTGATGAGATATCATTTATGAACTAATATATGACATGTTAGCTACTCATACGAAAGAAGATAAAAGTAATCATGCAAAATGTATTTATACTACTTTCTCTTGATGAAATCTGACTCTTTAACCTGAAACGATTTCAAAGTAGATGATAGTACCTGAAAATCTAGTCGATTTTTATTAGAAGTCAAACATGATTATAATAATGAGTCAATACGCGCCATGACTGTCTTCGCAGTTCATCCTGTTTGCCCTAACATGAAAGGAAACGAATTGTTCATTTGACTGAAATGTAGAGTTTTAGAAAATAAAGTTATCGTTTGTCAGATCATAGTAATAAGCAATAAAACAATCTTAATGTTTTCAAAAACGACAATATACAGTTTTCCAGGCGCGCGTAATTAAGTAAATATAAAACAGAAATTCGAAAAAATATCAATATATTAGATGATTTAGTCCTGGTGTTTGTAAATAGCGTTTACACATACTATTAAATTTAATGTTACGATGAAAATAAGGTAACATCAGTTTTTTCTTGCTTATGAGTGAGCCTATTTGTTTTACCCGCATTTTACCGGGTATATTTGACTGAAATATGCGATTTAACTAATCTTTAGCTAAAAGCTATCGAATACGGAAAAAACAAAGTTTCTAGATTTTTCTGCTAAAACTTGAGCAAAAATGATGACTTTAAGGTAAAGTTGGATTTTTCAAAGGAAACATTTGAGACCTTACTTACTCTCTAGTAAACAAAGCTATGAAGATCACCATATCGTAAAACCATGTGAAATTAACTTAACTTTTAATAAGCAACAGTTTCATAGCCAACCAACTTCGTTTTGTTGAATTAAGAATACTGTATCACCTCGTTCTGATCACTGAAATTGATTCTGGCACGTAAATAATAGATTGTTTTTAAAATCCACTGTGCACCGTTATTATATGGATATGCAATAGTGATGTAGTACTGATCACTACTCTACAGTGGTTTACTCGTGAGTGGCTCTCGAATTCCTCGCATTACTCTTTCTGGTGATTTCGTCGTCGGCTTTAACCATCCGACTGTATAAATCGAGCGTTTTTTCTGCGCTATGACTTACTGCAATGTTACTGAAAGGGCTATTTAATGGCATAAAAAGTTTTGTTCTTAATGCTAAGGATAGTGGGAAAACACATCAAAAATTAACTTGATAATACCGAAGCAAGAAGTAAAACATTTTTTTAAATAAATCTGATGAAATGAAAATAAAAGGGATTCAGATTATAACTCTAGACTCCTTTAGCTAGACAATAGTGAAAGAAAGCTTTTAGCTTCAACCTGTAAATCTGTTTTTCTCAGTCCAAAAACATTTTTAAGATAAATAAGGTTATATTTCGAATTAGCGTGTTGAGGTACATCAAACCATGTATAACAACACAATAAGTTTTGAATCGAACAACTATCTATCGAAATTTTTTCCGATGAACCAACGAGACCAACGTTTTTCAATATAAATGAATCTCTATCGCTTTTAAATACATAGTGAAGGTTGAATAATACAATAAATGATTACGTTCTAAACATATGGAGAGCAGTATTAATCGATGAACACCTGTTTCCTTGGCCGGACCACAGTTGATAGTTTTATTTCTGTTTATATTTTATAAAATAAGGATTTGCACAAATTATCCAATGCACAAAGTAAAACATTTGGAAAGGCGGGTTATAATCAATCTCTTTTTGCACACGTCACTCTCACCCTAACCTTCACGAATAGTGAAAATAATGTAAAGTCAACAAATTTTTGATTATTTATCATTAGTCTGATGATCTAAAACCTGTTCAATAGACACTTGATTTAACTTCTTTTTAATTCTATTAATTGCTTGTAATTCATATGGCGCATGAGGCTAAATTATATTCAATGCGTTTTATATAACTATTCAGCTATCCAAAATTGTTCATTTATAAAATGTAAATTAACATAGAGTTCATAATTAAAACCTAGACCACCATGAGCAGTTGTCGATGTTTTATAAGATACTTCCACTGACTTTTGATAACAATCTATAAATTCTGAGAAAAACGGAAACGATTATCTAATGAAATCAGCCCATGTCCGAATTTCATCGACTAATCAAAGACTAGATGTAGAATGAAGAGGGAAACATTTCTCGGTACTTAATAGACCTTACAATCACTCTCAGAAAAAAAATGAGTCTTTGAGTAAGTTTCTACTCTCTTTAATATATAGTATACATCGTATTTTTTTGATCTTTCTGTCTCAGTTTCACAATTTCTCACGACTGTTATATATCGTTCGAAAGCTCTTTTTTTTCGCTATATTTCGTACGGTACACCGTAGGATGTCAGAAACCTCATTTTTCTGCTCTGAAAAATTCAGTACAGAAGGAAGTTACCTGATAGCCAAAATTTAGTTATTTAATTCATATAAATTATTTAAGTACCCTTAATATTTAATCTATTAATTCATAGAATATCTGATATTTAAACATATGATATCCATAGTTAAAGTCATTATCCTTTCAGCGAAGTTTGTTGAATCTCTCATATAGAATTACGGCATATCGTCATATTCTCCTGCTTTCATTCGTATTTTTCACATTATTTATTTATTCATTGTTACAAATACTATTAAACAATTTTTAACAAAATATTATGTCAATATTAATCTAAAATTTGTATTATTTCTTCTCTTATGTATCTGAAAAGTATGTAATTTTCTCATTCATTCGGATCATAATTCATCATAAAATCAAAGTCACGATAACTTACACGACCATCACCATCTACATCTAATTGTCTGAAAAGACAAAATCAATGTCATATATAGAACATGAGAAAAGTTTCATAGTAAAAACATACCGAAAAGCAGAATCAATCACTTCGTTGCTTAATTTGATGTTTAATTTTTCAAATGCTCTGTAAAAATCTTCTTTTGTCAAAAATCCTTTACCTGGTAGATTTAGACAATATTTTATATTTACCCAAAGAAAAATTTAGTTGAACTTACATGTACGATCCATGGCTAAGAATGTTTCTCGATTTTGATCTTCTGGATCAATTCTTTTATCAAAACTTTGCACATACGATATAAAACTGTCTAATGTTAAACCTAGAACAGAAGATCAAGTGTTGCCTAACGTATGTGATTTCATCTAATATGGCAAATGTCTTACCTGCTGGACTGTCTTTTGGTAAACTTGAGAAAAGTCTTTCTATCTCATACTAAAAAAACCATGACATGTAACAAGATAAAGATACGTATATTCAAATGATTATGTGTAGTCCATTATTAATAACAGAACATACCTTATTCATTTTCGAACCATAAACTCGTATTGAAGCCACTTTCATATCTTCTGCATCCAGATAACCTTTTCCTCGTCGATCGCATTCACGAAAAATCTTTTAAATTAAAAAAAAACGTATTTTTATATGTGCCAAAAACAAATAACAAAATTAGACAGAAAGTATCACACACGACACAAATAAAGATTTTATTTTTGTTGATGATTTTTTATATACTAAACTATCAAATCGTTAGTAATCGAGTTATTTATTTTTGGTACGTGTGCTATATTATTAGTCGTTACACAAACACAAGAATATACGTTAGAACAATACACTACAACAAATCAATTATTCACTTTTTCAATTTCATTCTTGGTCTTCATGTTCATGTATCTATTTTAAACTTTTAAAATCATGCTGTGATATCACATAAAATTGATCAGAAAAAATTATAAAATCTAGAAAAAAGAAAAGAAAAGTCCAAATTCACCATTTTCTTTTTCTTCTTCTTCTAATCATTATCTACACAGCTGTTGTTTAAAATAAGAGAAAATAAAGTGTAATTTAAGATAATAGAAAAGTGATCAAGAAGAATATTTCTTCATTCGTTTTCGGCTATCTACTTCAATTTGTTGTAATGAACAATAAATTGTATATTTTTCATTATGAAAATCGGCCATGTTCTTATCAGGTATGAATGTTTGAACTGGTGCTGATATTTCGTTTAATAAGTGTTCAACATCCGTAGCATTATCTGCTACTAATTTACCACTAATAGCTGAACCAAGTAGAACACAATCATTTGTTCCTTCACAAATATAGACGGGCATTTGAAATACATCAGCATGAATTTGTGGCAATAATGGAATTCGTGATAAACCACCACAAATTTGAACTTGTTTAAAACGATGACCAGCTTTTGTCATTGCTTCGATAATATGCTTTCCATCGTATGCAATAGCTTGAATTACTGCTAAATATTGTAGAGCAAGATTATCCAATGAATTATCCAATTTTATACCCGAAATAACGGCTCCTAAATCTGGATCCGCTACCGGTGCACGATTTCCATGGAAATCGACAGTCATATGAATATTTGCTGTTAGAAAGGATATATTTGCTGTATTATGTTTCTTTTCCAATTCTTGTAGTCGTATAATCAACATATCAAATGGAGTTTTATTTTCTTGATCAGCCAGTGCTTTTAATTCACTATATGCTATATGTCCTTGAACAATATAATCAATACTTTTGCCAGCAGCAGATTGTCCGCCTTCGGAAACCCACAATCCTGAGAGAGATAAACAACATACAATATTCGAGACTGCTATCATTAAGAGATAAACCTTTTCAACAGCATTGCTCTTATTAGACTATGAAAGAGACATGCACACTTACCAGGAATTAATACATCATAGTAGGGTCCCCAAACACCAGGAACAAATACGGGCTTTTTGCTGCATGCCATAAAACAAGATGATGTTCTATAAAAATGGTTATTCAAAAAAAAAAACAGAAACAAAATACATTTCGATATATTTCTTCTAATTCTTACCCAGCAACGATCACTAATCGTTCAGTCAAATGTGAATCTTTAACTGGTGATTTACAAGCTAGTCCTCCTAATGCTCCAGCATATGCATCTATGAGAGGTGTTCCAACACGAATCCCATCTTTTATACCAAGTTCTTCAGCTACATTCTTACTTAATAAATCAAAATTTGATGTTGAAAATGGTTTTCGAACAGTTGTTCCAAGTTTTTCAAAATTATTTTCACACAAATCGTTCATATCAAATCTTGACCAAAATTTTTCATCCCAATATTGTTTTTCTTCTGATGATCGATAACACAATTTACAAACACACGAGCATACTGATCGTTCCAATGAGCCTGTTGCTTTCCATCTTAAAAAATCGGGTAAATCAAAAAAATGTTTTGCTCGTTTCCAGCATACATTTTGTTTCATATTTCTTTTTAACCATAACAATTTTCCTGGTTGTTGCTCTAAACTTATTTTTCCACCATAAAATTTTAAAACATCATCACAACTTTCTGTTGATTTTAAGTTAATTTCTGTTGTTTCATTTCCAGCTCGATGATCCATCCACATTATTATGTTTCGTTCATCATTTTCCGATAATGATACGGTTACAGGTTCGAATTTTTCATCTAACACAACTAAACTACATGTAGCATCAAAACCAATTGATTTAACATAATTGATATTGATATTTCCCGTACTTATACAATTTTTAACACAATAGCAAATAGCTGTCCAAATTTCATTCGATGATTGTTCATAATGTTGTGTTCCAGGCGTATGATAAATTTCAATCGATTTTTGACATTGAACAATCGGCATATATTTATCATCAAAAATCATACATCGAACGCTTGCTGTTCCCACATCTATACCGATACTATACGACATTTCTAAAAATGAACTTTTTCTGGTAAACAGTGCATTTCGTACAGCTTGAGAGAAGAATTTCTAAACTGGCACAGATTATTGATCAAAAAGGGAGACAAAATCATTGATATATCGTTTTTATTCACTACACCTATTAACATAGTGAATAAGAAAACAGTTCAGAAACATTTTTATTTAATAATCAAGTACAAAATAAATTAAATTTTATAATAAAGACAAACTCTGTAATCGAATATCCTTATAAACTTTCTTAAAGATAGAAAAAAGTTAGTACAATGAACGAGAAGAAGACAAGCCCATTGTATCTTTCATCACTAACTACAATTGTTTTAAAATATAAGAATGGAAGAAAGATAGCTTAATTTCTACTCTATTCTCTGACAATGACTTGAATATACTTGCCCATGATTTTATGAATACGGCAAAATAATGTGTCGATCTGTCGACAACATGTTTCTAAGTATATTTAGACTATTATTCATTTTATATAATTTTCTAAATGATTATCTATTCAAATCAAATGATCTAATTCAATTTTGTTTCTCCTCTCATATAAAGTCGAATAAAATGAACAAATTAAATGATCAACAAACAACTAAACCTCACTAATATCAACGACATCATCAAACAAAACAAACGGAGTAATAAATAACTTTTTCAAAGAACGAAAAACATGACATCGCACAAAATATAAGCAATTTTTCACTTACATTGGGTTTGACAATTTTACATGTATCTCAATTCAATCACCCGTATCTACCTTTTCTACATTTATATCATCATTTATTTTTAGTTGTGTAATTGATTTTTGTTTTATTTTATCAATCATTCATCTTTTTAGTGTTTTTGATTTTTAAAAATGATATTATAACAGAGATGTTGTTATAAAGCGTGTTGTTCTTTGTAATAGAAAGCGATTATTTCAAAATGAACGATAATATTACGTTCAACTATGCGACAAAAGGATTTTTGTTGAAGAAACGACAACAATTAATAAATTATCTAAAAGATACATCATAAAAGACAAACGAACGCTATTAGTTGCAGTAAAATGGCGAGGTGGATATACATCAACGGTATACTGACTTTAGCATATGCGTTCAATGTTCAGGTGCCTATAGTAGGGTGCAACGACATTTAAAACTTCAAAATTTGTTTCAATACATATCTAGATTCATTAATTTATTTTTTATGACTTAAACGAATACAGTCCAAAAGAGGATGCTCTTCAAATCGTTCTAGTATTTCAGAATATAACCAACCATTCTGTTGTTTTGACTACAGACAGGTGAGTGTAAATATGATGATGTCGTTGCATCATAGCATTCGATAATATGCATCATTATAACTCGAGAGAAATGAATCGTATATGCATATAAAGAAAGAAAAATGTTTTTGGAATATAGAACGACTATTTGAACAATTATTTAAGAAGCATTTTTATTTTGAAACAAATTCAACGCCAATATATTTTTTTTTCATTTGTTCTGGAACACTTATTTCAACCTAGTACGATTTACAATTTAGTACATACGGTTTAGTGTGTAAGTAAAAAAGAATTTTTTATATCTATTCAAAAAAACAATTTTTTTTATTTTTACTTGTTTTATTTCCATATACTAATGATGTCTATCTTAACAATTGCACACACACACACACACACAGACACTAGGAGCTTCATCTTCTCTAAACACAATCAAATCACAAATGAATAAAATAGCTCAAAGATTTCTCTTCTTTTTCCATTTTTCACTCCGTTATAGTGAAACAAAAATTTAGTAAGTCATTTAGTGCCCAAATATTTTTATATTAAAATTATTTTTTTTTTTCAAAAGTCAATTTAAAATCTAAATAAATAAGAATTAAGATGCAAATGAATATACGATAAAAAATATGGAAAAAAAAATTGAACAAACCCAAAAAATATGAATAAAAAGAAATTAGTCAAAATTGCACCTAGCAAGTACATTTATCTGATGAAAAAAAACATTGGAGTAAACATCATTTAAGACTATGTATGAATAACTGTAAAATTAGAAAATAGAATGTATCAATACATTGTTTTGAGACAGACAGAGAGAGAGAGAGATAGAGAACAAAAAAAAAGAAGATAAATCAACAATAAAAATATATATATGTATATGTCAAAAGATTTAATAACACAGTGATTATCACACAAAACTAAATTTAATTTAATTCATAAACCGGGACGAGACGGATAAAAAATATTGTGGTTCACTATGTGTGTTCCATATGGACAAATTATATAAAATTGACCTATATGAATAAAAATGACATAAATTTAATAGACCGTAGTTTAATAAAATGGTGGGTTTAATGAAAATGGTGGGTTTAATAAAAATGGTGGGGTTTATAAAAATGGAACAGTTACAACTTTTGCATGTGACAATACCACACAAAAAAAGATCGTCAGTGATTGACTAGACAAGAGAAAACAATGAGTTGCTTTTTTTTGACCCATCAAATTATGTTTGACGTAAAACTTTAAATGCATAGTAATATAACAACAAAAAATAAAATAAATATAACCACCAAAAAAGAAAGAAAAACATAAAAAAAAAACAGACCAAATATACAAGAATTGAGCATTAAAATTTTATTTATTTATTGTTTCAAATACACATCATTTATTAGGTTCTTTCTGAACTATATTTTGTACCAGTTTTTTTAATATATTTAAAATAACTATACATAAAAACACCGATCATTGTAAAACAAATACCAAATACTTGTCGATGATTTAATGGTTCATGAAATATGAGAGAGCCAATGACGATAATTAATAATGTTTTTGAATGTCCAATCATATTATATGCAACAGCTGATAAATTACCAATAACCCAAAATATACTAAAATTAACAAAAAATGCAATAATTCCACATAATACAATAAGAAATAATATTTCTTGACTAAAAAATTTATCTAAATTATGTATTGGTTCAAAATAGGGTACAACTAATAACATTAATAAACCCGATAATGGTGCCTGATAAAATAATAATTGTAATGAATCACAATTATATTTTTTTTGATAATATTCAACTAATATTTGGTAGATAGCTGTAAACATGACACTAAGTAATGCGCCTAGAAATAAAAAATTAAATTTTTTGTTTTGTTTTTTTTGAATAGATATAAAAAAAAAGTTTTTTTTACTTACACACTAAACCATATGTATTAAATTGTAAATCGTAATAGGTTGAAATAAGTGTCCCAGTAAAAACTGGAACAAATGATAATATAATTGGTAGAGGATAATGAGTATTTAAAAACAGATAACTAATGATCATAACAGCTAAAAAAGAAAGAAGAAATGATCATGATAAATATCATAGTACATCATATTGGATATTTATAAAATATGCTAACAATTTTGAGTTAAAAATTTGAGATAGTTCATCGAGTTGTTTATACTACAACATCTCAAATAATATTTAGATGAATACTTAATAACGATTAGAGATAGGCAAAACGGAATTTTTCCAACATCACATCTTGTCTCAAATACATTTTTTGTTTTGTATCATTGAAAATATGTTCTACAGACGTCTCGTTTCGTTTGTCATCGATTTTAAAAAACCTACGATTCTCATTCTATTTTCATGTATTTCTTTAATCAAAAATACAAACAACGAAATGAAACAAAACATAAACGTCTCTCGCCGCAAATTCTGTCATCAATTTTTTAAATATCATTCGTTTCAAACGATGGATCGAAAAAGAACGAATTTTGTCTCGTCACAAAGTATTTTTTCTATCAAGTGAATTTTTCTTGAATATTCAAAACGCAATATAAACTTCTCTCGAACTTTATAATTTCGTAAGTAAATATAAACGTAATTCAAATGCTTACGAGAACGAACCTCATCAGGTGCCCAACGCCGATTTCAATGATCTTTTGCCAATAGATACTGTATAGTGTCCTAGTAAAAAGGCATCACTGGAAATGCCCTAAAAAAAGCGACCGGTGTACAAAATATATTTTAAAAAAACAAAAAAAAAAAACATTTTGTACACAGGTCGCTTTTTTTAGGGCATTTCCAGTGATGCTTATATCTCCACTACAACTCATCGGAAAATTTCTGAGAGACGTCTCATTTTGAAGAGAAGGCTTTCTTCTATCAGACTATGTATAAGAGAAAAATTTGAATACATACGAAAGGAAAGAAAACTTTATGAAACCTAAAATATTGAGTCTTTTAAAACTCTGAAGGAAAAATTCAATAACTTTCGTGGAAAGCAATAAGAACCCAAATTCTTTTGGGCTTTTTACTAGGATACTATACAGTTGGCAAAAGATCATTGTTGGACACCTGAAAAAGTTCCCTCATTAGGGTCTAGTTTATGTTGTATTTTAGAAATATTTCGTCATATTTTTCTTACTTGGTGTCACTTGTAATTTAATTAGTTGATATGTTCCAACAGTATTGTACTGTAAAGATAAATTACTAAATGCTATAAACCCACCAAACGCTACTGAAACCTTAAATAATTAAAAAAAAAATTGAATTGTTAAGATACATTAATACAAGAAAAAAAAAAGAATTTTAGATAAAAAAATAAGAAACTTACGGGTATCATATTTAATATTGGTAATCGAATTGCTTGAAATAATTTAATCCATAAACAAATGATTAATAGAATAAATGTAATAAAAAAGTTTAACATTGTTAATGTTAAATTTGGAAAATGATATTTAACATAAATCCATTTTGCTAAATTAATAACAGCTATGGATGAGACAAAATTAATTGTAAATATAACAGTTGACCAAAGACAAGATTTAACCTAGAAATAAATAAATAGAAAATTTAAATAATATATTTTTTTTTTTTATAAATTTTATATTATTCTTACACGTCGTGGATCACTTGTACCCGGTGCGTACATTGTCGTTGTTGGAATTTTATTATCTGATAGAATTTCTCCATTTTTTAAATGATTTGCTAAAAATGGTGACTTTAGTTTACTTTTATTATTAGTACTAGCAGAATTACTATGAATATTTATTGTCAAACTGTCGTCATCTTTGGAACTATTCATTTTCTATATATCTAATGGTAATTGATGATCAATAAAAAAAATTAAAAAAAATAAAGTTATAAAAAGAAAATAAACAAAAAAAATATTTTATATTTTCTCGATTGTTTGATTGCTATTTTATTATTATTATTTTTTTGTAGAAGAAAAATTAACGTCTAAAAGAAAATAATATAGTTAAATGTGCAGTATTAAAATATTTTTTTTTACATTTCTATGTACTATTTTTGACAAGCGTCACGGCTCATATGAAAAGCTAAAGAGATATGGTGATATTTTACCTTCATATTTATATTAATACAATAGAGGGAATTATATTTTGGTTCTGTTATGCAATGTTAAATTGCACTGATATTCAGAGTTTAGAGGACTCACTCATATCGTTTTATAGACTAGTGTAAATTCCTCCATCATTTAAAACAAATATTGATACAAGTATAATGATTGTTTTCATATTAAAAACAAATTTAGTTTAGTCGTCCTCATTCTAAAATGAATTAGATAGACTCCATATGTAAAATGTGTGTTTTAAAGAAAAATACGGCTTACAGGCTAAGTTTTATACACAGACGGAAGATAAACGAGGATAGATCGTACAATACTTCTCTATGATTATCATCTATATATTCATAAACCTCTTTTCATACTAGAAGGTCATTTAGTCTTCTATTTTGTCTGAAAAGTCGAATTCTGAGGAATGATCTTCTATTTCAATTATTTTTTTAATGGCAAAAAGTATTTCTTAAACTAACAGGAGTATTACTGTAGAATTTTATCAATATTTAACTATTTCGTTTTTTATCTTTCGACGAAAAAAACAAATACACTTCAACAACAGTCCGCCAAGGTTATACGTCTATAAAAATCATTCTTCTAACATGAACTTTATTTGGACAAAGTTCGAAGAGTAAACCTATCTCTATAGAAAATTAGTTACATGACGTCGAGATAGAATTAGATCGTAAAATGACACAGAAATTTACTAAGCTACTATTCAAAGAGTGGAATTTTTGTCTAAAATTTTCTCGATTCTGTCCTTTATTTAACAAAACGTCTATATCAGCACTCATTTTTTATCCTAATTTAAAAGACTATGGTCTTCTATTTGATTTTCGTGTTGCATTAATTAACAGTGCTTTTTCTATTATGAGAAAAAGTTTACATTTTTCAACATATGTTATAGTTAACGATATTTAGAAAACTTGACTTATTTGTATTGATATATTCGTCGAAAGACATTCTCTCAAAAAATCAATAACATTTCAAACACTATTAAAAGAAGATACGAAAATAAACAATCTATTTAGAAATAAAAACATAAATAATAAACTGATGACGTTCACATATCCATTCATATTCCTTTTTCAAAATAATAGATATTATATGTTGTCATTCAAAGTCTCTAACTTTTTTAGTAGTCCAAAATGGCTATTTACTAGGATAAATTTAAATGATATATACCTTGTGTCATTGTATAAATACATTGTTTCAAAAGATACAGCTGAACACACTATTGAAAAATTACGTTTCGTTGTTAAAGTATACTTGAGTGTTAATATTGCTTCTTTTAGGTTTCATGGAAAAAGAAAATACAATCGTCATTTTAACAACCGACGAGGTCTCCATGTGGAAAAATAAAAAAATAAAAGATGACTAGTGATTCGTTCCTATGCATACAATCAATTTTCTAACATGTAAAAGAGAGAAATTTGTTTAAAAATATACGAATGAATGAAAAGAACATGTATGGTAGTCATCATTACAACATGTAATTTAAAAAATCATGAATACGGAACAAAATTACATAGTTCAGTTTTCACACAGCTATGAAATTCCACGTTTATAGCAAAATTTCATCTGAGAAATCATCTTAGTAATACCGTAAAAAGAGCATAACTTAAGCATCAGGACTGCTTATAAATACAAGTTTTTTATCCATGAATGATCGTCTCTCTTTTGCATCCAATAATAACTCTGAGGTTTGGGTCTAAAAATCTAGGATACACAGAGCTCTAATTTACGCACTTCTAGTATTTAGATTAATCTCAGGTGTCATATCATGAAAGAGTTGGAAGTATAGATCTCATTTTCGTCGTACAAAGAATATATTTAGAAATTACTATGAAAAAAACACTTTTAGAGCATTTAAGACTAATTTTTTGAGCAAGTTTTAGTGATAATCGATTCCTCTAGACTGTACCGAATACACAAAACCTATACTCACGTTCGTCTCAACAAAATAATAATATACTCCAGGAAACTAAAGGTCAACTATGCTGCGCAGAGATTGAATAGTCGACTGACGGTGATTTCAGTATTTGAGACACAGTAAAATTAGTGGGAGTATTTAGTAGAAAGTCAGGTTAAACGGGCTTGTATGAAATCGCGAAAGAAGTAAAATTAGGAGAAAAAGTATTGTCTAACAATAGAACAAGAAAAAGAAAAGGTTTTAAGAATCGTCTCAGATGGTAAATCAGCACGACGATCAGCAGTTGTGAAAAGACCAAACATCCTCTCCGAACATATTTGTTTAGGTTGATGACATGAAACATAAACACTACACGCAAGTAGACATGTCAGCCGCCAGTGTCACCAATCAATATTTTGCCTAGTAGATAAAAACCAATACGTATTAGAACACTTTCAGTTAACAGTTTCAAATGTTGAAGTATAACCTTATATTTTGAATCAACGTATGAAGCATAATCGTTTTCTTAAAATAGTGTCGCATCTACAGTTTACGCGTCATGAATATGATTTTTTCTCAACACAATGATTAGTTAAATATTTGGTGGTTTTTAAATACCATCACCGAATCTTTTTAAACAACTTCTCTACAAATTTAATCCTATAAAAGTAATACGCCTTTATGTACATACGATTCACAGTACACAATTTATTTTTCTGAGTACCCAGATGTTGCCAATAGGCTAACATGCAATTTTTCTTTTCACGTAAATGTTTACTTGGACCAAATCCAGGAGGCAATATTACAAATGACTACAAAAATCAATCAAAAAATAGTGTTCGATATATTTGACGAAAAATTGCTACAGGATAGTAAAGAACTGACACAAAACTTCATGCAGCAAATCATGTTCAAAAGTTTATTTCAAGCAACTGGAATTATTCTTCCCACTGAAAATGCTGTTAACGTTGTTGCTAAAAATGTGAAGACCTGTGAAATAATCATGAAAAAATAAGAATAACCAAATTGTCGTTGAATATTTGAATATGATACGTAACTGATACCAAGAGAAATTGAACCGAGCAATAAAACAATAGTCGTAAGACAGGATATATTTCGTTTTTGTTCTGGTCGTTCTAAGCCAAATAGAGTCAATACAATTGTCAGAATTAAACCGATGAATATCAATATTAATCCGGATAATGCAAATATAGCTGATGTACGATTCAAACTACTATAACACAATGTTGGTATTCCTGGACTAGTACGACAAATTTTCCATAAACCAGCTTGAATTGTAGATGTTGTATACCAACGATTTGTACTTATACTCAATATACAAAATAATGCGGCAAACACCACTAAGGTAACGGTAATATATAGAAAAGTACGAATCATATTTTCACTCTCACACAAAAGTTATGTTTCGAAACAAAATGAAGTTAAAAGTGTCTGATTACTGGTTTAAAAAGAAAACAAAAAGAAACAAGTTCCATTTAGAGAAAGAAAAGATAAGATGTTACTTGCCAACACTATTGAAATCGAGAAGAATAACCAGACTCTATCATAATTAATACCACAATTCTATCGATAATTTCATCATATGTAGGAAAAAGAAGAAATCAGTCAAAAACCATACCATCTCTTCGCATGATCGACAGACAAACAAAAAAGAGAAACTATCAATTAAAGAAAACCATCAGTCTCTGATTTGGAAACAAAAAGAAAAATGATGGAATGTTAAACAACGCTTCTACTAAAATATGATTCAAATTACATAACCTGCAATTCTCTAAATCAGATAGTAATTATTGAAGAACCCATGAGATAGACTACAAACAAATCGTTCGGATACTGTATTCTCTATGATGAAAATCGAAATCGTATAGGGATAAATACTGAACACCAAAACATATATTGAGAACAATTTCAATAAAACTTCATCATCAAGTATAAAACATTTACGATCTTACTTTGTTTCTTCCACCTTTTAAATTGACTTCAACTTTTTAAAATGAAAATCCATATTACAACTGCATATTCATGATTTGTATAGAGCAATTTTCTCTATCCGAGATACTATTTGTGAAAAATAAATATTTATTTTTCATTTCATATCTCTTCAATGTGTATCATCTCTTTTTTATCAATGTTTATCAGAGAAGAGTATGTTCAGTTAGTTCGATATGTATAATACACATAGTGATAAAAGTTAAAAGTTATTTACACAGTATTTTCAAACAAGTACTCATTTATTTGTTTATTTTTTCGATGTTTTTCTTCTGATCAAGAGTTAAGAGAGATAAAAATGTACGACCATCGAATCTATGAACATTAATAAAAAAGGATTTTTATAGAAACAAGTGATACTCATTCATAATGTTCATTTTTCTTTCACGAGATTAAGAATTTCTCTGAACATAATTATTTAAGCTTTTCTTTGAGATATTAGATAAAAAATGAGATAATTTCTTGTTTTTAAACAAGATATCTCGATTGTTCTAACTAGATGGCGATACTCATTATCGTTAAAGTAATATTCAGTACTGTAATTTAGTTCTACAACATATTTTCAATCAAAATCTACGAATGATGGGAGGACGCATAAACTAAGAAATAAAACGAAACAAAAATAAAAATTATTTTGAAATATTTTATTTTTCAACATTTAATAAAAAGAAAATCATCTGACTTTAATTGTTTCAACTTCTGATGACAAAAGTATCAAAAAAATCCAGAAATGAGTCTAAAACATAGATAACACCGGAAGAAAAGATGACAAAATTAACAACAATTAAAAAATGAGATTACAATATCACAAGAAAAGTTTTTTTTTTATTTGTTCAAATGCAGTCACCTGTACTATGGAAAATACAGAAATTATAAAAATGCCGTAGAAAAAACAAAATCAGGCATATAAGAAATAATTTCAACAAAAGAAAGGCACACCGGTCAAATCATGCATTGTTATTGTTGTTGTAATCAAAGCATTCTAACAACTAATTCATGCGAATAAGACGAAAAAACAAAAAGAAGACTTGTTCTTGACGAGCCATTGTTATAAAAAAGAAAGAAAAAAATTAGGATAAAGGTAAGGTATAAAATATGAATTGACTATTTTTAGTTTACATGAAAATATCAATGAGATTTAATTGAGGACTATTGTTTTCAAATTATCGATATTGAAATTTTAGTATAAAAGAAGAAAGAATAGAAAGAAAAATTATGAATTATAAAATGCTACCACAACAGTTTAGAAATAACACCAAAAAAGGAAAATAACGGTTTAGAAAGAGTTGAATGATAAATGAATCAGAATACTAGATTCTATCTCTAGAAATAGATTCACAAATGAAACGTTTATTGCGTATATTATTCTCATATCATTCTATCTTTTATTTATGAAATTATTTTGAGAATTTTCATTAATAAATATTTGACTTAGATTTGTTCTACTAGATGTGAGACTGTCATCAATCGATGATGAACTAATATTTAAATCACTTGGTATATTTAATAATGAGATTGTTATTTCTGTATTATTTTTACTGTCCGATAATGAATGTCGTCGTTGTTGATATATTGTTTGCTCTATATTGCTATGATTATTCACATTTGTTATTGATAGTTTTCTAACACGTTTTTTAATAAATTGTCCAATTAAATTGTGTGTAGATTCTTCGGCTGAATGTAACATATCATCATCTTGAGCATTGTTATTCTTTTTTGTCATCGTTTTTTCCGATCGTAATTGTTTCATTTCTTCACTAGTTAAACTAGATGAATATTGTATGGGACTTGTTGAACGATCATACATACTTGTATCAATTGAATCTGTTATAGATGTATATTCATTTATTTTAACACCGACCGTTGATATATATGCAACATCTGAATCATGATAATAATTTTCATTTTGTTCTACGTTACTAGTTAACTGTTTAACATTTAATATTTTGAATGCATTTTCTAACGATTGTTCATCACTATGCTTCATTTGTCCATCAATAATCGTTGAAGATTTTTTCATTAATGAGATGCCTTTAGATGATTGATTTTTAGGTACAGTTAATAATTGTGGTAAATTTTTTTGTCTCATTTGAAATGATGGGAGAGATGTGATCGATGACAATGGAATATTATGTAATGATGGGCTATTGATCATTTTTTCATGAATATTATAGTTAGTTTTTTTTGAAATTGGTTCCAATCTTGGTCGAATAGTGGATGGTTCATTAGATTCAAATGTAAAATTAGAAATCGGATGTGATCTAACACATAATGGTGGTGACAGTGAAGATCGTCGTTTTATCTTTCTTAGTTGAGAATGATATTGTGATAATTCATCATTATCAGTTATTAATTTTGAATCAAAGTGATGGGATATAATTCCATGAGAACCATGAAGAGAAATTCGTGGAATTGGAATATTTTCAGCACTAGTTTCAAAATTATAATTCTTTGATTTATATTGAACAGCAATATCATGCTGATCGCGTCTAACAACAGGAGATTTCAAAGCAAATGATCGTCGACAATCATCCTTGACAAATGGTGATTGAAATGTTGTTTTATGCGGAAATGAAGAACCTGAAGCAATTGTTTGAACAGTATCAAATATTTGTAAATTCAATTCTTCTAAACGTTGTAAACGCCAATCAAGATTTTGTAATACAATTTTATTATGTGTTTCACGTTGATATATATCATCTGTACGTAATGCTATACTATCAACTCTAAAAACAACAACTTATAAACATAAATATAACCTTAAATTTATTTGATTGTAGTTTATATACCTCTCAGCTGTAACAGCGACTTGTTCTTCCGTTGTATTTCTTAATAGTTTATCTTTGATCACAAAATATTCATCCATATTTTCTTCCTCAAAATCATGTATGTCAAATACTTCTTTCTCAGTTAAAAATAATTCTGAAAGTAAGGTAACATTTCTCATGCATACTTGATAACAAATTTTTTTCTATTATTTAAAATCATTCACTTACTTAGACCATGATCAAATTTCAATTTTTTTGATCGACAACAACGATAAATTAATTTAAGAATAAATAATATATGAGAGATGAATATAAGTGGAGGTGCTAACATTGGTTTAGCTTCATATTTCAAAACTATAAAATATCGTTGATATTTCCATAATTGATCTGATTGTTTACTTATACGTAAATAGGTATTATTGAAAGTAGCTATTAATATACTTAATAGCAATATATTACAAAATATCAAAAATACGGTCATTGTAATTGGTGTTATCCAAAAACCAGGTTGACATTCCGGTTCTGAAGATTTTTCATCTGTACAGGGTGGATCGATTGTATCCGCTAAATAGAACATATACAATTATCGATATTTATAACAACAGCAAAACAGAAATGAGAGAGTAATTTACCATAAACTTCACCGTAGATCTAAAAAATAATACACAATTATTTTATCTATTACTATTTACATTACAAATAAAATTTACCATAAAATAAGGTTCAATAAATATTTGTTTGACAGAATCCCATGTCCACGATCTATTAGGATAACGAATTGCTTGACGTGAAACACCGAATGACATGAGTACAACGAGAATAATGATGATGAAATTAAACAAATCAATCAACTAAAATACACAAAAAATCTTTTGAGTATGAGCTAACAAGTATGAATTATCTCACTTACGTTTTGAGCAGCTATATTAATGTACGGTCCCACTGTTTTATTCACACCGATATAATTCAATAAATGTAAATACCAATAACTAACATTGAGACAGTAGAATAAACGACCAATATGAATAGTACGAGGATGAAAACGTAATGCGAATCCAATGCCATAAGCTAATAATGCCAAAGTATCAAATATATGGATAAAATCAGAAAAATATAGCTAAAAAACACGTATATATTAAAAACAAACTGAAAGCTTGAAAGAATGAAAATAACTACTTACAGTTAATTTTCTTATAAAATGGGGTGATGTAGTAAAAAGTATCTAAACACAAGCAGAATAATTAGGATAGCAGGTCGAAAAAGAAAGAATTTTGTACCTCTCTTGTTGTATCCAGTGCAAATGTCCCCAAATAAATCGTCACAAGTATTTCTAAAATGAAATAAAGATTGCTTTAACCGAAAAAGATATAATTAAAAAATTCTTACCTGGAATGCTTGGTTTAGCAGGAGTACGTACCAATACAGTGTAAGTAAATAATAAGAGAAATAATAAAAAGAATAGAGCATTTTGCCAGAACTTTGTTATTGGGGCATTATAAAACTCATAAAAACGTTCTTTAATAGATAATGTTCGTTTTCTTACACGTTCGCCACCAGCCGTCTCATCTATTGTTGACTGAAATTGATTAATATCATGATTATTTTTGTTTCTGTTCGATAAATTAAGAATAAATCGTCTTATCCAAGACAGACTCGTTTGTTTTTGTCTTGGTTGTTGCTGTTTTGGTGTTAGAAACGTTGTTAACGACGATTGTGGCACCACAGAAATGTGGTGGCTATGTGTATCTGCTACGATATTGGTGGCAGCAATATTCGTTGAATCGAGTGTATTTTTGTATTGAGCAATCCTTGATGATGTAAGTTGTATCAAAGAATCGAATTCACCATTTTGGGATTGTTGCAGTAAACTCTAGATAAAAAGTACGATGTGTTTGTTTCAACTTAGATCTTAATAAAAACATACATACACGATCAATGGGTATTTCCTGAACACTTTGTTGAGGCTGTGGTGGCTCAAAAACCATTAGGTTTTCATTGTCCTCTTTTTCATCATCTTCATCATTATCAGATATTTCACCATCTTCGTGAGTAGCCAAATGTTCTTCAGCTGTTTTTGGCATCTGTTGTAATTCCTCAGGAGTTTTGAATTCAATTCGAAATACAAGTGGTGGAAATAGAATTGCACCAATCACCTGAAAACAAAACCAAAATAGATAAATAAGATACAAAGTAAAAAATAAATATCATTTATTTACATAAATAAAACTATAGCGTCGTATGCTCATGCCTCCCATCCATAAATCGTTTAATAACATTTGACAGCATTTGTGAGCAACAAATTCTTGATGATGTGCTATAACAGCCAATGAAAGACATGTCCAATCACTCCAATTTTTTAATTCATACGTCAATAGTTGGCATGTTTTATCGGCATTATCTTTGTAACATTGTTCGAGAATTCCTAATGCTAATTGACGAAATTGTTCAGCATAATTGCCTAATTCTGCTGACACCTCAACTTCTAATTCATCGTCATCAGCTTCTTTCGATAATGATTTATTTAATCTTGTAGCTACTAAGGCCTTTGCCATTGCTTCTTCGCCTCTTTGCCACATAAATATGGCCATCTGATGACGTTTCATTAACACAGTCCACAATAATAATTCATTATAAGGATACGGAAAAGTATCATCAATGTCACTTTTCGTTCGCTGCAACAAAGAGAATAATTACCTAGCAGTTATTTACTGGACCATGAGAACCATTATTTACCTTCACTTTTAACTTTTCGTTTAAACTAACATAACGATGACGAAAACGACGACGAGTATAATTCGAACGGTATCCTGTAGTCAAAAACAGTCATGTAATATAATTTTATTCTAAAGTTGTTTCATCTACTTTCTTACCATGGCCCATTAACTTTTCAATAACTAAACCAATATCTGGTAATGTATATCGACCAAGACTTACAGTCTACATAAGAAATAAATATTAATATTTTCTACTAAAAATCTCATCTTTTCTTTACTTTTCTTAATTTTCGGATATCTTTCATGATAAAATGAATTGTATTTGGCGGTCCTTCTTTCTAGAAAAAACAGAGAAACAAGGATGAGTGATTAAAAAACAATGACTTTAAAATATTCCATACAGTATTATAAAGTTCTTCTAAACGCGATATGGTTAAAAATTTTTGCATGTATATTCCATTCTCAAGTAACAATTGAACAAATTCTACTTTATCAGTTACAAGTGCTGACATCATAATTTGGTATAGTTCATTTTCGACCCATTGATGGCCATGATGAAAGTAGCTTCGTGCAATATCAACACGATTCCAATGTAATGCTAATGTTAATTGATCAAAGTGTGATGATCCTTGGCCTGCAGAAATAAAGAAAAATTAAAGTATAATTATGTACGAGAGCAATCAGATACGTTATATACTTCGAAGAAGTGCTGTTAATATTGCTAAATCAATATCTTGTGATTCTTCACCCATTCGAAAAACGGTTATCTTTAAAAAAAATGGTAAAATTTGATTTTTGAAAGAAATCAGAGGTGGGTAAGTCCAGATCCGAACTTGAGGCTCAGCGAACTCGGATTTGTCTTGGGCTTGGGGATTTTTTATCAAGTTCGTTTCAAGTCCAAGGAGTTAAAATCTTTTACATTCAACAACGGAATGAGTATAATCTGATACCTAATTTATTAATCTTTTTTTTGTCAAACATGCATCAATGTACCGATAAAATTTATTTACCTGTTATATATGATTATGACGCACTATATAGTACAGAAACTCCTATAAAGAACGTCGACTCGAACTTGGACTTAAGCTCCGGTGGACTTGGACTTAGAAATAGTCAGACTTGCCCACCTCTGAAAGAAACTTACTCTTTCTTACTCTAACTTACAAGATCTTTACGTTTGACACATAGCATTAATTCAAGAAACAAATTTTGCGCCTGTTCTCGAGTATAGCCAAACGTTTTAATGATCGTTTGAATTAGCTGTTCTTGAATTTCAAGTGGCATTGTACTAAACAAGAGAAATAAATAGTTCAAGAAATATGTTGAACATGTTCAGAGTACTGTACCCATCATCTCTAGCATAACGATGAGTAAACGCAATTAGATCTGCAGCACGACCTGAACCATCACACACGACAACTGGAACAGAGGGAATATTCGTAACATTTTCAAGCACCATGCGAATTGTATTTGTTCCGCCTATTATTATAAAAGATTTTTATTATAATTTACTATGACAATATAAACAACCTATGCTTATCTACCTTCGACAACAACACAGACAACAGGAATATTTGACAGTTTTGCATGACCAGCTAAAGAGAAACATCATTCATTTTAATATTAGTAACGGAATGAAGATGAAAATATTTACGAATGTTCATTGATCTCTGCCTTGACAAGAAACGTTCAAATTTTTTTCGTAATACAACTTCACCTCCAAATTTTCCCGTTGTTCCATTATCAACCAAAAGAAAATAATAATGATTACTGTTTAAAGTAGCACAATTTTTTGTCGGAGTTGTCATAGAATGATACGAAACAAGTTTCTTAAAAGCAACATACGGTTAAAAATAAAAACTGTCAGATGTAAGATAAAATAACCTTACATTTGCTCCAATAAAAGTTTCTCGCCCTTCCACCACGCCCCAAGGCGCGAAACCAATGACAACGATGTCCGATTTGACTTTTGGTGATTTGACGAATAAAGCATCACCAACGTGCTTCACCACACCTTTAGCAGAAACAACAATAGATATATCCGTAATTAAAGATTTATCTATTAGATGTTACCAGTATTTGTCCCATTCGTGATAATCCATGCTCCCGTCGTTTTAGCCGCTCGAAAAAGGCCTTTTTTTAATACACGTTTTAACTTAGGTTGAAGTTCAAAATTAGCGATACCGCCATCAATTGAAATAACGAGACGTGGTAATTTTAAATTCCATTCTTTAATGAATAATTTTAAGATCAGATCTGGTCGCGTATCATGAGCTAATCTCACATACTGAAAATATATACAGTGTTATCAAACACATGAGCGTAAGTTACATGATTTGCGTCTATGTGACAAGCATTGCTGTCTGTAGATAAACATTGAGAAGAAACGCAGACAACTATCGAGAATCAAACGCATCAAACCAACGCTCTATCTCTGAGATACAAAGCATACATGTATTCTTCTCCACGAATGTTTTTAACTATCACGAGTACCTGTGCTTTTGTTGGATGTTGCTGTCCTTCGAACTCGATTGTACCATCTAAAATATGAAAAAGAGATAAATCATTACAAAACCAAACTAGAGAGTCAGAAATAGTGTAAGGACATAAATAATAGAAAATTAAATATAAGACCGCAACAAACATAATTTTTTTTTCTATCAGTCTGATAAAAATAATTGACCATGTGAGATTTCAATCTGCTATCTAAAATCATCTTCAGACATATAACATTATCAACAACGTTTTATTTATTATCTCTTTTTTCTACTATTCATTCTTTTCTGTTTCTTCGTCCTAAATCCACACGTTGAACGAGTGTTTTTTCTAGATGTTCTTACAGAAATGATTGAAGTAACAAAAAACATGTACAAGTGCATAGTCATAAGAGACTTATCACTCGAATATAGATGAAGCGTGAATTTAAAACGAAAAAAACAATTTTATTATGCTTGTGGTAGTTTTATACTTAATTTACTCTTTAGTTCTCCAAGTTTATACTACATACTAATAAAATCTACATACAAGCATCAGTTGGATAAACTTCTGTGTTTCTTTGTGTTGACCATTTTTCGTTCGTCGATAAGAAGTTGTGATTACTACTGACATGTTGTTCATCATGTAGATAGTAGGCTTTTCCACAGTGACAGCTAAGACACAAAAAAATGTATATAGACATCTAGTTTGATCTAATTCTCAACATTCGTTTCTTTTCATTACTGATCTGGCTGACTAAGAACTGGTATAAATTTGACACATTCACGCTTTTTAAACGACCGTTGTATCCAAGATAAATTACCAACATTATCCAACTAAATGGAATAAAGGGAGAGATAGTTATTCATACAAAGAGGATAAAGACAAACTTCCGCAAAATGACACCCCCCGTTTCTACTATTAATATTGATTTTGGCAATGAACAGTAGTATAATTCTGATATTCAAGTAAATTTTGATGTTAAGGTGTCGAAAATGCCAAAAGACATCAGAATTTTCTTTCGGCTTTTCTTGAGATGGTTAAATCGAGTGACTTAGGAAAAACTTACTTTTAGATTTCTAAAGGTGATTTTTGAGTGAAAAATTGATTTTTTGAAAAACGAGCAAAACTTTCATGTTTATTGTGTTTTTAAATATTCTGATTCTTCATCTAAAAGTGAGAGTAAGAAACTAGGAAATATACAAGAAGCACATTTATAATTCTGCACATGTTCGTCAAAATCTGAGAGCATTCAGATGGCAAAGTTATAGGGATGCTCTGTTCTCGTGAAGAACCGGAATCACGGTTCGGTTCCCGCATGAGGAATCGAAACCGCGGTTTTCTTATATTCGGTTCTTCATCGGGAATCGGAACCGCGCTATCGATTCTCCCAATGGAACGGGAACCACGGTTTCTTAGACGCTTCCTTTTTTTCGGAACCGAGAATTTTGACTTGCCTTTCTTTTAACAAAATGAAAATACACTACGGAAAAAAATATATTCGCCTGTCATCCCTTAAAAGAATCCTTTCGTTTACTATAAAATGAATTCTATTTCGTTAATTGTTACTGCCTGAAAAATTATTTTCCGGTTCTAAGCTGAGAACCGCGGTTCTGTTGTAAGTTTGGAACCGGAACCGAACATCCCTAGTTTTAGATGAAGAATTAAAATATTTAAAAACATAATAAACATGAAAATTTTGCTTATTTTTTTCAAAAGGTCAATATATTTTTCGCCCAAAATCATCTTTAGAAATCTAAAAGGAAGTTTTTCCGAGGTCACTCGGTTTAACTATGTCAAGAAAAGCCGAAAGAAAACTCTGGTGCTGTTTTAAATTTCCGGCACGTTAAGTAAAATATCTTTATTTATTTCGAAGCAATGTTTGTCGTCAAAAATAATCTCTACAAAAATATATTTAGCGTTGTTATCTTTTCAATCTAATTCTCTAATCCTCTCTCCTTCAATCTAAGTCTCTATTTTTTATGCAAAATTTGCCTTATATACATAATTAAATTTATGGTTTTTCAAGCATTTCTTTCGTTCTTTCTATGAAATTAGATAATATTTCAAACACAAACATTATTTAGTCTAATTTCAGTCAAAATACTTGTGTATGTGACAGGCATGACGTTCCTTTCTGAAAATTTGTAGACTAACACATAACTCCGAAGTTTCATTAGAGCCGCATCAAATAAGGAATATGTCTATCTTTTCACATCTTGACCAATTTTAGGAAATGTCTATATAGACATGCGTTAACATTTGCCAAGATGTGAAAAGATCGAGCTATTCCTTATTTGATACGACTCTACTATAATACTATTAAATTTCACGTAACTAAGACAAAATACACATATTTTATTCAGCAGGGAAAACCAGACCTGTAAAGTAACTAGTGAAGCTTAAATTTAAAGTATATACAGATTGCACTGATAAGTAACGTGTGATCATTTCATTATTAACCATGTTTGCACTGTACTTGTCGAGCTACGATCCTTACATTGAAGTATCAAATGTGTCATCTACAATTCCTGGACCCTGAAGTCACATTACATTAAGAAAAACTGGGTGAGAACGGTTGGGTGCCTAGCCTAATTCGAGTAAATAAGAATTTTTTCAAAGTGAAAAACAAGAAGGTTTCCATGTTTCCATTTGACTTTGATAATTGATTCTCATCAACAGTAAAGTTGATACAAAGCAGATGTCGTCTTTCTTCTCATCAAAAAAGCCAGAATGTCGTTTCAATGAGTTTTCAGAACAACGTAGAATTAAACTCACTTTATTTCATTTCACTACAATTTTTATACGATTTTGAACAGTGTATTTTTTATATAATTTTCCTTCCTCTACTTTATCCTTACCTGAGGCGTTTGAGAGGCCATTATTTTTGTTATTGACCAAACCGGAATGACTGTTTATCCAATATATAAACAAGTTTATCCCAACAAAAAGTAAGTGTAATCTTTTAGGAGATGTGTGTATCGACGAATAAAATAACGATAAAAATTTCGATGAGAACCATTGATCAATGCTGACATGAAGAAGAAAACGAAGTAAATATGAAAAGAAAAGGAGGAAGATGAGCGTGAACGACGAGAATAGTAATTCTAATCAACAAACACAATGATTATAATAATGGATTTGTTTCATCGCATTATGTGTCGACAAAGCCTTTCCGGAAACAACACAAAAATACATGGATAGAGAAAAAAAAATGTAAAATTTTTCAAAATTGAACTATGAACAGAAAGCAACATATCCGGCTAAGTCTTTTTTTTCTTGACGATGCTTTAACTATTTTCTCTATGTTCTTGACGTGTAATAAATCCATATAAGGAAGAAAAGTCAGTGATGAACAAACTATATACATCATCACTTCCTCTTGTATAATTATCAACAGATATGTTCGACATAAATACTAAGCTTTTACTTTTAATAAGATAAAGAGGTGAGAGACTCAGAGTTCAGAATATTCTCGCTTGTTCAAACAACTACCTTTCCACTATAAAATTTCTTCATCAACGACTAAATAAAAGATTCTGGAACAAAGTTCTTGAAGCACTAGTCTACCTCAGCTCCTTCAAAATTTCAACATACCTGCCGTCATTACGTTTTTGTTATTTATCTTTGTATGTGTGTGTTGATTGAAGAAATAATGAAAAAGAATTCAATGACATCCAACTATTGACACTGAACTAATGCATAGTTTTTGTATCTAGCAATTAACAATTCAGACAACAAACATGATATTTGATTACTTTTTGAGTTTATCGTTCACCTCAAGCAATATGACTTTTTTATACTTGTCTACACAATATAAAAACTCAATTATAACTGAATACAAATCTGATTATTTATCCATCGAAGTTTAATGTCAAATTCTGCCAGAGCACAAACTTATGATTAATATCTTTTTCACCGTTTGTGAATCAGTTAATAAACTATATTATTTTATTTTCTCAGAATAAAAAAACGTATAGATTGTTTATTGTTTCTTGTTGTTTCTATTAGTTCGAAGTAAATATACAATTAATAGATAAATGAACATAACATAAACGCATACGAATAATTATTGGGTAAAGGCGGAAAAAAAAGAAGATAGTGATCGAATGTGATGGTGTTTCTAGAAGAATAAATACGGCTAAACGTAAATTGGTCGTCTGATGTTGCTATTTATAACAGAAAAACGAAAAAAAAATTACATGATAATAATAATAGAAAGAAATAAAAAAAAAATGGCATATGAAATAATTGAGCGCCATCAGCAGCAGTCAGCACAATAGATCCGGTCTAACACGGTCTGAAAAAAACACCAAAACATGTATATTCGACAAATATGGTTAAACATTTTATAGATATACTCTTCGAAACTTTGATTAAAAGAAAAATGTCATTAAACATTCTCATAGGTGTGCGGATGTGTCGAATATAGCATAAGACGTATGATTATTTTTGGAGGTAATGGAAAATGAGATATCAATACATACAAAAAAGAAAACTGTAGAGAGAGAAATCTGAAATAGTGATGCCCTATCTATACCAGCAGCTGTAATTTTTTTTTAGAAGTTGCAACTAAAAGAGAAAGCTATAGGCGGACAAGAGCGAAACAGAGATATTAAACCAGAAAACAAAACACAAAAATCACAACAAAAAAAATATACATTGCAGAATAACATCGAGTCATTGCACAACTTTAGCATTGTGCAGAATACAGGAATTTTGTGTTTTGATAGTTTTAGTTTCAAAATGATATAATGGAAATTTATATTCTCGATTTCGTTCTGATTCAAAATGAAAGCTTAAACCAGATATTTAACAACCTGTAAAAAAATTTATTATCTTAGAGAAGGAGAAATAAAAGACAAGACAAGTTCGATACGCTCGATGAAAAAAATGAAAATACTTAATTTAAGAATAATATAAGAAAAATATACAAAAATACAGAGGAGAATGTCATATGATGTTGAGTTTCATTTTTCTATGATTTAAATACTCGCACAACACGAATAATATTTTGTCGACAAATGGGACCTAAAAAAATTGAAATAGAATATGAATAATTCTATTATTTAGTTTTAGTCAAAAGTGGGTGAATAACTTACACTCAGCCAACAATTTTCCACATTTCACACAGGTTACCATATGACCACAATCGAGAAATACACATTCAACAGTACTGTCCATACAGACTTTACATAATTCAGTATCTCCAGTCGACATCCCATCTAACTCTTTAGCTAAATTAAATAAAGAAAACAATAAGTTAAATATAAGACTATTCTATGCTTCTATTATTTAACCTTTTTCTTGTTGACTCGTTCTATCTCGATATAAACGTTGAACTTTTTCAATTAATTCACTTTTTTCTACACAACCCTTATAATTAACAAAATTTGTTGCTAATATTTCTTTTAACTCTTTTATCGATAAATCTTCAATATTCTGATCGTCTTTTATATCACTCAAAGATTTGCGTCTGATACGTTGTGGTGGTGGTTGAGCTGTTGCTCCTTCAACATTCTGTTTAAAAAAAAACATAAGCAGTTAGAAGAAAGTTTATGATAATTTGTTATATTACAAACCTGATTACTATTATTTGATGCTTGTAAATTTGTTGGCGTGCTTTGGCTGTTGTGATGCATATTGTTCGCAGTTCGTTGATCAGGATTATGCAAATTTGTTGTTGATGAAGAAGTGCCTTGTCGATGACGATTTGGTTGAGGATTTGATCGTCGATTTTGTTGTGGTGGCGGCTGTTGATATTGTGCATTGTCTGATGGTGGTGTTTGCTGATTTCCATTTGTCGATGATGTATAAACAAAACTTCCAGGAGATGAAAATGTGTATGAAGCGAAGCCGGGTGCATTCATTGTTGTTCCAAAATTGAATGACGACGTATTTCCGCTATTTGGTGTTGAAGTATGATTTGTATTGGTATTATTTGCTTCTGGATGTTGTGGATGTAATGCATGATGTAAAACACCGGAAACTGTGCTCGACACATAATCCTGTAGATTAGCGGCAAAATGATTCATTTGACTAGCAAACGATGACATTGTATGTTGAAAATTTGTAAATGGATGCGAAGGGTTACTATTTGTTTGTTTGGGCGGAGGAGGAGGAGGAGGCATGTTTGACGCTGTTGAAGATGAAGACGATGACGAAGCACTTGTAGAAAATGATGTTGTGTTGAAATAATTTGTTTGAAACTGCTGATTTGGAGGTATTGTTGTTTGTGTTGTAAAATAATTGTTATTTGAATTTGTCGAATTATTTTGAGCTGCTTGTTGTTGAAGATAGTGAAATGGTAAATGTCGACTACGAACAATTAGATCAACAAGCTCTTGTTTTTCTGTACATGTATGATTTGGTATATTTTTCGCTTGTAGATATGATCGTAAATGTTTGACTTTGACAGCAAGTAATTGTTCTTGTGTGCTTGATTCGCTGGATATCAGTTGACAAATGAGACAAACTCGACAGGGATAATGACGTTCACGTGGTGCACAATTTGGACAAAATGATTGTCGACAGACAATACAGTTTTTCTGCAACACGAGAAGAAGAACAACGTTTAGTACTGTAATTCATACCTAGGGTAATAGATTAATAGGAGAACATACTTTGCGTTTTATTAATGTATAAGCAGTATTACAACGTTCGCATTGATCGTTTGAAAAAGGAGGTGTGGGCATGGCCCAAAGGAAGTCAAAACAATTAAAAGTAGACGCCACGCCTGAAATAGAACGAGAGAGAAATATATATTTTAAAATCAACAATGAAAGCAATCCAATGGGGAGAAATCTTTGATGTGCATTAGAAGTAAGAAAAAACGAAAGTAAAAAAATTATTTTTAAATTCATGATGTATGCAAAAGAAAAGTACAAGCAGATTTTAACGAGTGCCGAGTATTCGAAGAAATAAGTCTCTAAGTTTGAGGAATATTTTTTTGTATCAATAAAGTCTTGTATTTCTCATAAAAAAAGTGGTTTTAACGACATATCTCACTAAGACATGATGTGATTCAAATAGTCGGTTTTAGGAAATCTTTTCAGAAACCCAAAAATGTGTAGTAGATGTGTAACAGGTAGAAATACAAAGAGATGTAGTAATAGTCATACTAAAAATCTCATGACCTGAGATGATCTGGTTGCTAAAAAAATCAGTGACCCTAAAGGATTTTTTGACGGTTTCACATCAGTATTGTCATCAGTATAGTCGCTCTATCTTGTTAACTGCCGGGAAAGTTTACTCTGACCTTAATATTATTCCTTACTAAATTTGGCTAACATTCCATGAAAGTTTTAAAGAAATTTGAAAACTTCATTGAACAGTCGTAAGGTTGGTATTTTCGAGCGTTTTTTCATCTCGTGAAATAAATAAACGTAAAAAGGTGGTGTTATTCTGAACCGTTTCGAAACGGCCTAATTCAACGTATTAGTTTTAACACATGTTATACAGTAAGCAGTTTTCAAGATTAGCGAGTGATATCTCTGATAATAATAAGTGTAAATCAAAATATACAAAGATTAACTATGTGTTAGAATGTTAATGCTTACGTACGATGAGAGAAGAAAACAAAAAAGCACAATTAACACGATAATTACATAGTACTACAGTAACCTCTATTCGTGCAATATCGGATCTTGATTTCTTTGTAATTTTGTTGGAAAATGTCTTGAAAATTACGGTCAATCAATAGGCGTAATCTAAAACAAAACTAAGGGTACATAATTCATTGAATTGAAGATTAAACATACAGTCAACTCAATGTTCGGAAATAATTAGCTAAAGTGAAAATTCGAGGACTGAACGACCAAAACAAGCTACAACAAACGGTTGTCACATGGTGTAAGCATAGCAATTGTAACAATACTGAACGCACACAACATTATTTCACTCTCATTGTAACACATTTACTGTCAACAAACAAAGTTGTCAATCGAAAATACACGACTCTGTGTACGCGAATAGTTTTCACTTTATCTCCAAACCTTTCAGCTTGACAAGTACAAAACTACACAGAATTTCCTAATGTATGTGATTGGAATCATATCACTCAAAAATAACACTTTTAAAAAAAAGTACTTTACGGTCGGTTTCACTTAACTTTGTGACATACACAAAATTTTATATTTTTTATTATGACCTAACACTGTATGTCATCCTTTTATTATGTCAATCCATGAAAACAAAATCAAGAGGAATTTCGATTGATGAAAGTTCGCAGCCAGTAAAATTGACAAAAGCACAACATCAAGCTGTTGCTCTTTATCCTCTGTCAGACATATCGGTTGAAAAGAAGAGGAGATGAAGAGTACATTGGTCCTAGATTGGTGAGAATGGGTCCGTGAGACTGAAATACTACCAACCATCTGTTATGTCGGTCTTATTCTTATTAGATGAAAGACATAGAATGAATAAAACGAAGAACAATGAAAATTAGAGAATATGCTAGGACCAAGCTCAGGCTTAACTTTTGAGCCTAAGGATAGGAACCAAATAAAACGTCTTATTTTCTAGAGTATTCGCAATACTCTGACGTGGTTAAAAAGCTTAAGTATTCAGTAAAGCTCTGATTTTAGAAAAGTTGAAACGCCTATGCAGTAGATGTAGCCTTTTCTTTAAAGATGCATCTAGCTGAATTTTGAATGGTTGAGAAGAAAAAAAAGTAGAACATATACCTACAGTGGTTATTTGTAATTAATATAAATTTTATCCTAAATATACTGTAAAACAGTGTTTCTAACAATTGGTGATCCCTCCGAGAGCAAAGTGATCTTCCACTTTGTAAACACAAATTCCGCTCTGTTTATTGTTTTGCAAATGAAAAAACCACCTTGCTTTCTTAAATTTCCACTTTGTTTTCTCCTTCTCATCTGTACTATTTTCCCCATCACGACTAATATTATTGGCCTAGTTTTTCTTATAAATTGATCACATAGAGACACAATAATTGCTTTCTATTTGTCTGATAGTTAGACAAAATGGATTGATTTACGAATTCCGCAAATCAGTCAGTGCATCATCAACTTTCGTAATACAGAACTCTTAAGCAACGCATAAGAAGCTTCAATAAAAGAAACTGAACCTTTGCTATAGCGCTGATGAAAGAAGTTAGCATAAGTGGCCGACCGGCAATCATCAATGTTTGATTAGGATCTAATTAGAGGCAGAGTTCACGACTTGAAATTTTTGAAATCAGTACTTGTATTTCAAAAATCAGTAGGTTATTCGTAGATTTTTTTTCTGGGAACTCACGAGAAATCATCAGTTTTTCTCTTTCGCACCCATCATATTTTTCGTCATTGGCTTTAGGAGAGGTGAACAGTGAAAGATGACGAGTGACGATGCTAAAAACTGCGAGAATTTTCTGCTTTTTTCCGATAACCAGTTCTCTTGAATGCTTTTTTTGAATAGCACAGAACAAATTTAACTCAGGCTAAGAAAGTTGAGATAGGTCTACGTTTCAGAACGTAAGCTGAAAACAGTTTTACAAATGCTGTTTGCTGAAAGTTTATTTGAGACCACTTTACGCTAAACTGCTACTTTAGGGCTCAGAGCAAAGTGGTTCATTTCATTTTGATTACAAAATTCATTAGAAACGCTGCTATAAACAACTAATGAAAAAAAATGTCAAACGTCACAGGAGAAATGTGATAGCATAAAAACATATTTTCCATGAAATCACACAATGACAGAAGACAACTTCCCAAGATCGAAATATATAGTACTAGCCGTATAGTATAATTAAATACTCTGTCACTTACTTTGACGTTTAAATGTGATGAATGTTTGTTTCAACTTTTTAGATTGAGCTAATATAAAACATTTCCCACTGATCATTAAAAGTTAGTTTTGATTTACAAACAAATTAACAGCAAAAGAAAATGGCACGAAATTCCGAGAAAGCAATGACAGCATTAGCTCGATGGAGACAATTACAATTGAAAGAACAAGGAAAACTTAGAGTCGATCGACGTCCTCATTTAGCATCAGATGAAACAAATGTTCGAAGAGCTGAAAAATGGCGTTACCAGGTTGTACGTGAAATAGCAAAAAAAGTGGCGCAAATACAAAATGGTAGGTCAATAGACATAATCATTTGCATTATATTAATATTTATTTCTTTTTCAGCGGGTCTTGGTGAATATAAAATCCGTGATTTGAATGATGAAATAAACAAACTTTTACGTGAGAAATCACATTGGGAAGATCGAGTTAAAGAGCTTGGTGGAGAAGATTTTAAGGTTTGTATTTTTGTTCAGCGCATACTAGCAACTAACAATAACTATATATTTATCTTTCTAGAAAACGGCTCCTAAAATGCTTGACAATGAAGGAAAAGAAGTTCCCGGCAATCGTGGCTATAAGTAAGCAAAGTTACTGTTATGAAGAACTGTAGATAAACATATTTGTGCCATTTTTAGATATTTTGGTGCTGCAAAAGATTTGCCAGGTGTACGTGAATTATTTGAACAAGAGCGTAAGTTTTCTTTTGTCATATGATCCTAGAAAATAAAGAGATATCCCTTATTGGTTATATATTTCTTATCTTTTATTCATTGTCTATTTTGTGTATTTCTAGCTGTTCCGCCACCAAAGAAAAATCGTTCGGAATTGATGAGAAATGTTGATGCGGACTATTACGGGTATATGGATGATGATGATGGTGTATTGATTCCCCAGGAAGAACGTTGTGAGAAAGAAGGTAACAATATTGCATTCTTTTTACTCTTTACACCTTCACTTTTGATTGTGATTCTGCTATGAATATAAACTTTTTTCCATTATTGCTTCTATTTCATCTCTTTATCTCCATGTGATCTCTATTTCCGTAATAATGTCTTTAAATTTTTTTTAATTTAATAGCTGTTCGAAAAAAGGTTGATGAATGGAAAGCACGAAAGGAAGCAATTTTACGTGGCGAATTACAAGCTGATATTGAGAAAGAAGATGAAATGGACAATTTTATTGTACCTGAAATGAATGTAGGTCTATTTTCTTTTAAAATCTAACATTTGCTAATTTTTCTGAATAATTATTGCATATACTTTAATTATTGTTAATCTATTTTAGTCTGATGATGAAGATTATGTTGCACATCAAACAAGACCAGGAGTAGCTGATGTTGTATCGAAAGATCATATCTTCATTGCACATGTACCAGTACCGAGTCAAAAAGAAGTATGTTTTAATGCCGTTTTTACAATTGTTTTAAACAGTAAACACAAAATAATAATTTTTTCTTTTCTTCTTAGATCGAACGGGCACTACTTGAACGGAAGAAACAAGAATTATTGGCCAAGTATGTGTCTGATGATTTACAAAAAGAAGATCAAGAAGTAAAAGATCTGTTAGGAAAATACTGATGGACATACGACGTTTGTACAGTATTTTGTATGTACTTGTTGTTTATTTATGTTATTTTTTTTTTTCGCCTGCTAATAAAAGATTGGGCTCACTCTCTCCTCATTTCCATTCTTGATACATATTTGAAATAAAGAATTTTCATATAAATCTTATTTCGATTGCTGAGTTTTTGTCAGCATATTTATAAGCTTTTTTTTGTGATGGTATTTTTATACTAAAAGTTTGTTATTGCTAGAATTCTAAATAAAAAGAAAGCAACTGGTCAACTCATAATAATAACGATTGGTTAAATGAAAAGAAATAAATTCTCCTATTTTCAACCATGCATTACGTTTGGTATTTATTAATGTTAAGAAAAGCTGAAAATCTTAGTTATAAGAAAAAATTTTTTTTCAAATATATAGTCTTTATTTGGGGAGAATGTTCAAGAATGGAAAATATGAGAAAAAAGCCCAATCCTGTATTCTTTGAATTTTTGTAATTGAAAGCTAATTATAATGCATACAGTCATATGAGACATAGGAACTATTGAAAAAAATATTCATGATAAGTGATAACTCAGATATTCTATTTCTTTTGATATAAAAGAACATGGTCGAGAATTATGATATGTGAAAGTGATCAGACTTTCGGATTAGGAGAAGAAATTTTAACACTATTAGATTTTTGTGAATTTTTGTTTCGCCAAAAATTTGTTGAACCTTTTTGATGAGTGTAACAAATATCCAAGCCAATATTAAAAAATTAATTTGAATAAATTTAATATGATACTTTGTTTAAACTAGTTCGAATTAATTTCAACAGTTCCAATGGGTAGACATGTACACAACACATAAAAAAGTTTTAATCTTGACAAAATCTATAAATGAAACAAGTAAATTTTCTCCATTCTTATTCGAATTTAATTTATGATACCAATAATTTGTAACTCTAACCACTGTGCTCTCCCATTTCAAATTCAGGTTGTCAATTCAAAGGCTAATTATGTAAGATAAATAAATTTAGCCGTTTTTCATGAAATATAGCGTTCAATAGTCATTCTGTCTTGTCAAAATAAATTTCATTTTGGAATTCGACTACATTGATTTGAATCGTTTTGTTTTTCGAGGCTATTTACTTCACTATCTTACTAATCTCAATCTTATTTATGTGGCATGCTCCAAAGTACTCATTATTCGATAATTTTAATTTTATTAGAAATCAACGAACAGATCTAGTTCACTGGATTTTGATCGAGAAGAGATGATTAATTGAAGTTTTTACTCACATAGATCGTTGTGACGACAAATAGTCTTTCTTTTAAATTCGAAATTTAAAAATGCACACCTAACTGTGTATATATATCAACAGTGTTTTAATTTTCAGATATATATTCAACGAGAGTATTTAGGTTTTCTTTGTTCCTATATAAAAATAGAAAAAAGTTTTAATGTAAAAGAGATTCTCAATAATTCTTTATTATTGTTGAAACACTTCAAATGTAAGTTTAAATTTTGATAACATCTAGCTTTTGTTTTTTGATAATTGATTCGTTTTTTGGATTATTTTTAAGATATAATAAAACAATGTTTCGACGAATATCTCCTCTATTTGGTATTCGATTTATTTCGCATTTAAAAATTCCTCGAACATGTTCATTACACAGTAGTGCTCATACAGATATTGGTTATTTTGAAAATGTAGTTAAAACACTATTAGACAAAAGAACACAGCCAATATCAAAAGATACTACTACTGATGATAATCATGGAAATAAAGAACAAAGAAAATATTATAATAAAAAACAAAATAAATCTTATGATCAACAGAAAACACCACAATATTTTCCGACAAAACAGAAAAGTATACCATCATTGTCGTCAAAGTTTACATCTAATAATAAAATGTATGCAAATAAACGGGATGATCAAAATAAACAGCAATATGGAAAAGAATGGGCCAATGATAATTATGTAACGAATAAATCGCGAACATCAACATACAATAAGAAAAAACGGATAAATCAAAAAAATGACAATGATAACGATGACATTGATAGAATACAAACGTCAAAATTTAATGCAAAAGAAATTAATCGACAGTTTCATGTAAAAGAAGAAAAAAGTGATAGATTTGAAAATAAAAAAAATGATTTAACATCAACTGAAGTAGAAACAAAAGTATCTTTAAACACAACAATATCAACATCAGTAAATCGTTCAAAAGAGTTAGATATTGTATTTTCAAATAAACAAGATGAAGAAGAATACAAGTAAGAAGATGTTATGGTACATTAAAGAATTCAACAATGAATATCTATATATTTTGAATTTAGAGAGTCGATTCCACTTGAAGTTCTTGTTCAACCTAATTTACGTCATTTATATACTGATGAACAAAAACTACATGAATTAATTGAACAATATATTCGTGAAATGCGTCCTGTTCTACGTCCATTTACATTTGATTTAGCTTATTTAATAAATGAATCAGAAACATTAAAACGTTTTGTTGAAATGGGTGTTGATGTCTATCGTTGGAATAAACCACATGCTAAAACAAAATATGTTCTTACACTCGATTTTGAACGTGATTGTTTAAAACATATTATTTTTTTACATGATATGGGTATTCAAGATAATGTTTTGGCACAATTTCTATCGTATAATCCATGGATATTTAATGAGAACATTGATGATTTAAAAACAAGAATTAATTATCTTGAAAGTAAACAATTTAAACCAAATATGATTCAACATATTATCTCCAAAGAACCCTATTGGCTTAATTTGAGTACAAAAATGGTAGATAGTAAATTATGTTGGTTTCAAAAAAAATTTTACTTATCAGCCGATGAAATACGAACAATAGTTTGTAAAACGCCAAAATTAATCACATTATCATTACAAGATATTAGTAACACTCATTTTAATATGAAAGAACTTTTAAATTTTAGTGAACAACATTTAAAAGAACTTCTTGTTAAATATCCAAAATTGTATCAATATGATTTTAAATTGATTGAATTAAATTTTGATTTTTTATTTAATGAAATGAATATGAAACATGAACGACTTCTAGAATATCCGCCTGTACTCAAACAATCATTTCAATGTTTAAGATCACGTTGTTTATATTTAAAATCAATTAAACGTGATCAATTTGATCCATCAAAACCAAATTTTGTATCATTGAAAGCTCTTTGTTTAGATACTCATGAACTATTTTGTACACAAGTGACGAAAACAAGTGTTAAAGAATATCTCGAATTTTGTAAAACGATATGAGAGTGAGGATGTATATATTTTTATTTTTATTTTTTATTGTTGTTATTTTTTTGTTTAAATGAAAGATATTCATTTGATAAAAAAGCAATTTCTCACTTAAAATAAACGAAAGAAAAATGGATGATCATCCGTTATAACTACAAACTTTATCGTTCACAATGTCTTTGAAAATTAATTGCTTTTTATTGTTTCCTTTTGGTCACTTCAATGTTGAGACTTTCGCTGACAAATAATATCTTTCAAACTTTATCACAGTATCGTCAAAATCTCTTCAACGACATCGTTTATCTGTTCGTTGAAACTCTTTTGTTTTAGATCCTTGAGTCAGAAAAATCATTTTGACTAATTTTAAATAATGTTTTCAATATTTAAAACATACCATCCACCAACTGGAATAGAAAATGTTGTATCAGCATATTTTTTATCACCTTATGAAAAAAATAGTCTATTATTGAGTGGAAACTAATTATATGTCTACCATCTTGTACCATACACAATCACAAGTGATCAAGTTAGTGAACCGATCAATTATACATCAAATGATACTGCTGATGTTTATCAACCACCATCTAGTCAAAAATCACAACATTTAAAATTGTGATCAAATATTTGTACGATAACACCATGTTGTTTTGATTTAACAATGGTCAAAGATGCATTATTTATCTCATTTATGGATGGAAATTATCCCTCATCAAATTTGATACCAGTATTCATGATCTAAAAACTCCATCCATGCACTATTTTGAGGATGAACTACAAAAAGAAGGTTAATAATATAATTTTTTATTAATTTAAGAGTTGTTCTAGATGTGAGATATGCTGTAATGTTAATATATAATTGTAAATTATTCATTATACCATTTTTTAACAATCAAAATACAATGAAAGAAATTACATTAATAAATGGAATTCTATCAAAAAGTTCAATGTTGAGTACGAGTAAGTACCTCGTTACATAGAGATATTCACAGTTATTTATCGATTATTTTTCTCTTAGATATTGGATCTAATATGACTACTCGTTACTCATCATTACCATCTTATATTGTTCATTTGAAGAAACTTGATCCATCGTTATCTGGTCAAATCATTGGTTTGCAATTTTTACACGGTTACTGTGAGCCAACATTATTTATTCTTATGTGAAACAAATCGCACATGCGTTTGGTCGTATGGCTCTAAAAAAAGATACATGTTGTAGTGTAGCATTGTCCATCAATGTAGAACAAAAATCAAAGTTTAGTATTTGGACTATTGATAAATTACCGTTTGATTGTTTGACATGTATGCCTCTACCAGAACCGATTGGTGGTACCATTATCATTGCTGTATTATTATTACGTTATCACGAGTCAACAATTCACGAAACGTCAGTAGTCACAACGACGAATGGATTAATGAACACATCATCGAATGATGTTAACACTATCACTACACCAGACAATGGAACATCAGATCATCAACTCGATGATGACATGTTGACATATGGTAATAATAAAGTGAAAACTCTCAAAACAATTGATAATCATACCGATGATCCGTATACAAACGTGTAATACAAGAGTCAGATGATAATGATGATGATATTGTCAATAATCAATATGATACGAATTATTCCAACGCGAAGAAACCGTCGATTTTTACATTTGATTTTTGTGGTAGTATAATTAACGTTGGTTCTTATGGTAATAGTATTTGTGGTGAATCATCAGATTTCAATCAACAAGATGAAAATACATTTCACCAGAATTCATTATCATCACATCTGTATTTGGTGATAGCATCAGATCACGGTAAAAATGGTTCTATATCAGTATTACAACAAACATTAAAACACCATGTTATTACTCCTCAATATTTGTTGGGCAGTGTTGATTTATGGACGGTTTATTCTACAACAATAGATGCCTATCTAATTATAAATGAAACAACAACATTAATACTACAAACAGGTACTGACATATCCAAATTAGAACAAGATGGTTTTCTGGCACATGAACAATGTCTCTGTCGATAATATGATTTTCATTTTTCATTCAGAGCGTGTAAAACATGACGAAATAACTGGAAAATTCACAAAAAAGTATACTCGATGGTGTATATTATAGAGCTATTTTGATTTAAGTGTTTTTGAACGTAATGAATTGTTAAATCGACTGGAAATGACGTCGGATCAAGTAAAGTTCGCTCGAAAAGCTCTTTGACCACAGTTTGTTTATCTTTTCTTTTAGCTTCATGAGGATTTGATCGATATACTTCGAGCAATGACATTGTTCTAATTTATATGTGATTTTCTTCTTATCATCTGTAGCAATTTTTTTTTATTATTGTACATAGTTTTTATTCATTAGCTATTGTAGCAACATTCTATTCTTGTTGTTCTTTTTTTTACATTCTTTCGTTGTTACCACGGTGTAAAACGTGGCCAGCAAGCTTTTTGTATCCTTGGAGTTTGAAATGATAATGAATTTGAAGAATTCTACATCCTCCCACCCTTCACCCCACAGAATAGAATGGCTGGTAAAGCGGATACCTCAGCTAGATTAAGTTTATTCTGATCATTTGTGAGAAAAAGATGAAGTACCTAGAATCGGACAGTTTTCTCCTGCCTGTCCATGAATTGTTCATAATATCTTTTATACGATTCTCTATAACTATTGTAACTGTAGAAGAGTTTAAACTATTTGCTGGCTAAACTTAGAATGATCTCATCTCTGTTGTTATTCGCTTCGTTTTTCGCATAACCGCAACAAAGACTAGTAAAATGAGACAACTAACCCTTTTTATGGTTGATGAATTTTTTTGTGTTATTGATCTAGTAAACTGATGACAAAAATAATAATTTGCATATCTAAGAAATCTTAATATATCATTTATAGATTTCCATTATGGTATTTGAAAATTTATTTTCAAGAAAACCAAAAACTCCGATTACCACTATACCTTCAACAGTTCAACAACCATCATCACTTGATACAGATAAAAATAAACAGCGCGATGAAGAAGAAAAGCTCTATACTAATTCAACAAAAAACTTTGATACAACATTAAGCGAAGATTATGGTTATTTCTTCTTTCCCGAACGATTTGGAAAAATTCATCCCATCACTATCACAGAACGTCTGTTTTCACTTACACTATCACGTGAACATATTCGAAAAGTGTTTTGTCGTGAACATGTTTTAGCAGCAATTGAAAATGATCCATTAGTTAAAACGTTAACGAATGCTTTGGAAGATCATGGTTGTAAAATTGATTTATCTCGACATATTATTTGTGAATATTGTGATCCAGAGATGCCTGGTGGATTTGATCCCACTACAAATCAAATTATCGTATGTTATAATCAACAAAGAAAAACCAATGAATGTTTAATTAACGGTCTAGTACAAGCATTTGATTATTGTCGAGCTAAATATAATTTTCATGATATGAAACATTTTGGTTGTAGTCTTATACGTTCGATTAATTTTACATCATGTGGATTTATCAAAGGCACATATTCGTCTTATAAAATTAAAGATGAATATGAAAAATGTGTATTTAATGAATCGGTGTTGAGACTAAGAGAATTGCGTGCAGTAGAAAAACGAGAAGCAGAAAATATTATCAAAGAAGTTTATACGCCATGCAGAAATGACTTAGAACCATTTGGACGAATACCAAAATTAACGGCTAAATATGAATTCATACACAATGATTATCAACGAATGAGAAAATATTTTCCACATGAAGCAATTAAAAATCCACTGGCTACAAAAGCGTCTAGTAAAAAAGAAAAATAGTAATGACTTAGTTTTTTATTTGTACTTTTTTCTTTACGTGTGTCCTTTTTTTAAAAAAAATTCCTACTCGTGTGAACAAAACAATTCTTTTTGTAGACTTTTTTCATTCTAGGAGCTCGAAGATGCGTGGTTTTGTTGAATAGGAAATAAATTATTATATTTGATTTACAAAATAGAAGGAATTATTTGATACAAAATTTTCCAACTAAGCTGCTTTAACTAAATTTCTAATAATCGATGTATTACATCGGCGCGTTTAAAGTCTTAGTTTTCTTGCAGTGACAACCGCAGATCTCTAGCTATCTCCTACCAAAAGTTATCCAAAAAATGACCACAGCAACTTAGTTTCTTATACAAACAATGTTATGATAGTTTCTTGATTAAAAATGTGTATATCTTTAGTATATCGTTTGCTATTTTTGATGCTCGATCATTAACCACAGCTAGAGTTGTAGTTACGAATGTCAAACCATAGTCTCTATAAAAAGATTTTATCATTTCTGTGTAATCAATTTTCAATGCTATAATAATATTTTGTAATTTATCAAACAAAACAATTTTGAATATTCAAATATTACCAAAATTATGATGACAAACTCATTATTATCTACTTAGGGCATACCAAAAGTACGGGCAGTGACACTTTAGTACCGTATAGCAGGCTTAAAGTAACTTTCGTCTATATAATCTGATACAGAAAAAAAAGCTGTCTTCCTATGCTATTTGATCGTACTTCAACTAATATCATAATATTAAATTATCTCTAAAAACCTATTTCGGCTGGTTATGTGCCGATTGTATTCATACTAATTTTGAAAAAATACGAGTAAGTATTTTTTGAATAACTTTTGATAGAAGCGAGATAGAGAGCTGCGGTTTTCACCGTTGGAAGGAGGAGATGAAGACGCATCGAATCATATATTATAGGTTTTCTTCATCTGTTTCTTGTAAGGTTTTCAATTGGCCTTTTTAAGAACAAACATATTTGATAAGTTGTTTACAGTGAATTTTCAATTATCAAGTGTAAATTCAACCCACTAATCGAAGATCTACAAAGTGCGGAAGGTTGAGATGAATAGTATGCATTTTAGTCGAGCTTCTAATAGAATTTTCTAGCAAAATCTGTGAAAAAAGCTCACTTTTGTGCTTTTTCCTTTTTCATAAAAAAAAACATTTTTCCGACACTTAGAAAATTGAACAAAAATACTTCAGAAATCAATTTTAGAAAAGCCTATAATATATGATTCGATGCATCTTCATTTCCTCTTTCCAACGGTGAACACCGCAGCTCTCTATCTTATTTCTATCAAAAGTTATTCAAAAAATACTCACTAGCATTCATGGAATCGTGACAGATGCAAACAAAACAGATCTTATCAAAATTTTATTATTCTTATAAATATTAGTTGAAGTATGATCAAATAGCATAGAAAAATAGAGCATTCTTTTCTCTATCAGATTGCATAGAAAGAAAATTTCTTGAAGCTTAATATACAGTCTTAAAGTGTCACTGCGCATACTTTTGGTATGCTCTAAGTAATAGAAAGAATTACAGATAAGAAAGAATTACATAGACACAATGAGGGAAAAAAAATTCTATATTTGAAAGTCTACTTTAAAATTGAATCTAAATTTTATTCTCCAATATCAAATTGAAGTCGAACAGAAAAATTTTCTTTAAATATATGCCATGTTTTTGATTTATGTGGATTATCCAATTCTTCTCTTGTCAATAATAGACTAAAATAATAAAAAGAAAACATATCTCTAACTGTATCAATATCTCAAAATGAATTCGAACATACGAGTTTTGTTCAATGAATGAAGTGTTTAACCAGAAATAAAATGCACATGCATCATAATTTTTTGGAACACGCTGTACGAAACAATAAAAAAATATATATATTCATAACTAAAACTAGCTCAGCTTTTAGATTTTACATACTTTATTTGTTGAAAAAAACATAAATTTCACATCACCTTTTAATACTTGTAGATTAATATCAGATATTATTATATCATCATTGGCAACATTATGTTCAATCTAAACAAATCAATAGTAAAATAAAATAGATCAGATAGGGATGAAAATAAACTTGTTTTCTTTTATATTACTTTGCAAATATTATAATTTTCTGCTTTTTCCTGAAATGCAAATTTACCAAATACTTCGTCATAGTTTGACACTGTAAACCATAAATCACTACCATCACCATTACCAATGCCTTAAAAAATGTAGTTTATAATTACAAAAATAAAGAAAATAATGTTCACATACTAGCAATTGATGTAATAGTAATGGATTTTAATCGTAATAATTGTGGAGGTGGCATTTCATTATTATAATTATGTAAAATTTTTTCATAATATCCAACATAACGAGTTTGTGACGGTGTTTCAACACCCTGAAATGTTTTCCCATGTCGTAAATCTGTTCGTGCTTCAGCAAAAAATTGTAATGCCTCCTGTTTAAAAACAAAGAGAAAATAAATGGCAAAATTTGTTTTTCAACAAATTTTATCTTCTTACTGAAGCTGTCTTACAAACACCAGTTTTTAATAATGCCACAGCAATCATTGTTCCTGTACGACCTTTACCACCTTTACAATGAATGGCAATAACATTGTCTGATGACTCTTGGAACCATTCAGTAACTGAATTGGCCAGTCGAATTGTATCACTTAAAATAAAAACACGATATTTAATACAGAATGTATATCAAATTTGAATATATTTTACCTTAATCTTGGTACATTATGATCATTTATTAGGACACGTTCAACACGATGAAAATAATCCGTTTCGTAACAACGTTCACCTAAAATCAAATTTTTAAAAATGATTAATAAATATCAATAATTTTTGAACATTTTTCTTACTACACAAGTTATAGACTTTATAATGTTCACGATGAAATTCATCAAGAAAATGTCCAACATCCTAAAACAAATAATTTTCTAATGTTAATTTCTTAAAATAAGCGAACCAGAGTGAAAGTGTCTCAAATCTTTAGCCTCGAACATCTACAGTATAAACAAAATCTACATGAAATATAATGAACTTTTTTTTCCATTTAATCCAAAACTCTGTTGTAATAGCTAAATCAAAATCAGTAGAATCATCTGATTCTTTCTTTTTAATTTTTAATACGAACAAATTTGACATATCGCAATGTGCTGTAGCAGCTAGTATACGAGTACACATTTTTCGTACTCATGTGAGATAGCGAATCAAAAATCCTGATTTACCTCAAGCACACACACACACACACACACTCAAGCTAATTGATGATTCTTCTTTTCTTTATGATCCAACACACATTCAAGTTTAGAACTTACAGAAATATCATTACGAAAAAAGGCATCTTTTCCTTTACTAGGAAATGACATGGCTATTATTTGTTCTAAATTGGTAATACATGAAATTTTCTTTCACATAGTTATGTTTTATTGTTTTTTTCTTTCTTCTAATATTCAAAAAATGTTTTACTCACTTGTTACATAACATAAATCTAAATCATATCCATTTCCAACAAATCGTCGTTTATTTTGTCCAACTAAATGTCTATTAGCAATTTTGAAATGTTCACGATGACCGAGTATACGTAATGTTCTTATTAAATTAAAAACACGAAAAATTCGGGGTACTATAATAAATCTAAAATATATATTAAAGATTAAACACCATACTGAATTAATCATAGGAACACTTACTTCAATATGTGTCCGTTTCTCAATTGTGCTTCCAATGCCACTAAAACAATATTTACTATAAGACCAACACTGATAACAAGAAGATCAAGTATTTCTAATTTTTTTTGAAAAAATTCTCGTCTAAATAAATAATAAACATGTTAATCTTAGTATAAGTAATGGAAAAAATGAGTGGTTTAATTACCCTTGAGCTGTAATACGTATAAATATATCCATCATGAATATTATTGATAAACATAAACTTACCCAATCTAGTACTGTAGTAGACTCTTAAAAATTAGAATAACATCGAATAGTTGATGAATGTATAATATATTTCTAATTTACGTACTTTTTTGAAAGCCTTTAGTAACTGTAATGATAATTATAATAATATCAGCCAAAAATAATACTGCAATGATTAATCGAAAAATAATACTTTCAATCATTCGACGTAATTTATATTGAAATTTTCTAATTAAAAATAGAGATTATATATCATTTTATTATTGAAAAAAAGACAATTACGTTTTGTTGTACCTACTGGAAGGGTGTTTCGACAACTGGTTTTAGATCATCAACTGCTAATCGGCTGAAAATGAAAATAAAACTATTCATGATAATGAATAGAAATAAATAAGATCAAGCATACGTTTTATTGAAATCAATTTGTGTATGAACTGGATCCATATCAGGAACTTGTCTTTTGTACATAGGATTATCCATCTTGTGTTTAATGAATCCTCTCTTCTTTTTTTTTTTAGAATAAAACCGATATTTCTGCAAGAAAATAGCATTCAACTACATAATCTGTTGAAATCAAAACAGTCATGTTTTGAACATAACAACAATAAAAAAAATTTGAATACAAAAAGAAACATAACACATTTATTATTGTCCAACATAAAATTTGATATCAGCGTGTTTCGACGAATACAGACAATACCTGACAGACAATAAAGGACAAAAAAATGCATTACTGTGGAAAAAAATGAGAATGGAATTGATCTAATAATACTAGAACATATTTGAACAAATAGGTATCACTTAAACAATATCATGAAAAATATCGTGTGATTTTTTTTGATAGATATCGAAACTAAAGTCAATCTTCGAGCCATATATTTTTTAGATATTTGATTTACGCTTTTTCTTATCAGACAAACATAGAGAACATTTGTCTTGATCAAATATTTTTCATAACAAGACAAATTATAAATATGAGATACTACAAAAGTTTAAGAAAATAAATTTTCCTATTATTGCATTTGAACGTGCATATACAACAGTGAAAAAAAAAGTGAGCTAGAATAAAAAAATAAATAGAACATATTTAACGATCAATATCAAATAAATAGCTACAATATTCAAAAACAAGATAGGCAATTGTCGACGCTGGCAACACTTTCATTAGATTAGGTATACTCCCATAATAAAATCCGCGCCATCCATCTATACGCCATATTTTACCGATCATTTCAAATAAACTTTCTTGAACAATCTGATATTGTTGACGAGTTCTTACCAAATAGAATGGATACGCTGAATACATGGCACATATTGAACTAATATTCGATAACATAACTAATGTGAACATTGATGGTTCTTCGAGAGACGTTACTTTTTCACGATATAAACGTCTTAAATATTCATATAGAGCAAAATCAACTCCAGCCGCTGGAAAAACACCAATTGAATTTGCCAGATAACCACGATACCATATTCTCCATCCTTCAGCATTATACAGTTTTCTTATTAATTCAAATATTGTCTTGTATTGGCCAGTTGTTCGCATAGCAGCCTGTGTTTTCAGAACTTCTGCAATACAAGAAAAAGATACGATCATAAAGTTTATGATATCTTGTGTTTACCCACCCAATGGATAAATACATGTCTGCGCCAGAAAACCTGATAAACATCCAAAGCCAAATAATTCTTTACTTGATATTGGACTAATAATCAACTCATCATAATCCCCACGCATTTCTCTTAAAGTTTCAAATATTCCTTGTCGAATAGCCATTTCAGGTGTCATTTTGAATACAGCTGTCAATGAAAAGAAGAAAAACAAATAAATAGATTACCATAAAGAAGTTAAGAAATGCTAACCTATCCCATTGCCTCTCCAAAATGATTTTACTCCTCCTTCGGCATATAATTTTGATGCTGTTGAAAACACTTTTGCTTTCCCCGTAGCTTGCATGTAGATTTTTAGCCTATCGAGAGGTGCTGAAGCTGTTCGTGATACCATTCCTTGAAAAAATAAAAATAAATACTAAAGTTTGTAATTGTCTCTTTCATTATTTACTAACTGTAATATTATTATCTATTTGTACCTGATATAGCTCCAGCAATGAAATGTCTTGCCCAAAATCCATTTTCATGTTCTTTTTCTGTATATGAATTTGGCATTGTTTGTTCATTTATCGTATCCAGTTGTACACCTCTTCTCCATGATCGTAATGATGCTTCTAATTCTGTACTTGGTGCAAAACGAAAATATTGCATCCATTCATCAAGTCCAATTGTTAGACTCTTATCGCGATCAATGACTTCAATAATTTTCATCAAATCTTTCTTTTTCAATACTACTTTCAGTCGACTAAATGCTTTGGCTAATTCTAGTGGATCTACAACTCCATCTTTGTTTAAATCGATTTCGTCAAAACTTTCACAGCACAAAAAAAGAAAATGAAAAATCGTTTAAATAAACAACTAAATTTCTTCTATATAGTTAATATACCTTAATTTTAATTGTTTTTCTCGTTCTAGCATTATTTCTAAAAATGTTTTTGTATCAATTCTATCGCCTTTCGGTTTTAATGACGAAAGAAATCGTCTTACTTGTTTCTTTACTTCTTGTTTCGGATGAATATCATCCATTTCTTGGAGAGCATTAGCTAGATCAGTCACTTTTACTCGTCCAGTTTTATCTTTATCCAAATTATCTATCAGTGATTGTAATTTTGCCATATCAATCTCATCCAAATTAGATGAGCGCTTTTTCCTCGTAAACATCTTTTGTTATTAATGGTAAATTTTAATTCTTCATAATGCATATAACAAAGTTAGATGATCCAATAAGTTCATTCTTGAAGCTATAGAATATCTATCATACATCTAGAAATAATGATTAACGATGTATATCAGAAAGAATTGCTTCATTTATTATAAACTTTCTCATCTTATCATATGGCTATCTTGAACCATATCATTAGAAAAGATTTCATTAAACTATCGTAATCTTTCTATTTATCTAACTTTATTCTGTCGGCTTTCTTTATTGGGATTCTACAAACTAGAGTACTCTAAGTTTAATCTACCAACAAGAAAAGTCTAAATTCATATTCTTTTTTGGCTGAAATTAGACGTTTTTTTAACGTACACTTTCAGACATAATCTGACATTGATAGAAAATAAACAAAATGTGTATAATCGCGAGTTGACCCTGTATTTTCCCCAAGAGTCAGATTTTTCTCTATAAAGAAATTTATTTCGTTTGATATTAGAATAATTTTACTAAAACTAACATGTACATATGAATTGAAAACAAAAATATAGTTTTTCTACTACACATTTGAGTGTATAATAATAATATTATTAATTATATTTAAAATATTACAGAAGTCAAAATGTACTTCAGTATTTGATAACAAAAAAATGAACAAAACCAAGTCCATAATCGTGATCAGCGTCGAAAACCGAATCAAGTGATGTATTTTGTGGAAAAAAAAGTTTTTCGGCAAGCTTTATAAAACGCATCACTTGATTCGGTTTTCGACGCTGATCACGATTATGGACTTGGTTTTGCAATAAAGTGTTTTCTTCATCGAGAAAAACACAAAAGAAAGTTATATCGTACTTTTCTTTCTTGTTTTTTGGGGGAAAGGAAAGCGGGAAAGTAAAAAACTTTCCTTTCTCAAAAGAAAGAAAAATCAATTTTTACTTTCCTTTTTTTGTGGGAAAGAAAGAGAAAGTGCCACCCTTATTATCGATTGCTGATCCGAGTGAGCCACCTGAGATTCTACGATGAGCGATTAATATTAAATCAGTTGTGGATTTCAAATTCGATTAATAGACGGTTGGTAACGATAACGTATTCTGACGAACAAAAAATAAAGATCAATCACCCATTCATTTCTGAACCACTTGCGCATAAATATTTTGTTTAATATTTGTTTTCTAAACAAACATAATTACTCATCATCATTGCATTCTAACTCGATATCCGTTGTATCACACGGCTGCTCATTATACAATTTATCATACTGATTTTCTATGATAATCACCATTTTTCTCAAAAATCAGCATTTACGTTCGATATATCTGTAAAAAGTAACATGGATGAGATATTGTCTTAATTTTGATTCGACAGTTGTTTCAATGAAACTTTTTGTTTAACAAATTACTTTGTTACTATATAGTTGTGCTAATCCACTGGTTTTTTAGATGACACCTTAAGTCTGTAAAACTTATACAATAATAAAATATTGTTACACATCGAGAAACATAGAAATATTTTTGTATTTCTCGTTTGTCTTTTCTTTCCTCCTGTTATCTTTTTTCAACATGATCGACCTTATTCAATCTAAATTATTAATCTCTTATTCTTTCTCCTTTCCGTATATTATCGATATATAAGAGATACACGGTGATTCATAACTATATATAACGAGGGATAAACAATACTATATAATCGAAAATGATTTCTCGCGTTAGTATCAGAAACGACGAAATATTTTTATTTTCGGGATATCATAGTAGAAAGAAACAATCTCAGAAAATGATGATTTTTTGTCAACACGAGCTCGTTGAAATTGCCTATAATGTACAGAGATCGATCAGCATTTAAAATGTCTGTCAAGTCAAGAGAAAAGATCGAGGAAAAAGAGTATTTTTTTCTTTAATTATGTGAAATTGTACTTTCATAGTTTTGTAATTATATTTTTGTCACAAAAATAACAAAAGAACGATACACTGACTAAGTAAAAAGTACGTTTACGCTTGAAAAAAGTTTGAAAAAAGTGATCAGACCATACACTCAAATTAGAGTGATTAGAGAAAACATTCAGCTTTTTGAAAAGCAGAATAGTAACGAGTGAATAAACAAAAGATTAGAAAAATAACGAAGCAAAAAAGTAGCTAGATTACAATAAAATGCCAAGGTAATAGGAGAAAAACAACAATAACAGCAAATATCACCGGTGATGGATAAATTTTCAAAGAATAAAAAATAAACACTATTCAGCAATAAATCGTTGTATTTTATTTCAAATAAACATTGGATAGAGCATGATAAATGCTAAACAAGACTAGTTGTTTTAATCAGAAAAAATAGGTTTATTCTAAACAATAATGCAAAACAGGCATTGAATAAACAAATTCCCTCATTCGTCTGTAGTCTGTTAAACTGTTTCTTCTAAGATCTGTTGCTTTCAGCGTGTATACTAATTGATTGTAGATTTGAAATATAATATAAAAAACTTGCGTGAATAAAGTGAACAAATGATCACAGACTAAAATGTGATGCAAAAATTGTTTCTAATTTTTGTTATCGCTCCATCAAAAGAAGTTGAACTTAGAAAATCACAACTAGAGAATAGGCTGATATTTTTTGTCAAATTTACCAGTCAAAACTTGAATAACATAATTGATTATCGTTGGATGTTTCAATATAGCTAAATGTTCCACACCAGGTAATTCTAAACTTTTAATATCTTGAGTTTGTTTATCAGTCCATTTTTGAAATGCTAATAAACTGCGAATATTAACAGTACCGTCACCATTATCGTATGACACAGTGGGTTGCAAATCAGGAAATGTACGCTCATCATATAATAAAACACCTGGTGTTGACATTTGACTACTGTAAAGTGCGTGTACTTCGATTTCGGGTGGTTTTAATTCATCTACAAGATCTTTTACATTTAGCCAAAACTGATAGCCAGTTGGATAATTAATATCAGTAAAAAATTCTTTATAATTTTGAACAGTATAATTTTTAAACGGAGTTGCTACTAATACTTCATCTGCAGACCAAAAGTTTGGACTTGGCATAACAAACGCAGTACTAGGTGCGGAACGTTGATAAGGTCTTACTCGTATTGGTGAAACAACATATACCTAAAGGGAGAACAAAAATATCCTGAACCGAAAAGTCCGCTTGTCGAACTTACATCGATATTATCGCCGCTGGCCATCAAACGTAATGCTTTAACAGCTCCAGCCCATGGTGCTGCAATTGTAACCATTGATCGAATATATTTTTCTTTAAATTCCGGTGTTATGTGATGAAGCCAATACAAAGCAAATGGACCGCCCATACTGTGTGTAATTAGGACAATTTTCGTTTGATTATTTTTTTCATATGTATCCATGACTAAATTTGTTAAATTAAGAAAATAATCACCTTGTTCGTCCGGTGCACGCCGAAAATCATATCTAAAAAGAAAAGTGATATTAAGAAAAAGAAAGATTAGTTTAGATCATGAACTTACGGCGCACCTCGTAGATTAAGTCCACGTGTGTAACCCAGAGCAACTAAAGATCGAACAATTGGAGCAAAATAAGATGAATAAGATAAGCCACTTGAATCAAAATATTCAATTGTTGATGTTTGACCAAAACCAGGTATTTGAACATCCACACCATCTTGATTTGATGTTTTATTAGTAGTTGAATTATAGATTAAAAGCATATTATTAACAAAACAATCAATTACTTCCGGTAATAATAAACGTACATCCAACCATAATTCAAACCAATTTGAATGACGAGAACACCAAAGATGTGGTACACTGGAACGATTTAATTTACCCCATATTTGAGAGCCGGCGTTACCAGGTATAAAGATAGCTGGATATTGTATATCATCACTTGTAACAAAGTCAAAAGTGGACAATGACGAAAAAACAATTAACACAATAGACAGAAAATAAAAACTCATAGTAATAATCTCTTTTTGGATAAAAAAAGAAAACACTATGAAAAACAAATATGTAAGCTCATTTAAAAAAGCTTGGAAAAAAAGAAAAATATGTACAACGGAAAAAAGTGAATGTGTTTCGATAAGATAGACAATAAACTATCTAAAACAGACATGATTTGAGAAGACAGTAATATTCCTTTTACCGTCTCTAATTCTTGGGTTAGTTCTTCCTAATCAAACTCTACAGCAATTAAAACAGTTTGCCTTTGTATCAGAAATCTGAGTTACGTGACAGTAGTAACGTTTGCCATTTTTTCGAAACTGTTCATTCGATGGATGACAACAATGAAAATATTTCGTTTTAATTTATTATCAACAAAGTGCTTATAGTAAATTTTTTTACATAAATTCTGTTCGAATATTAATGAGAAAAAGCTTCAGAATTTACATTAACCTTATTCGTAGTAGAACTTCTCACCCATGTCGTCCTAATCGGAAAGAAATAACTGATTAAGTATAATCACGATTTTTCGAAATTTCGGTTAATCGATGGTTTTTGCTGGTGGTATAGCAATTAAGCGCACGATAAATCCGCTGATTAGTTGCGCTTAACCTCTTGAATGCCGTTATTTTTCCTCTTCCGCGTCCAAAGGCATGCATATGTAAAAAAACGATTAAATATCTCTCTTTGCGTTCTGTTGTTTTCGTCACATGTGTTCCTCTGACACTTTTTTTCGTTAAAACAATAAAACGACAAAGCATATGCAATATATAAAATTTCCTTCATGTCATCGGCAGATGCCTTACGGCATTCAAGAGGTTAACCAATCATTTCGGATTTTGACAGTATAGGAATATAGCGAAAGTTAAGAGGAAATCCTCAATTGATTGCCCATAATCAAGCAATTTTTGGCGACATGGATAATTCTAAGCGAGTAAAGATATTGAAATAAAAAAACAATAAAGACAATGGTAACATTTAACTGAATAAATAGTCATTTGCTTAGTAAATTTGGAACAAAACGGCATAAGCTGAGCTAGATATGGAGCGAAATAAAATAGGTTAGATTCAAAAATTAAGTATAAAACTTTACAATCAACCTGTTCTTTTACTTATTACGTTAATTGTTAAGTTTTGCTCTTAATTTTTGCATCTGACTTATCTCGATTCTATTTATATGAGAATAGAATATATATGAATAAATAATCGCACGTTGACAGATTGATTGGTCTCTCATAGAACCGATAGAATTGTTTTGCTGGCCTCCGTTTAGATTTTGTTTCCTATATAAAGACACATTGATGCTTTATTCATAAGCATTTCGTCGGCTGATAATAAAACTGTCATTTATCATCGTTTTTTCTACATCTCAACGTCATACATTTCGATCTCTAATCAGCGTCAGCAAAGTCAAACTTGTATTCCGGATTCTTTTTTTCTTATCATAAATAATTGCGTTTTCACTTAATCAATAGAATCAAATTAGCTCGTGTAGCTATTTCTCTCATCTTTACACACACATTAAAACTGCAGCGAGCTAAATGTCTTTACTATCGTACGGTTGTTACTTTCATACTTTGTAACCTGCTTCAATTAGTTAACTCACTCTTTTTGATTTATGGTAGACGTATATTTTTAAGACTTCATTATAGTTGTCGTTATTGTTTCTAGATTTTTATTTGTAATAAGAACTAGTCAAGATTTGTATTAACTATGGATGATGAGTATGATGTTATTCTTCTTGGAACTGGCTTAAAGGTACTACAAGTATTTTATTTATTGGAGTAGTTGTTGAGATTATTTCATTTGTTGTTCAGGAATGTGTGTTGGCCGGATTACTCGGTGTGGCCGGAAAAAAGATTCTTCATATGGATCGTAACAAATATTATGGAGGAGATTCTGCATCAATGACACCACTTGAAGATGTAAGCATTTAATCGTTTGTGTAGAAAAGCGTGAGTACTAATAAATCTATACCTTTTTGTTGTAGCTCTACACCAAATTTAATATGCCTCCTCCTCCAGCTGATACTGGTCGTGGACGTGATTGGAATGTTGATCTTATACCAAAATTTTTGATGGCAAATGGTAATTTCAGTTAACTTTCCATAATCAATCTGATTTAATTCGTTTAGATATTTTTCAGGTCTTTTGGTGAAATTATTGATTCATACAGGTGTAACACGTTATCTGGAATTCAAGTGTATCGAAGGTAGTTATGTTTACAAAGGCAATAAAATTCATAAAGTACCAGCTGATGAACGAGAAGCACTTTCATCATGTAAGTCAATCAGAAAATTTTCCATAAGAACAAAGTATTGAATCAATTCTTTCATATATTCTAGCATTGATGGGCTTATTTGAAAAACGTCGATTTCGAAATTTTCTTGTATGGGTCAATGACTATGATGAAAAAGATCCAAAAACACATAAAGAGGTTTCTCCACAGACAAAAATGATTGATGCATTTAAAAAATTTGGTCTCGATCAAGATACAATTGATTTTACGGGCCATGCATTAGCACTTCATAGCGATGATGAGTGAGAATCTATTTTCATAGTCACAATTTATTGAATATTCGGTTGTCTACCTTTCTTTGCCTTTTTAGTTATTTAGAAAAACCAGCACTGGAATCAATCAAACGTATTAAACTATATAGTGACTCTTTGGCACGCTACGGGAAATCACCATATCTTTATCCTCTTTATGGTCTTGGTGAACTTCCACAAGGATTTGCACGGCAAGAATATTTTCATTTTTCTGAAAATCGATCCGATAGCTAAATCAATAAGAAAAAATTGGTGGAGGATTATTTAGCTGGTCTTTTGTTGGGTTTCACTCAAACTAGTTTTAGTTAATTGAGAAGAAAAGCGGACCAATTTAATAACATCTTTGTTAATTTTAGTTTAAGTGCAATATATGGTGGAACATATATGTTAGATAAAGCAGTAGATGAAATTGTTTATCAAGATGGTGTTGTTATTGGTGTTAAATCAGGTGATCAAGTAGCAAAATGTAAAGCGGTTATATGTGACCCATCGTATGCACCAGATAAAGTGAAAAAAGTTGGACAAGTTATTCGTGCTATTTGTTTGTTACGTCATCCTGTCAATGTTGGTTCAAATAATTCACCAGGATCTATACAAATAATTATTCCACAAAAACAAGTACAGCGACACAATGGTATGAAGTTAAAAAGTGTCTGTTAATAATTTCTGTTAATTTATTTTCTTTTGTAGACATTTATGTCTGTTGTATGTCGGCTGTAAATATGGTCACACCAAAAGATTGGTACGTTGCATTAGTCAGTACAACAGTAGAAACAAATAATCCAGAAGTTGAAATAAAACCGGGTCTTGCTTTATTAGAACCAATATTTCAAAAGTAAGAAATTAGTTATTTTTGCTACAGTCATTTTTATGCATGTTTTCCTGTTTTAGATTTGTAACAGTTAGCGATGTATATGAACCAGTTGATGATGGTGTCAATAGTAAAGTGAGTGATAAATAAAATACTAATCAATTTCTTAGCTGCTGCTTCAAATTCCCTCCCTAAAGTATAGAAAGCATTTCTGAAAACAGTTTGAGAATATCTTTTTGCCTATGGTACTTTAAAGAGTTTCTTATTTCGTGTTATCTCTTCTGATCAACCTACTTCGTTTTTCTATTCTATATTATTTCGCTTTGTTTTTGATAAAATGTTTTTTACTCGTATTGTTCTAAAACTAATCGAGGATGTGTTTCTACTAGTGAATGATGAAATTCGTTCAATCGATACTATTTCCAATGATGTTTTATTGTTTTTTTCTAGTTATTTATAACCAGTTCCTATGACGCCACAACTCATTTTGAATCAACATGTTTAGATATATTAGATGTTTACCGTCGAGTCACTGGTGAAGCATTTGATTTTTCAAAAATAACAAGAGGTTTAGATGCGGACGATAGTGCAGAAGGAGTGCACTAAATATATTAATTGAAACAGTTGTTTATTAATGTATGCATCTATGTTACATCATGTTGTGGAAATTTTCTTTTTTTGTTCTTGTAAGTTCTTTGTTTGATTTTTCGACGTCATAAACTTTTAAAGTATAGCATTACTGATTCTTATCTTTTCTCTTAATGTTTCATTTTTAAAGATATTTTCAAAAACTCATTTTGAGCCAACACTCTTTTTGTTTTTTTCAAGTAAATTAAGTCTAATTTAACAGGATATACTCTCTTTCATTTAACGTGTTTGTTGTTATTGTTGTTGTATTTCGCATAATGTAAGAAAAAGTAGAAACATGATGTGGAAACGTGAAGAAGCGGCCACAGTTTTTTCTTTTAACTGTTTATATCGATTAATGATGTATAAAATTGTTTACCTTTTTCTTCTTTATTCGTTCAAAAATGATAAGCATTCCAGTCCTCTATTCATATTAACAAACAAAATTAGGACTTTTTTTTTCTCTGTAATTATCTCATGACTTATTTTTCCCTTTCTTTACATTTCTATATTTCTTTAATTGATCAATCTTGTTTTACTCGAGTCTTGCTCTTTTACCAATTATGAGTGAAAATTTTGTTTCCTGTACCTTTTCATTAGTAAGCGGACGGATTGTGCATTATTTTGACAAGTCATGTTTTATTTATATTATATATAGAATAAATTATTATTTGTTCGTTATAAGATATTTCTACAAATGAAATAGAAAAGTATACAATGGTTGAAAGATCAGGCAGAAACGACATTATCCATGATTGGTTTGAGGTCAGCAATCTGCTGTTACTGTTGATGAAACAGTTTTCGGACATATGAAAAATCATCAGGTTTGTTGTTAAATAAAATTCAAATCATTAAAGACAGGACACATGGTCAGTGATTCTTATCGGGAAAGGGGTTGTAGTCTGAATTTTTGACGATCTGCCGCGAAAAAAGGTTCTGATCAACCCTTTCTTTTATCTTAGTAGAGATTTGTCCGAGCATTAATAAAATGATGGTGGCTCAAATAGGGTGCAGCCTACAAGTTTAAACAACCTTTTTTCCTTTCTTTTGTTGGTCGCTTTCCGCCAGAATTTTAACGCCTTCTGGTCAAAAACCAATCGGAATTGGTGCACTCGCTTGATATGAAATGATTCTGAGTCCAGAATATCGATTGTGTTTTGAGAACTGCAAGATATGTTGCATTGACACCAGATGATTTGATGATTTCATTACTTTTACATAATAAAGGCGGTAGCTAACGGTTCGTCATTTTCCAAGCTTGATTTCTGCATGTTAATGGGTGCAGTGTTATTTTCACTATACTTTTAATTTAATCGTGTATTGCATAAATCTAATGATAAATCGTACGCGTTTTCACTGCTCTAATTACGATTAACTATTGATAAACTGCCTGTTATGCGGAAAATTTCTGCATGCAAAAAAGTCTATAGTAAAAACTTAGTGCAAATTAACACGATGATCAAATAAATTATTTTTAGAATGAGTAATTTTTCTAGTAAGAGAAAGAAAATGTGCATGTTGATCTTTGAATTTAATTTTACTATTAGTTGATTTAAGCGTCATACCATACATGGTATGACATTTAACTCAAGGTACAATAACATGTCAACAAGATGTATGGAGAAAAACGAGAGAAGTAGATCTATAAGAGACATTTTACTTAAAAAAATCAATAACATCATATTTAAAAAATTTTATCTTCCTTTATTGTTTCTCGTCACATTTTAGTGATCCTTGTTTCTATGTTGTTTGCTATACTCGAGATATCTTTCGCTTACAGTTTTGTATTTAGTAAAAATGAAACAGGGTCAAGTATAGACTGATAAGAACATCATCAGATGCATATATCAGTCACTAAAAAAAGAAATTTTTTCAAAACAAAAAACATTTGATATCCAAAGATTTTCATCATTTAGTATTACATCGTAGATAATTTAAAAAGTCTGCTCTCTCTATTTTCACTTCGGATGATTATATTCTGAATTAAGTCACATTTTTCTATTTATAACTGGTAATTTGTTTTCGTATGTTTAGATTTATTTATACTGAAATAAAACTATTTCAGCTACTACTAGATATATATTGAAACGATAGATCCATCTTTAGCAACTATTCAATTCTTTTTCTGAATGTTCCGAATTGGGTTATAAAGACATTCATTACAATTCACTTGAAAATGTAAAATAATACGCCAGTTATAACAGACATTATCTCATACAAAATTCTTCTTCATGTTGCAGAGTGTCAAAATGAGTTGAGAGACAGAAGGTATGCATTCTCACACAACATCATCCGAAAATGCAATTGAGTCGAAAGAATTATTAAATAAGAGAAAGATGCTACTGCTCGTAGAACCATAATTTTGCACTGGATGTTCCATTCAATGCTCGAATAACAAAATGCTTTCTTCCTAGTAGACAAACATTTAAGGTTCCCTGCTTGCATGGAATTCGTTTGGAAATTGAATGATCATGTTCACTAGATGTATTAATTATAAAAATATCCTGAATGTTGATTAACCATTGATCGTTATTAAGTGAAACGATTGAATGCCATATTGATTCTGTTGATAATTGAATTGTGTTTATAATCATCATTGCTGAATCATATAAATCAAATGTAAAATGATTCTGAACCGAGAATGTTGATTGTGTTTTGAGAACTGCAAGATATGTTGCATTTACACCAAGTGATTTTATGACTTCATTACTTTTACATGATAACGGCGATAGCCAACGATGCGCCATTTCCCAATTTGAAGTGAAATACCATTTTTCAATTGGTGATCCTGCATGATTGTAACACAAAAATAATGTTTGTCCAAAACAACAACATCGTCCAAATATTTGATAGTTAAATCCTTGAATTTCTTGAATACGTTGTATTTGCTTATCTGTTGGATTAAATGTGAATACATATTTCCATGTCAATACAAGAAATAATTGTAAACCTGCACTCCAACAAATCTCTTTGATATCACCATGTTTCCAGGCTAAACTCTTGTCAACAACTTTGCCATCAGTTAAAGTAATCAATCTCAATTTACCACGTTCGTAAACTAGGAGTTCAATCGCTGATGCACCCATTGCAAAATTATCATCTGTAGAAACACTAAACATTTCTCGATCATCAATTACATTCTGAAAATTTAACTCTTGTTCATCTGTATATACCACATCAGTCAACTCTTGTTTATCTGTATATACCGCATTTGTGACATTTAAATTGTTTGTCAATTTCTTGGTTACCTTTAAAGAAAAATAACTATTTTATGCGATAATTAGATCTAAAACAAACTTACCGTAATATTCTTCAATAGAGGCACAAAATGATTGGGCATCCACGGTTTATTTAGTTGTTTTGGTGTCGAACAATGAGACCATAGTAAAGTAATTTGTGTTTGGTATTGTTCATATCGATTAATAGCTGAAAATGTTTGGTTTAGATATTTGGCTAATTCATCGTTTTTTCCATTTACTTTTGGATAGATCGATTTAACTTGAATTCCAAGTACTGCTGTTATACTTAATAAATCCCACACGGTTGAATCTTGATGGTTTTTTACCATTTCATTTGTGACATACTGTTCTAATGGATCAAGAAGATGAAGAATATTTGCATATTGTCTCTGATATAATGATGAATTATTGACTAATTCAATTATATTTCGTGTACGCAATTCTACCACATCAAAATCACAACTAGATGAAATCGATAGGAAACTATTATAAAAACAGTTACCATCAGCTCGAACATCAACCGGAATATAGTTTTCTAATGTAGAGTCACAATACGTTTGTAAATAATATTCTGCAATTTTATCTTCACCATATGTAATTTGATCAAAAAACTCAATAGGTTTAAATATTAAACGATGAATATCTATAAGTAACTTCATTTTTTCACATTCTTGTTTTAATTCATCAAATCCTTTTCGAGCTTGCAATTTAAGTGTGTTTGAAATATGTCGAAAAAATTCAATACGATTCAATTTAAGACACTCATTACACACTTTATTTGAATATGATGTTTTCTTATTGCATATCAAACATTTAGTGTCTTTTAAATCTTTGAGAATATCTGGTGACTGAAAAAGAAAGATGTCTATATTTAATACAACAAGAGTATATTTTAATGACATTGTTTACCTGTTGCCGTTGAAGTGGTAGTTTTTTTTTGTTACCTAATTGTGTTATACTCAACATTGTTTTCCAGTCAATTTTAGCTGGCCATTTAAGATCTAATGATATATTTGATACTAAATTTTTGACATCTAATTTGAGTTCATCCAATTCTGTCTTTAAATGATCAAAATTTCTATCTGATATATCATTTCTAGTGGAATATTCTAATAAATCTTGACTAATTTGATTTAATTTTATTCTATAACATTTTTTTTGTTCACCAATAATTTTATGAAGATCATCAAGAGTTGTTTGTACTATTTTTTTCACTGTTTTAATTGTTTCCTGTTCCCAATATTTTATTTCTTGTTCAAAATGATCTACATTAAAACTATCAGTCGATTCTAATATATCATCTAGTTGACAACGATCTTTAATCAAGTTCCAATAATTATTTGAGAGAGATTGTTTTCGAACACTCATATTTGACTGTGAACTTATGAGATATAACCATCCATTTATGATTTGTACGCGACCACAAAATTAAAAAAAACTATTGAAGGTTAACATATGCTAATAATTGTTTGCTCTCTCTCTCTCTCTCTCTCTCTCTCTCTCTGAAAAAAATAAAGAAGAAAAAGTCTTGTAAACCAAACAAACAACTGATAGAAAGTGTGAGAAACATACACCTTCAACTGATAAACTATATACTTGTGTTTTCTGTATTAATTTTAGTTCAAGGTCAAATTATAGTGCTTCTTTCAAAACGTATGCTTATTAATATAATATTCGCTAGTAAACTTGAAAACGATGACGTTGATTTGAAATAGACACCTGTGATGTTAATCCATCATTACATATTTTAATCCATATATATATATATATCTGAGTTCAAGTTGTTGTCTATTACATATATTTTGAAGTTTGTTTTCTTCTTTTTTTACAAAAGTTTTCTTTTTAGAGTACTGACAAAACATGAAAAGATCTTTTCATTTCAATGTTTAGTGTTTTGACCATCCATAAAGAAATATTTTAAAATTAAAAAATTGAATAGTACCATAAGACTTCATTGAATTTTAGATAATTCCTGATGGCTTAATTAGAATGACAGCTTTGCACAAACAATAGAGTTCTAAAAAAAAGACAAAAATCCCTTACACTAAATTAGCTGCTCGTATAATCTCTAAAAAATTTGATGCTTCGGTAACCTCTTTGATCACCAAACTAAAGCTGCCAGATTTATCTGCATGGAGAAAATATTTTTGGTTATTACATTTTTTCAAAGTTAAAAATTTTCTCTCACCTCTCTCCATTTTCGATCCATCTTTTATAAAACCATTAGCAGCCAAAAGATCAGACCGTTTGAATTATAACCGTCAAAATAGTATGCAGGTTGAGACATCAACAGTATCGAAAGAATATGTCGCTTCTTGTTTTTTCTACCGTACTGCAGTTGACTGGAATTCCCTGCCACATCTTGTCAAAGAATTACTACTTTCAAACGAGCATTACGCGCTCACCTATCCATATAAGTGTCTTGTTTTTTGTTGTTGTTTTTTCTTATATATTCTGTTCTCGCGGCTGTTCTCTTTTCCGCGTGGTGGCACTGTATTTACTTTGGTTTTTTTGCTTTCCTGTTACGAGATGTTTTCTTGGGTATAAAATAAACTTTCAACTTCAAGTATACATATCGGGTGGCCCAGATAAAATCGGACACTTTCATTCGTTGTTCATGAGGCATTGTCCGGTAGTCCACAGAGTTGGTTCTAAGCTCAATCGATAGAGAATTGAATTCGCTACAAAACTCGCTATTTGAATCTCTGATAACAGTTTTGTCGTTTGTGCACTATTCAAAATATTGAAGAGTGCTGAGTTGCCTAACTATGACACACTGAAAATAGAAAAATATTTGTCTTGATCCCAAAACAGATTTCATAAGAATTTTGAAAATACCAGAAGATTTACCGGAAAATTCTGCATCTTCTCACATATTTTTCGAAATTTTACAGTTAAGTCTTCAAAGAAAATTTGTCTGTGCAAAAAACTAACAAATCCAATAAAACCTAAGTTTTTAACCTATTTTTCACAGAATTTAGTTTTTGGCCTATGAAAGCAGTAAAATATTGTGAATCCAGGGTTTTAGTCTTATTTTCTTATGCAGACTTAAATTCGGCATCGTTTTATATTTAAACAAAATTTCTCAATTGAAACCATTAATTAAAAAAATTAATTTAATTTGAAAAAATTGAAAAATCGGTTGAGAGCTAAGTATAACTTTAGCTGGCGTAGCAGAAACATTGTATGAAGTTATAAAGAAGTGATCGACAGAGCACAAAATTCTCTATCTATCTACGTAGATAAATTAACTATTGTACCTCAGATAATGGGCTAAAAATCTCAAAAAAGGAGACGACAAAAGCTTGTCGCAGTCAGGCAACTCAGCACTCTTCAATATTTTGAATAGTGCTCAAACGACAAAACTGTTATTAGAGATTCAAATAGCAAGTTTTGTAGAAAATTCAATTCTCTATCGCTTGAGCTTAGAACCAACTCTGTGGACTACCGGACAATGCCTCATGAACAACGAATGAAAGTGTCCGATTTTATCTGGGCCACCCGATACATACATGTTATAAATTCAAATTTATGTGTTTACTAATGTATGCAATAAGCTAAAAAAAGTCCGTTTTTATTGAAGTGGTTTACATCATCTGATTTTGACGTCATTTATCCTGTATGTCTTTGGATTATGATTGTTTTGGAGTCTTTGATATGCTCTATCATGAAAAATATCTTAAAATACGGTTAAATTTTAGATTATTCGTTTAGACTGACTTTCTTGCTAAAAAACGAGATTTTTCATCTTCAAATACTAAAAATTTGCTGTACTCTTCACATTTTGTACCCCTAAACATTTCATGACATTAAGGATAAGTGCCTCACTTCTGGAAAACACAAGAGGTCTATGAATAAAAGTATTTTGCTCTACACTTTTATAGCTATAAAGTATACTGATAACTTTGAACAAACGCATTAATGAGTTTCAAATTGAATTGACTTTGTCTCGATAGTGGTCAAGTGTTAACAACCTGTGCAATGTTTCTAATAGGATAGCGAATGTTCAAATAATGTACATATTTATTACTGAATGATAGAGAAATAATCGCATCGCATATATGAAGGCAAAGGAAATAAGTGAAGAAATAAATTTTTCTTAGTTGTCAAGGAATGATAAACCAATAAGGTAGTATCTTACTATTCTTCCCAAATTAATTATTCAATAAACTGTTGCCGTATAAAAATAACTCATAAATCAGCAATATAAATACTTTAAGCATATAGAATCTACAGCAACGATATGTTTCACGTTAATAGGCGTGGGGTTCGACATATGAGCAAACCTGCGGATGTCAAATATTTTTTATAAATGAAATATAGTATGTTGAATAACCATCATTTTTCGAATAAAATGAACGTGTGCAGCAGGTAACGTTTATCCTGATAAACGAAAATTAGCATAACAAATTGGTTGAAGTCAGTACAAACACAGATGAACCGAGAAAGGAATTTGGATAGACAAGAATAACAAACTACTGTTTTCTCATTGTTAGTTCTTTGATGTGTAGATTGATCTTGACGATAAACTCATTTAAAACTCGTGGTCTTAACAAAATCTATATTTTTAAAAAAAGGTAAGTCTAGATCAGAAATCGAGTTTGGTTGGATTATTGCTGTACACCCTAGCTGTGGTAAAAATTAAGGGTACCCCCTCTTTTTTGACCCTCTCGGAAACCAGGGACGCCGATGTCGGATCGGAGTGAAATTTATAACAGAGATAGAACATCGAAAAAGAAAATCGATGTATTTTTGCACAGAATTTTGTGACATGTTCTTCTATGGGTTTTCTAGAAAACTCTGGTTTTCATCCAGTCACATTACTACCCCCTGGTCCGATCGAGCTCAAAATTTTACCACAGATACTTCAAACCCTATCTCAGGTTCGTCTTTTGTCTTTTCAAAAATATGCTTTCCTTCTCAAGATATCCCAAAAATGCTGAAAGTCACGCAAAAAAACCTGTAAAAAACTGAGTTTTTTTGCGTGACTTTCAGCATTTTTGGGATATCTTGAGAAGGAAAGCATATTTTTGAAAAGACAAAAGACGAACCTGAGATAGGGTTTGAAGTATCTGTGGTAAAATTTTGAGCTCGATCGGACCAGGGGGTAGTAATGTGACTGGATGAAAACCAGAGTTTTCTAGAAAACCCATAGAAGAACATGTCACAAAATTCTGTGCAAAAATACATCGATTTTCTTTTTCGATGTTCTATCTCTGTTATAAATTTCACTCCGATCCGACATCGGCGTCCCTGGTTTCCAAGAGAGTCAAAAAAGAGGGGGAGTACCCTTAATGTTTTCTGATGCTTCGTTACAGAGAAATCTACTGAATGGTACGCATCGTCAACAGCAAAGTCATTTTAGAGAAAAGATGAACACCGGTGCATTGTATTAGATATATTCTAGCGCTTCTTCTAAGAGCGTTATAAATGAACGGAAATGTTGACTCCATAGAATGTTATTATCAAAACTACATCATTCAGTCAAAATTCCCCAATACGAAAGGATTTTGAAAAGCTTTTTGAGAGACTTTGTTACCTTCCAACAGTAATCTGACTTCTTGGAATAGAAAATATGGACTATCTAACCATACCTGACTTTCTATATAAATCTGGTTTCTAACGGAAAGGAGAAATTACAGGGACCGTTTTATAGTGATGAAAATGACTATTAAATGTAAATTAAAAAACTCAAGATTATGGACAAGTGTGATGTATGCTGTCCATAAGATTGACGTGAGAATAACAAAATAGCGACGTCTTGCGCCATTGAACTCATCTCAAACTCATAAATCAGCAATATGAATACTTTAAGCATATAGAATCTACAGCAACGATATATTTCACGTTACTAGGCGTGGGGTTCGACATATGAGCAAACCTGCGGATATCAAATATTTTTTATAAACGGAATATAGTATGTTGAATAACCATCAGAGTCAGATTAAATCTACTAAAATTAGCAACAAGATAAAGGCGCTCTATTATTAATTGTTCAGATGCTAACGAATTTACAAACGAAGAAAAGATCAAAATAGAAATTGAACTCCTTAAAAGAGCAAATATAAACATTTTAGCTACAGAACGGATGACAGTTGATCGAGTATAAATGGATGTTTTAACAGGTCGTCAGCTGTTGGTCGTTGATGATAATCTTTTGTAAAACAAAGATCGAGAAACTGTCGAGCAAAAATTGAAGCCGTTTCCGGTAAAGTGTACCTTCAAAGATAAAGTATACTAGTTTTAATGATTTGTTAAAAACAATTATTTTAGTTTACTTTGGCTTATCACATGTGGCAATTTGGAAAATGGCAGCTATTGGTGATAATTCATGCCATGGAGGATTTTTTGTGAACACTAAAAACAAAAACATTGGTTCTTAATATTAGAATTGTATATGGACTGAATGACATACTTTCGACAACGCTACATCCAAGACTCCTATAGAAATAAAATCCAATGATATTTATTGTTATAGTCAAAACGAAGGAGGAGGAATACGGACCATATGTCTGCTTTTCTTCCGTATGTTGTTCCTTGTATTGTTTCTGGACTGGCCCAATGTGGCGTACCTAAAAAGGAATAAAATTTATTATTTCTTAACTACTCTAAGACTAAGTTCATTAAAGCCTAATACACTCTATATTACTTTATAAATTGAATAAGTATTATTACAAACGAAGCAATCAAATAATTCTCGAGCTACTTAAATAATCGGCAATGGGCTATAATGGTCAAATCCGCTCCACTACTGATAAATAGAAGTGGCCTTCAAGTGTTCGTTTTTGGATCCTACTGATCGTTCTCTTTGTTGGCGATATTTCACTATAAACACAGTCAAAAATAAGACTAAATGTTGATGATACATCTATATATCACAGAAGTAACGACGATACTATAAGCACAACAAATATTATTACCTATGATTTGGAAAATATAAAGAAACGGTCAACATTTTGACTTTCCCCATCAAACTCAAAAACATGAGCGGCAACATTATTTGATGGAGTAACATACGACCTGAATTCCTTACGATCAATCAGATTTCAAAAATACGAAAGATTTTTGTTCATCTTTTAGACTAAATCATACATCTACAAATGCATTTTTCAATAAAATTGACTTTTTGACATGCATTTTTACTAAATAAGCGCGCTAAAAATACCCTGGCATGAAGGAGAATAAAATTCTGAACTTAACGAATGTGTTGGAATGTTTTTAATTATTTTCAAACTGCTTTAAAGAGACCTCTACAGCCAAGTAATCTTCTTTAATAAAATTATTTTTAACAAGATATCAACATTTCAAAACAAAGTCATTTTTGATGCGCGATTCTGTCATGACGTATTTCTGGAATAATTTCCTCAGGATGCATTATTTTCAAATTTTGTTTTTTTCTACAGATAGTCTCCGTGCTACAAATTTTGCATTAACAACTTTTCTGCAGATCAAGAGGATTTGCAGAGTTAAGCGTCTTTGTTAAGCAACGCAAAATGGAAGTCTCTTTTTTTACGGTCACTGTCACGGTCACTACACTGTAATTTGGAATTAATTTCCACTTTATAGAAAATCGATCTGGAAAATCGTGGGGCTTTATCTGATATTTATAAAATGCTCGTAGATTTTCTGGCTATTAGAAATTCGTGATTTTCTATTTTCTAAAAAATTGAATCGATTTTCTAGAAATTGACTTTTCATTTTATTCAGAAAATCGGCATAGAATTTCCAAAACTATGAAAATTTGGCGTCGATTTTTTACATACTGGAAATTCGAGTTTGATCTTCTAATATTCTAGAAATCGATCGATTTTCTATAAATAATTCCCAAGATTCTTGAAATTCGAAGATGATTTGGTATACGTGGACCAGTCATATTATGTGGAAGTCGTAAGCTAATACTTTTGTGTGAATAAAATTAAGCAGAAATTCTACTAGGGATCTGATACTTGTAAAAAGGATAAGCTAATTCTCAGGGTCCACGAAGCTCTGTCAATAAAGATTGTTGATCTATAATACATCCATTTAAAGTTCACAGATGTTTACAGTCCATTACATTCTCGGCAGTTGCAGGCGTTTTGAGTCCTCATCAGGTTTTAGTACTCACTCTTGCACTTAGTCTTACAATTTGGATTTGAATTTAATTTTATCGCCTTTTATACTGTTTTTTATTTCAGATGATACAGACTTTAAAAGTCACTACTTAAAGCTCAACTGCACTTCAAAAACACATTTTATTTGACTCAAACACAGCTAAATGCATTTTAGTGAACGCGTTAGGGAAAGCGTACTGTTTGCTTTACATAATGCTTAAAACGTGTTGTTTCTGCACGCAAATAACAAACGCGCTTAGACGTGTCAACAAAATTTTATAACATTTTAGACATATTACAATACATTAGAAATACACTAAATTCTCATAACGCGTGTTCGGGATTAACTAACGTTACACTGTAAAATATAAAATGTGTTCAATAATGTGTTTTTCTCCAAGTGTGCATTTCGAGTCCAAAATGATGTGCAGTTGCTTAAATGAGCAATTTCCAGTGTGTTCTGGGCATATTGAACAGGCTATCTTCAGTAGATATTTTGAATCCAAAGTGGTGTGCAATTCCATCCTGCCCCGGACATACTTCATTTTTTACAGTGTACTTTCCGAGATCAAAAACGCGTCTAAGGACTAAAATAGCACCACTGGAATGCGTCCGAAGATCAATAAAAATATGTCCTTATGGGTCAAAGTTTGTTAAAACGTAATTTCTGCATCCACACATGTATCACAATGCTGCAAAAGTTTTGAAAATCTTCTAGACGAATTGTGAACAACGCGTCGATGCAGAAACGATGTTTTAGAAAACATTAATGCGTAAAAGACATATTTTTTGACCTTTCGATGCGTTCCAGTGGTGTTGCTTTAATCTATAAACGCGCTTTTAATCTCGGAAGATAATGTTAAAAAGCGTTAGTTAATCCCAAAGTGCGTTATGAGAATTTCGGGTGTAATTTTAATGTATTATAACAAGTCTAAAATGTTAAGTTGTCTTTTGCAACGTAGCTTCATTGCTACACAAGCAATAATCTGGAAATTCCTCGACGACCTTCCAGGTAACTAGAAATTAATTCCATTTTTCGCATTTCCAAAAGTTCATATATAAAATCACCGAGGAATTTCCAGATTGAAAATCGCTTAGCATTTTCCATAATTCTAGAAAATCGAAATGGAAATTCGACCTCGAATTTCAAGATTGCTGGAAAATCGAGGTCGAATTTCTAAGTTCCTTGTAAATTCGATTTTATAGAATCTAGAAAATACTCTTACTTTTTGAAAATCGCCGAGCATTTTCTGTAAATAATTCCCGACATTACAGTGTATTGGTTCAATCCATATGATACCTACCACAATATACAAAAGTATCGGCACAAACGACGAGACACACGTAATCTGAAGCAGTTTTGCATGCTGAATCCAATGGCGAAAACCGCAAGTTTCTGTCTGACTAGGAAAAAACGTTATGTACGAAATACTGTCCCAGTGGAAATGAGCATTTTTCACTGTTTTCACGT